TTATACTAAATATTTTTATTTATTGCATAGAAAATGTTTTAATTATTATTATTATTATTTGAATTTTGCAAGTCATTAAAAATCAAATTGTTATAATAAAATGTCTCTAGTGAAAATAAATAGAATAAATAACTTTGGTTAATTTAAATTCTATTTTCTAGATGATGATAATGATAATAATTTTTTTTTATGAATTAAATATTGTCAATTTTTGTTGAATATTTATAATAATGAAATAGATTATAAAATTTTTGAGACATAAATGTATTTTCAGTTAAAATACTAGGATTAATATTTGGCTAAAGTCACTCTCATTTCTCCTTAAGGTACCTGACCCAAGGGGTTATTCTAGTCAGATGCATGAAAAATGATGTTATTTTTAGACTTCCTTCTCTAATAATGAATTTTTCAAATTTTTAGAGTTCTTTTTATCCGTCCCTTCTTTTTTTTTTAAAAAAAGAAGAAGTTATTTAATCAATAATTAAAAAAATTTTTCTCAATTAAGAAAGTAATATAATCATAAACCTAAAATTAAAATGAATTTTTTGGGTTAAAAATTGGTATCTCTTTAAAAAAAAAATTATGATGAGAATAAAATACTGAATAAGAACATAATTGCAGTTTTAACGATAAGCAAAGGGCATAAAATAATACGTTAAAGTTAAAATACGATCAGTTGAGTAGTTTTTCAAACGTAAACCAGAGTGAAAAAAATTAATGGAAACTGCACGTGAGCAAAAAATTGAATTTCAACCATTTTTACACTAGAATGATTCTTTCATATCAGGTCATATCTTCATACATCTAAGGCTATAGTGGTTGAATAAATGACCATGTCATCAAAAAAACTAAACAGAAAATAAAGTAAGCTACAATTATGTCTTATTTATAAGATTTATGACAAAATAACAATTTTAGTTGCTAACAAAAAATAAATATTGCTTACTTAATAAATAGATTTATTTGTTGATTAAATTACGTGTCAAAAATAAATTCTTTCAGATTGAATTATAAAACAAAACTTTGGTCTATTCAATGTTATTATAATGAAATAACTAAAAATAGTAATTGTGAATAATGTCAATGGTCAAAGAATCATTCCAAAAGTAATAAAAATGCTGAAACATTTAATTATACTAGTAAAAGTTGGATCTTACTAGAATTATTTTAAATTGTTATTACAAATGTTTTATTCTTCTTTATTTTAATCTGTCATTATTTTTTATTTTTTAATTGACGTTGATACTTTTACTAATAAAAAGCAATTTATTTAATCAACATGGCTTTTAAAAGTTCTTTTTTTGTTTAATATGAATAAAATTTTTTCAATAAAATTGGATTTAACTACAAAGTGTTGATCAAATTAATTAGTCACTTAATAATAAACAATATAAAAATGTTTACTTGTTTAAATGTATATTCAATCACTGAATATTTTTAATGATTTATAAAATAACCATATATAATTGATCTTAAACTCATGAATTAATATTTAGTAGATCAAACATCAATAAATATTTAAATGAAATGATTCCATGTCAAGAATGTGTTCACTTAACAGATGTCTCTCAAAGACATCACCTTATTTTACATAATGCTTTTATTGAACAAAAATATATATTCACTATACCAACATTAGTATACCCATATCACAACTGTCTAAATATTATAGATATATTCTCCAACATCAAAAAAAAAATAAAGATTTAAACTGTCATGAAAATACGTTTAAATCAATTCACCAAACATTTAATCAAAGCCAAATATCAGCATCAAAGTCACAATAATTGAAATCAAAAGAATAAAATGAAATTCAATTAAAGTTATGTAGAGTAACATTTGTCATTAAGTCCTCCAATCTGTAGCTATGATCTTGACAGTGACCGACTAGATCAATGTCACACTCAATTGGACTAGTGATTCTCATATCTGTTGATGACTCAGATAAGTTTTCATCATTTTTTTTGTTACTCCAATATAATCTCTAAAAACCTTTCAATATAAAATCAATCATCCATTAAATAAAATTAAAATAATCATTAACACACTTTAACCAAACTGAACTGCATCATCAATAAATTAACAATTCATTAAATAATTAAAAATTCATCATTGTTTTTTGTTAAACAATGAATGTTAAATAATATGCAAATAGAAGTTTTCAGTATTAAGTATCAGTAATAATTGATTAAAATGATGAAACAAAAAAAAAAAAAATGTAGCAAAATAAATAACGTCTCTATTAAAAGACAAGTGTGTATTTATTGAAGTATGTATTTCATTGAGGAAGTTAGTGTTCGAGAAATGTATGTGAAATATCGAGGGATGGAACTCCACCTAGAAGCAAGAGAGATGGACTGTGAAAGCATTAGCATCGTCCATTAAACATTGTAATTAGATATGAGCTCCAGGGAGTTTCTATGTTCAAACATACTGAGCAAGTTTGTGTTACTTCTTATATTTTCATTTTGCTAAGTAATGAGACGTCATTATGACCATTTTCTCAATAATTATTGTAATTTAATCGTCGTAAAGAACCAAAGTACAGTTGAGTTAAACCAACTCTTGCTATCAGTAATTAATCAATAATATTCATTTATTTATTTAACAGATAAATAAATAATTATTGTTATTATTGTGATCAATTAATTATGTAATATCTCTTGGGTTTATTTATTATGAAATTGTAGTGGAATTGTTATTTTAAATTGATGCTAATACTTAAAATGTTTCATCGACAATAAAACTAATAAGAATCTACTGAAGTTAGAAGGACAAATATTAGTCATGAATCAGTGAGTAGGAAGATATGTACTGGATGCGTAGGTTTAAGTTGCATCTTGTGTGTATAATAACTAAGAACAACTAATATACCAAAAATAATCTGGATAAAATTATTTTGATAATTTATTTAAACGTGAATTGTTTCTTAGATGTTGACTTGATGTTTCATCATAAATTCATTGGTTATATTTTTAGAGTTGAGTATCCTGGTTTAGGTAGAAATGTAGTATTGTTTATCATTGGAAGTATGGAATAAATGTTAGGTTGTTTTTTTTTTCAAGTTCATGTTGCATGTCGGATTGGGAGATAAAGCATGTGAAGTAAGACAGTAATTATGTCAGGTACTATTTGTAGTAGCTGATTCAATTATTATGCTTTTAGAGATCTTGATTGTTTACTGTTAGATTATTTTTATGAAAATGTTTTTTCGTATATCGTTGGAAACTTTCACTTTTTTAATTAACACTAAATATTACAAGTGATAACAGTTCTTTTTTACCAGGAAATCAATTCTTGATGGAACCTATGGTCTTCTCTACTGTTATTAAACTGTGAAGGACATAGATGTTGTTGATGGAACAAGTGTATTTATTGGTTGTTACAAAAGTTGAAGTAAAAACTTGAATCACACTATTGGGTTGGGAATTCTTTGAATGAAAGAATATATAGAATATAACATTTGGAAAATAATTTCACAGAAAAAGAGAATTTGATGATATTGTAGAAAATTTTAGAAAGTTGTTAGTAGTTGGGTGTAAATAAGTAAGTTTATGAATAAAGAATAGATTTTAAGAAAAGAAAATCTATGGATATGTAGAAAAAAAAACTACTTCTACATTTTTATTTATTCAATTGTGTTAATTATATTTTTTTTTATATTGATTCAAAATTGCTGAAAGTTTAAATTGTAAATCAATTTGTAAATTATATAAGAATTATCCATTTTTACAATCTATCATGAGTGACAGATATTTCTACAATTTTGAAAATGGAAACCCATCACTCAAGTTTTTATAATCAATCATTTTTTTAAATCTCCCTGGATTCTTTTTATCGTTAATTTAACAGTATTATTTATTTGGAAGAATTGATGAATAAATAAATTCTAAAAAAAAAAAAGATAAATTTGATATTAATAATCCAATTAAAAATGATTTGTATCTGTTATTCTTTTACTAACTAACTTTCTCAACTGAATTTATTGTTGAACTGATATTAATAACATAGTTTTAAAGTATTTCATAATATTTTATTATACTTCAGCTATTTTGATCTAAAGGATCAATATTTTTATATCTACCAACCAACCAACCTTTTATTAATAAACCAAAAAATTCGATAAATAAATGATTTAATTAAAATTGCAATTATTAATAATCCCATGTTACTCTAGTAAACAGAGATTTTAAAAAATTTCTCAAGAACTTGAATTAATTAATAAGAGCAATTAAAATGAAGGTAAACATATGTAGAGTAAACATTCAATTTTATGAAATGTTAAAACGATGACGAAGAATTTTTTTTGTAATTATTTTTCTATCAATTTTTCCCAACTTCTGTTATCCATCTTAATTTCATTGGTGATAATTAAAAATAAATGATCTCTCCACCAATCAAATAAAATATTTAAAAAAATAATCAAAATCTCAGCATCTAAACATCATGAGCATCTTGAATTTTCTATAAGAAACGTGACTAGAAATTATTCCACTCCCTACATGACACACATCTATCAAGTATCCCATATATCACATAATTAATTCAAAATCTAATGCTTTATCTCATATTAGGAAATCTAATTAAACATTAAAATGATAATAAAAAAATGAAAAAAGCTTCAAGTTGATTGAACGTCAAATTGTAAACATCAACTGAACTGGAATTTGATCAAATATTCCACATTCCAACATAAATGTTACAAATATTATTTATAATCATAAATGATGATCGATTCTAAAAGACTATTAGACTATTTTGAATGCAAGAAATATATATATTAATAGAGAAAAGTTATTATAGATCCTAGGAGGGAGATGCCAAGAGCTAACGCGAGAGGTTAGGTAGCATATGATGCCAAGAGTCCTGACCATATAGATATAAGAATGACAAAATGATATTGTTGATAGCCAAAATAGTCATTAAGGAGTGAAGAAATTAATTGACCATCATCGTCATAAAAAGATGACGAAATAAGTAAACTAATATTTAATGCATACCTTTGAGCTGAGGTAGCTGTTGTAGCTCAACATCTTGTGAATTGCGATATCGTGAAGATCCTTGTGACTTTTTGGATTTTTTCTTAAGGGATCGCTTGGCGAAGGGGTCTATCCGATCTACAAACGTCCCAGATGACATGTTGGGTAGATTGGAGGCACTGCGGATGCTGGATGGGTTTGAATCACCGGCGTCACGCTCGTGCCTCTGATCCGAGTCGTTGGCTGAGATCGTGGTGGCTATAGTCGACGTTTAGGACCACCCTGGCAAGCCGGTGGCCGCATTCCTCAATACAAATTTTATTCAAGTCTTCAAGACAGCTGATGATGATAATGATGACTACGGTGATGATAATGATGATAATAACAAAGTTAGGTCGTACTGACGACACGTTGTATCACACTAAAGCTTTATTTCTTTGATCACAGATGAAATTATTGGTTTTACTATGCTGTAAATAATTCCTTTGGCTGAAGAAGTGGCTCTAGAAGATAAAGGAGTTTACTGGTGCAACGTTGTCACAAGTAAAACCTGACAGTTGAATTATATTCTCTCACGTGTTATATTGTATTCTATGTCAGAGGAGAGGTTACCTTTTGACCATGCGTGCCATCTAAATAATTAACACATTTAGATATAACTCCTTTCGCCTTTTTTCAGCCAACTATTTGCTTGGTTTGTTCTAAAGAATTGATGTAAGTGTACCACGCACTTCCGCTAGTTTACACTCTTTCACAACTGCAATCCTCACCGAATATTAATTAGGTAAATGTTGAACTCGTACACTTTGGAGTTTCATATACCACGCGTAGAAAAAAGACGCAAAGTATATATACGTACGGTGCACGCACACGCCCCGTCGTTTGCCTTTTTTTTCACTTGGCGAGAATTCGATAGCCGGGACCGGCTACGCGCCCGTCCGGATGCCCAAGTCCCGGAGAGAAAGAGTAAGAATGAAGGAGTGAGAAGGGGCTAGTATATGAGAAAAAGAGAAGGAGCGAGAAAGAAGCACCGTTATATCACGCCTCGTACAGTCGTACGACGATCTCTTAACTAGATCTTGGCTTATTCGTTGATGTTGCTTTTGTTATACAAATCACGATGATAATCTTTGGTAGCTAATCTACGTTAACGACCACACTTTTACGATAAGTCCAAGGAGAAACTGATGAACTAATTAAACGGCAGACATGGAGGCTCTAGAACAGCACTCGGCCGCCATCAGCTGCTCGTTGCGGACGAGCTTGTTTCATTTTCGTACCGCAACGAGGGCGCCGAGACCTCCCGGGACGCGCTCAACCATTGTCCGCGTCTCTTTATTTCCTTACACTCACTTTAAAAATGTCCACTCACACATACGCACACATCCAAACTAGTTAAACACTGATGAGAATTTCGGCATGGGCCCACAGGCCACGATTAGTGTCTTTGAAATTAAAAACGAAAAAAACCGTACACTTTGCACACCCGTTGCCCTTCACTTATCGAAAAACCCCCGTCAAGAGGTGCCCCTTCGGTGCCTCAAAATAGTAATGTTCACTCGGCTATCATCGGATAAACTTGGACGATCATGCGCAAACATTACAGATGGCGTTACTTATCAGTGTTAACAATTTTATTTTTAATCTCATTTTTCTATACAATTACTCATGATATCAAAGTAAAATTGTTATTGAAAAAAAAACTAATAATAAATACTTTACTTTAAAATTCGAATTTATTAATTTAAATTGATAATGAATTATAAATTCAATGAAAAAATAAAAACAGTTTCTTGGAAATTTCAATTTAGCGCCATTAAAAGACGTCACTTGTGCGCATATTCCAATTTAACGGCTTTTATTTGCGCATGCGTTTGTAAGTGACTCTAGACTAACCTGGCTGTTCATTTTATTATCCCGGATAAATTAAATGGACTGATTGTTGTTAACATTTAAACTCTATTAAATTCTCTTTAATATCAGTCAATAATTCAGAAAATGTTCGAATTACAAGCTTTTACAGTTAAATCAATCTATACATTACCAACGAAATGATAAAACCAAGACTTAAAGTTAATTATTATAGTAAACAATTGAATTAGTGTATTGTACCACTATCAAGCAGACTCTTCATCCAACTTATGTGTTATTTTTTTGTACAATAAATTAGTAAAAAAGAAATTTTAACAAACAAATGAAAAAATGAATCAGCTTGCACACTGTCCTGGAATTTATTGTGGACGAGAATTACTTCCAGACGGTAATTGGACTGATTGTGGAGCTTGTCCTCGGGGATTTCGCACAAATGTTTCATCAGCTTGTGTACCATGTGAAGATGCTCCAACATTTTACGACTGGTTATATTTAGGATTTATGGCATTACTTGCCTTAGTTTTACATTGGTTCTCAATAGACATGGTAGCATTAAAAAGAAATATACCTAAAGAAGTAATAGCAATACATTTATCAGCACTAATTGAGACTGTCAGTGCCTCATTAATTACGCTACAATTAACAGATCCTATTGGATCATTTACAATCAAGTCCTGTAGAACTAGAAGACTTTCTGACTGGTATACTTTATTTCATAATCCTTCTCCTAATTATGAGACTTCTCTCCACTGTACACAAGAAGCTGTGTATCCATTGTTAGTAAAATATTTTTTCTCTTAAAGTAAGTCCTGTTAAACCAATTTTTAACTCTTTTTATTTTTAGGTATACAATGGTTTTTGTATTCTATTCTTTGGGGGTTATGATAATGTTACTTATAAGACCATGGGTTGTGAGAAAATTTTTGCCTAAACAAGGGAAATATTCCATCTACAATGCCTTATATTTTTTCCCAATTTTTGCATTTTTACATGCTATTGGAGGAGGACTAATCTGTAAGTTGATATCAAAAAGTTGATAATGACTACATTACTCTAATTTCATAAAAACATTAGCATTTTAATTGGACATTAAATCATATCTCATATCTATGAGAAAAGTTATAAACTTGAGATTAATAATTTTTATCATATTTCAAACAACAAATTTAACTTTTACATATTTATTTTTAATGCAGATTATTCCTTTCCATACATAACAATAATTCTCTCCGTTTTATCAAATGCTGCCCACTTTGCATTCAAATTAAACCAGGTAATCATCTATTCAAATACTGAATTTCTAGTTTTTTTGATGGATTAAAAGTTTAATTGGATATTGATGGTTTTAGACTATGAAATCCTTGCTTCTCAGCTCTGTATCCGATATAAAAAATATTACAATAATTCTTGGTCACTGGCTGTTACATGGATATGGAATTATGGCAATAGCAACTCTCAGAGGAATAAGTATTCATCCAGCAATGTTTTTACTGGTACCTTTACCTGCTCTATTTTATATACTTACCGCAAGGTTTACTGATCCTCATAAACTTCATATAGAGTAAATTAAATTTAAAAAAAATAGGTTAATAAATATATTTTGTTTCATAAAAAAATTTTATAGAGCGTAATTTATGCTGTGATTAATGATGATTTTATTTTATAATTTCATCAAATTTTTTTTGAGTATATTCATGTATCTTATCATTTAACACAAAAAAAAATTTCATGCTTAAATATAAATATTTTTTATCGAGCACTTTAAGACTCTGGTACGAATGTAAGAACTACTGTACTTTTTGGAGCCATGGGAATATTATCCGATGATAATTTAGTCCTAAAACATAAATAAATTATGACAATTAATTTATAACGTCTATTTCATAATAAATAAAAAGAAATATAAATTTTTTACTGAATAATAAATTACTTATATAATTATTAATAGCTTTTGTATGCAATAGGTTAAATGGGGTTAAATGACTTTCTTCTGTGCTGATATTGGCAAGTTAGTAAACAGAAGTTTGTCAATAAATTAATTATGACAAGTTAATTAAATACTCACGGAATAGACTGTCCATCTTGAACATAATTTGGACTGTGAGTTAATATGCTCACTTCCGAAGGCATGGCTGACAACGATGACACATCAATCGATGCATTTTCCCTCGAGCTTTGGTATGCTACTAAATATCCAGGATGTCCGCCTTTTAACCTGTTATTGATTTAATTTATTTAAATTATTGTTTATGTAACAACAATTATTCCGTAAAATTACTGATAATTGACAACTCTATGAGTTAAACAATAAAATACATACCCATCTCTATTTAATCCAAATGTACGTAAGAACGAATTAAAAGATAGTTTCATTGTTAGTAAAATTAAATATATAATAGTTTATGAGTACTTATCGATAAACAATGGAACGAGGAATCTTTTAGTTTTTCTTTTATGAAGAAAAATAAATTAAGACGCATACAAAGACAGTTAGGGCAATGTTTTGATTCTAAAGGTTTGTTTAAGTAGATACTTGGTGATAAAACTTTTCATTTGATAGATAAAAATAAAAATGACCTTTAAAATTCAGTATTGTTAGTATGATAAAAACTATTTCGTTATATGAACATTTGAGTGAAGTAAAAAAATTATTAATCGACCTCATTAGATAATAATTTGATAACATGGAAAATATTTCTTTGCTTTAAGTATTTCTTAGTTGATCAACGATACTAGTATTATTTATAATTCCAAGTTGAAACTTAATGCTATTTTACATCTAAATAATAAATATTAAATATACCTTGTGTAAGCAAAGACTGTTCCATTAATAACATGTGCCTTAAAATCTCCATAGAGGAAAGTTTCTTCATTACGTTTGGCAGCCAACGCAGCAAATGCTGTTGGAGCTGATAAAGTGTCATTCAATTTAAATATCGGTGTACCTGGCAATAGTAACGTCATTAGTGTGATACTATCAGCTACATTTATAGGCATACGCTGTCTCAGAGATCGTTCTTTTCCATTTACCTGAAAATAATTGTATTTTTCACTAAAACTAATTCCATTACCAAATTTTCAATTAGCACAAACTCTATCAAAGTTTGTATTACAATACTTTGAACCATTAAATACTTACATCCCAGCCAGGCCAGCTGACATTTGTTCGTGAAATCCACTCAGTTACTTCATGAATTAAAATTTCAGCTGGTATTTCAGCATCAGCAGTGCTCAAAAATTGAGATTTCTGTGGTAAATCTATAAGTCTTTGGTTCTCATTCAAGATAGCTAACGTATCAGCTCCCACGTCATCTTGTAGCGTAAACAATTCATCATCTTTAGTGATATTTGCAATTTTTTCTCTCCAAAGTTTCAAAATCTTAACATTTTCCTGACGATTTTGCGTGTAAACGTGATTTAAATATTGATACTCTTCGGGTTCTGCTGGGAATGAGCTACGTTTTTCATCAAGACGATGAGGATCTTCAGTTAAATACTGAGTACTTCCCAACCTAAATCCACTGATCCCTTGGCTCAACCAGAATTGGAATATTTCAACGAATTCATTTATTACACTTGGATTCTCGAAATTAAAGTCTGGTTGGGTTTTATTTAATTGATGCAAATAATATTGACCACGAACTTGATGCCAAGCCCATGCTGAACCTCCATAGACACTTAACCAATTGTTAGGAGGTTGACGAGTTCCATCAGCAGCATTTTTTCCATCAGCCCAAACATAATAATTAGTATAAGGTTCTTCTCGGTTTACTGATCTATTGAACCAAGGATGATTTATTGATGAATGATTAGGATCAACCTCCAGCACGATCCTTTGATCACGTTGTTTAGCAGCAGCAATGACATCTTTCATAAATTGCATGTCTCCAATTTCACGCTTAATGACTTTGAAGTCTTCAACATGACCTGAAGTGCCTTTGAGGATTGACGATAATGCAATTGTTTGAACATGCTTACCCTTTATGGTGTCGAATAGAGCTTCTACACCTTTGATGTCTTTTCCTTCCAAGTCAGAAGAGTCTATTTGAATAATCGGACTTTTTTCCCACCATTTTTTGGGTATTGGAGCAGAGCATTTTGGAGCGAATACTATAATTGCTATGGCACCAAATAACATGGCAAACCATAAAATCCAAAATCCTATGAACATTACCCATCGTAAGCGTACCCAAAATGGATCATTAGCATATTTCATTAACTCTTCTTTTCCCATTCCACATAGAACGTCATTCGCGGATTTGACGGTAATTTTTGCATCACCATTTTCTGAGATGAGTATGATCTGTATAATAAAAGAAATATTTTAGTTTGGGTTATAACAGAGTTCTCTGGAATGAATGATGCAATATCGGTTCTATGTTTCCAAGGTTAGGTATGTTGTTACAGTTAAATTTTAGAATGAAAGTTATAGACTTTTTAGAAATTTACAGTGTACATTGAAGTTCTGATCAATAAAATTGTTTCTGATAAATAAAAAATTGAGCAAAAAATGTTGAGACAAATTGTGAACAAATAATTTCTAATAAATAAAACAAAACTTTCATCATGAGCATGTTTTTCTATTTGATATCAATAGATTTATCTTTTATCTCTATATAAGTAATTATTAAAGAAAAAAGCTAAAATGTATAATATTATTGTAAATGAAAAAAAAACTGATAATAAAAAATTAAAATTTTTAAATATAAATTCATAAATATTAATTATCTTTTAGTAATGCATTATTTAAAAAAGATTATCAATCAGCTACTTAGCAAATAATGCGTTAAAAATGCAGTGGCAGCCATTTTAAACAACATACCGGATTTTTTATACAGCTGTGCTATGTAAAGAATATCATCAAAGTTTTATTTTCTGTATTAAACTTCTGATTTTATTCAGAAATCATTCCACAATTAGTTTTTTGAACACAACTGTACACATTTTTCAGTTAATTATGAGACTGTCTGTGATAAAATACTTAAACTTATTACGATCAATTAAAGAAGAGAAACCATAAATCTAAAAAATTAATAAAATACAAACCTCAGCAGTTCTTGCTATTGGATCAGCACTCGTTGGATCATTCAACATTTTTTCTTTCGCTCCATCGTCAATTTCCACTTCGTCAGTTTTTCCCATTTTTTGAGCTTGATTTTCGTTTTTCGTATCCCAATTAGAATTATCCTCTGGCAACGACTTGTACGTGGCGACTGATCCGTTGGTGGTGCTATTAACCTCCGGCGCATTCGCTAAATTCATGCTCCCCCTCTCCATAGTTTCTATAACCTTCAAGGCCGTTTTAGGATCTATAAAATAGCATCGCTATCTCTTACTTAGAAGCTGTAATACTCACAGTTACTTTGACTCAATTCACTTCCTCTTCTCGTGATACCTCCAACAGAAGCAAGAATGGAGTTCAATTATGCTCCAATTATATACTTAATTGAATCAGATCAGCTTACTGGACATGTAATATATCAAAGAAGTCCACACCCCAAATTAGGTCAATGCGCTTCTTGTTCTGCGCATTAAATTCTCCAAATTGCAATGCACTTTACAAATTTTTGCTTATACTAAATTCTTCTCACACACTTTATAATCCACGTGGTAAATAATTAATTTCATTTCCTAATTCAAAAGCACTTGATGTTCGTTCTTCACTTTCTGTAATCTACTAGCTATTTTTATTCAATTGTATCCTATTTATACAATTTTAGAAGACTGTTCGGCAGACAGCACACAAAATTATTGTTTACTCTTCATTGGATCCACATGTGCCATAGAATATCATGGTTAGATTAGATTATTCAACTGACAAAGCATGTGATAAGTAAAGAGAAAATGATATTATAGACTAAACAAAACGTAATTATTTGATGATAATTCAAATTTAACATCTGTATTGAAATATTACAAACTTTACAGGCTACTAGAGTCTAAAGATAGAAAAGCAGAATATATAATTCTGCTCTTTTTAAATACTACAAGGAATTCAGTTACTATCTTTAAAGATTTCTTATTCTTTGTAAGTATCCTCGATGAGTAAATGGTTAACACAACATTGGTGAAATACACCAATTGAGGAAAATGAGAAAAATAATTACTACGACCAAAGAAGTCCAAAATATCCAGAAGAGAAATAGTCTTATTTTTATCCATAGGGGTTGAGCCACAAAATAATCATAGTTACCACCTAATTCTACAAAGATTATTGATAATTTATTTAAAGTTTGAGAAAATTATAATAAAAAATATAAAACTTACCAGTTTTAAAGAATTTAGTGTTTAATTCATCATAATAAATTGGGTGATCAATTAAACTCAATTTTTCGTAGTTTAACATTTTTTTTATTTTTCAATTAAATGAATCAATTTTTTGCACTTGCCAATATAATAAACTCAATCATCAGATAAAATTAATTAAAGAATTTTAATTAGCTAAAAATAATATACTAAAAGTAAATTTATTAAATGAATCTTAAAAAAAAAAACGTTTTCGATTTTTTTTTTTTTTTGCCAAATAGATGGATTTTTATTATGAACGACAATGGTTGATTATTGACTGACAACATATGAAGGCACTTGCATAAAATAAATAATATATACCCAATGTCGTTCTTGAATTAATATTTAAATCTCTAATCCAAGTATTAATAACACTTGTTTATTAATTTTTTTCGAATTTCTACTAATAATAATAATCTTGATTCCTACACTTTCATTAATCTTCTTCAAATTTTGATCGAATAAATTTGTAATTTCACTAAGTATTGTGTATATAACTAAAAAAAAAAACAGATAAAAAATATTTTTTTTTCATTTAAAATAATTTCAAAAAGTAATAGATCATTAAAACTGATTGAATTTAGTATTTACAATTACTCAATGAGTAAAGTGATTATTTACTGAATATTCAGCAGCTCTGACCATGATAACACATTTTTAACCAACGTTAAAACGCACTGCGAGGATGATAATGATAACACGTCGCCAACGCTTGATTATAGTTTTGAGGTCGTCTTCAAGAAAGTTTTTACAGTGATTTAATTTTCCAATGCCCCCAACAATTATTATTATCCTTTTACTTATCAGGTTATTGCCACAATAAATAGTCGTAAGCATCACTTCATAATCAAAAGTAATAGTTCTCGATAACAAAAATGAAGAATTAATATTTTTTCCCCTTCTTATCATTATCATTCATTCTACTTTCTTCGCCTTTGATGGACCTTGTACACTTTGTATTATTTTTGGCACAAGTTCTGTAAAAATAATTGTTCCCAGGAACACTAAAAATGTTCCAATCCAATGATAAATACTAAATTCATTTTGGAAATATACTATAGAAAATAGTAATGATAAAAATTTTCTTAACGTTACAACTAGAGTAACAGTCAAAGATGTACATTCTGTCGTCAGTACAAAAACTGAGCTGATGCACATATATCTAAAATATTGAGTTAAGGTTATAATACATGTTGAATGATGCCAGAAAAATTATAGAATATTATTAAGTAGAGTGATCTCCAATTATTGACATTTATTCTACTCTATTTCTATGTATAGTTATTTTCTTTAATCGAATTAGAAATTAGCGTAGAGCCAATAATTGAATTTATTACCTTCTTGTTAGTTCTATTTTAGTAGTATAAGAAAAAGGATACTGAGTCAAAATATTTCCAATAAGATATGCAATAGTCTTAGGCATCGTTACTCCAATATATGGAACTAATAATGGATCAGACTTAATGGCCATCATCGCATGGTCCCAAATATTTGGAGCCAATGTTAGAAAAAATGGTAGTGGTAAAAGATGCTGAAAAATAATTTTACGTAAGAATTACTTTAACGGTTTCAGATATTAAACATTTTTGCAAGTCATGATGATTTTCATAAGTACTTAGGTTTCTTTTTTTATCGAATTTATCAACATTTATCAAATGTTTTTATGTTTCATTGTCATAAATAATATTGTTATTAATAAATGTATTAATTCTTTAAATTCATAATTAATTAAATAAATATTCTTACTGTATAATATAGAGCTTCTCTAGGACGTTTTCCGTACTTAGCATATAACTCTTCCTGATATATACCCATTCTTGCTGATATGAACAATGCTAGAGTCAATAAAAAAATCCCAACACACCACCAAAACAAATTTTCCACAGGAGTTGGAGGTATAGCATTTTCTACAAGTTTTTGAGTTGATTTTACTTCTTGTCCACTTATTATTGTACATATCACAATACCCATAGTTATCATAAATACTGATAGGTACTTGCTAAATACGTATCTTTTCTTTAAAATTATTATACCCATTATCATATTTGCTATCAGAGATCCCTGTAATATTAATAATGTTTATTAGTTGCAATGTAAATGATTTGATTAGTTGTGAATTAAAAAGTACAAAGGTTAAATATATTATTTTTGATACTTACAGCTCTGAATATCATGTGTAAAGGCATAGGTATATTAAAATCAAAAGCATAATTATTACAAACACTAGATACAAAAAACATCACAACAAGAATCAGGTAATCCTTAATTCCTATCTTTGGTTTAACAGTGCCAAACTTTGAAGTAAAAAAAAATCCTTCTATTGAAATTAAAAGGAATTGTGAAAATGTAATAAGATTTCCACTGCCTGGATCTTCTCTGTAAAAAAAATACTCGGTTAAAATTAAAGAAAATACATATTCAAACGAATTTGTTGATTAATGTGACAAGTAGCATTACGTCATAACCTCGATGACATTTAGCTCGAAAATTTTACTTGAAAATAACACAAAACTTACTTTACTAATAATTCCAGAAATACAACATTCGTACAACAGCCTAAAAATACCAATCCTATTGCTATCGGTACTTTCATTTTTAATAAATAAAGTAAAAAATCCACACAACAAAATATAACCTACAAACGTGAGTCTTATGGTGCGCAACGATGCGCCAGACTGCGGTGCTTGAGTGTTTGCATTCCATTCTTCACGCATGCGTTGATGTACATGAGCAGGAGTACTCCAAAACCAATTGGAGTTGTTCTTTTAATTTAAAACAAAGTGAGAAATAACTTTTATAATTAATGCAAAAAAAAAAAAAACAAATTAAAATTTATCATAGACAATTATTTATTATCTATAATTTAAAATATCGAAACTATGATACAAGAATATTAAAGTAAAAAATTTGCTAATAGTACGATTATCAAATACAAGAAATTGTTCTCTTGAATATTTTAGAAAATCTACTTAACATCTATTTATAAAAATCTATAAATTGTAACACTATTTATAATCTTAAATAAAATCATTCAATCATCTTTTGTTTTGACACATTCAGGTAATTGCTCACAATCATTACTAATACTTTCATCTAATTTTGGCTTTAGAATTTTACTTTCTCTTGGAGAAATTTTGAGACGAATTCCATCTCTATTAATAAGAACTACTGAAGAAATTAATCGTAATTGATCCGTGCTGTCTAAAGCTTCAATTTTATAAGCTCTAAGGAGTGTGAGAATTGATGCTTTAACCACCATCGTTCCAAATTTCCATCCAATACAGTTTCGTGAGCCTGCACTGAACGGGATGTATGTGAAACTTTGTGGTTTTGGATTTTCTGGTAAAAAACGTTCTGGTTTGAATTCTTCGGGATCCGGAAAATGTCGGGGATCTCGATGAAGCATAAATACATTTATTAATACTGTTGATCCAATAGGAATATCATTATTCACTGCAATGAAAAAAAATAAAATTCATTATCAAACAGTTTCTTACTCGTGATCATTATTATTAGAGCACTTAAGATGTAATAATAATTTTAATTGGTTTCTCTAAACCTGTTCAATAATATACATTACGTTCTGCACTAATCAATTAGTTTATCAGTTATCTTCTACTTACTTAATCTAATTGGATGATATATTTGTCGGGCAATTAATGGAACCACAGGATACAACCTCCATGTTTCTTTAATACAAGCTTCCAGCCAAGTGAGTTTACTTAAATTATCTAAAGTTAGTTCTTCTGATCCAATAACTGCTTCAAATTCATCCAAGATTTTTTCCTAGATATTGAGTAAATGCTTATGAATAATTTACTTCAGAATTAAGATAAGTTTTTTTCATTAAAGCATTCTATTAAAAATATACCTGATATTCTGGATGTCGACCCAAGCAGTATAAGACCCAAGAAATACTTGTAGCAGTTGTATCATGTCCAGCGAACATGAAAGTATTCACTTGATCCCTAATATCTATATCTGTGAGACCAAGATCATTTTGAGAATATTTGAGGAGGAGATCAAGTAATGGTTGTTGCCTTGTGTTCATTGGATTATTAAAATTATCGTCATGGTTCGATTTCCATTGTGTTTTTCGTTCGGTTATTACCTGTAAATGTTTATTAAATAATTTGAAAATTCTTTTATGCAACAAATAAAACTATTAATTATAAAACTTTGAAAATACTTACACTATCAACAAAACTGTGAATAACATTGAGTGCATTCTCATGTTCTTTCCCTAAAGAAGTCAGTCGGAAGATTGGATCCAAAGAAATCCAAATATTAGTAAATCTTGTTTGGATAATTTCTGTCATTCTGAAATTGAAAAAACAAAACAATCATTTTACATTGATTATACAATATAATCTAAGCAGTAAAGTAACGAATGAGTTAAAATGAATAAAAAGAACAAAATAAATCATACTTTTCCACTGCTATTACATAATCATTTTGATAATTTTGTTGAGCATTTAAATGATATCCCATGCTGCATTCTGCAATCATTGATTATATTAAAGATCATTAATCATAATGCTACTAATAAATAGTAAAAGTGAAAATTTATTGCCTGTCTTACCACAAATCATATCTAAAGCTGCTCGTTTTGCATAGGGAACAACGTTGAAAACATTATTCACTTCAGCTTTCAAACACGAGACCATCGTTGCTGATTCATGAGCTACTGACTTTAAATATTGCTGTTGCATTACACTGTGGAATGCTGGAGTAAGAAGTTTCCGTAAAAAATGCCATTGATTACCTGAAAAACCATTAAAAAATTATATCAAATCTAAATCATGATTTATTAATTATATCAATTTTTCAAGTAAAAATTAGCCTTAAAATTGTAATAGTTATTTTTAAATTATTTTGATAAGAATTAATGTAATTTAGAATTTTTTTTATCTACTAAAATTATAAAAGTCATGAGAATTTATGGCGCCTAGATAAAAAAAATTATATTTTCTCTACATATTAAGTTATATTTTGATTTGATTTATCAGCTAAGATCATAAATACATCAAGTATTTAATTATGCCAATATAAGGATACTTGTTTTTTTTGTAATACAATTATCATATAATTATTGTTGTGACTAGAGAGATATTATATTTGTAACAAATCCTTTAGACACAACCTTGGCACGTGATTTTTGCCACGAGAAAATTCAAGCTCACTGAACGTAATTGTCAGCACATGTATATAATCAATTTTCTTTAATAGTCATCCTTTTAATTATTCGGAAAAAATGATATATTATAAATTATCATACACATTATGATTTCTTCACATTATATATGATAAACTTGAAATATTCTAGCACCTATTTTAGAATACGAGTTTTTAATGATATCTTGAAAGATTGGTTTTTTTAATTCATATTGTTAAAGAATTGATGACAATGATGAAGATAGAAAATTAAAAATTTTCTAGATATTCACATCATAATAATAATGGTTACAATGTTGACTTGTTCAATTCATCATCCGATAGTTTACAACAATTAATTGATGAATTTAATTGAGAATATTTCTATTAAAGAAACTGTCAATTAAACTGTTTATAACAATTAATTGATAAATTTAATTGAAGATGGATGATCAAAATAATAAACGAATGAAGAAAAATAAATGATTAGGAGTCATATATTGCAAAATGAAACTCATCAAAACTGGCAGTTAAAGCGCCGGTCGTCAACGTCTGGACACCTGATTCACTTCCCTCTTTCTCCTGTCGTTCAAGGCTGGCCGAATAGTTTTTACAATAATCTACTTATTGAGAAGCAGAATATCTTGAGTGCGAAATATCTGTTGTGAGTGGCAAAAAATTTATGAATAAATGACATAAATGAAACTTGTATAATTTTTTCATACTATTGAGAATGCAACAAATTGGATTCATAACTTCAACAGAAGAAAAAGCAGTTGCAGTTATAAATAAGAATATCATATTCATGAATATGACGTGTTCAGAAGAATTATTTTTACTCTTAAAACTCAAAGAAAAATAATGATAAATATGGTAAGTTTTTACAGTCATAAAAATTATTTTAAGCAATTTTTAATATACACAATAACAATTGTCTTTTTTCTACCGATTCGCAGAAATTAAAATCATCAATTATTAGATAACAACTATTATCTATTGGTAGTAATGACGATAATTACTTTACTTGTTCTAAATTATTCAAATGGATGGCAATACCGTGACAAGAATAAATCGCTATTTTTCTCATTCCAGAAATAACCAGAAATAAGTCATGAATATGTAGAGGAATGTTTATAAGTCAAAATGGCTTTTAAAAAAGCATTACTGCTAGCTCAATAACATACTGTTTACTTGGAATTATTTAATACATTTTGTAATAATACTAGATCGTTTTAGATCAAAAGCAACATATCTATGAAAACGATAGTTCAACAAGTAGATAAACTCTTATTTGAACAGACATATAATTTAGGCAAAATTCATCAATTCATGATAGTAAGAAACTATTTAAATTTCATTAAAATTCTTTTTAAAAATAACATGAATAAATTTAATAAAATTATACTTTATATTTTATCATAATATTTTGATTGAATTGAGCCAATTTTGAATGCCAAAGATTGAGAAATTTACCTGTGCTATTAACAAGTCCATCACCAAGCCAAGGTTTAAGATACTGATACTCCAAGCTCTTCTCAATATGAATACTGCTGCTGAGTAGTGGCTGAACCCCTTCAACTCGATAAACAAATACTAAAGGTCTTGGTCCCAACCAGAGAAGATAAATGTCCCCAAATTGCTTACCCCATTCAAGTAGTTTCTTGAAAAATTCTGCAAGCAAAATAAAGAAAAACAAATAAATTAAATCATCAGCATCATGTGAAAACATTCAAGACATCCGGAATATTAATGTGATTTTCATTGCATTCTGTTTATTTGTGTTCGGTCGTTGCCTCAATGACTTGTGTGCAAGTAGACCGTTGCATCTATATCTCTATCACTGGCAATTAGGTAGGTTCTTCCTCCTTGGCCTCGTCGACGGTCGTCAACGTTGCGGCGATGACCGAGAGCATGCTGCATGCGCGATTATTCACTTGGACAAGAAGAGAAGGAGAAGAGGAAAGAGCGGCCATTGACCGGAAAAAATCTCGGACATTTTTGCAGTAAAACTAGTTGCAGCCAAGGTCTATGTAATATACTTACAAGGAGCATTGCTAAAGAGACTTCACGCAAACAAGTTTGATCAATTTCATGTATATTCAATCTCTTCGATTTATTTGATTTCTCTTTCATTCAATAACAACAATTATTATTTTTTATAATATTGATTTGATGCATTCAATTTACCAATTTTTTTCCATTAATATCAACCGAATAGTAAATAATGAAAAAAAAAAACTTATTTTTATTCAGACAAAATTATTTGATAATTTTTTTTTTTTTTTGCTAAGAAAGAGACATTTTTTAAAGATTAATTATTTTAATTATTATGTACATAGAGAAGAAGTTACTAGTTTTGATAAAAAATTCATTAATTTTTGTAAAAAAAAACTCATTGGAATTTTAGTTACAAACTCTTTCACTAGTACAGTGAATATTTAATTAAATTAACAAATATATTGTTATTGAGATAAAAAAAAAGAATATTTTAATTAGCTGCATCACATCAAAGTTCATTTTTTAAATATTAATTATTTCTAGAATAAATTAAAAATTTTAAGATACTACTTATTTAAATTTCAATAAACAACTTTATAAATCAATTTTCAAAACAATGATGTTATCAATAATAATTCAAGTTTATTAATCAGAGAAAATAATTAAAAAGTAAAGTATGAAATATTTGTTGAAAAGAATGAAAGGAATTTATTAAATCTCTTGATTGTTTTCAATGAATCAAATCTTTGAGGAAATAAATAATTCATTTTTTCTTTAAATTAATAAAATTGACTCTGATTGTATTGATCTCAATGACAAATGTATTTTAAAATACTGCAAGCGAAATAATTTTTTTTTTTTTTAAGGATGAAGTTCATTGAGGAGCCACGTGCAGCACAACCAAATGAGGACAAGAACGAAATCGTAAGTAAAAGCAGTTAGCATAATAATATACATATATACAAAGAAGAGAGTTATATGTCTTTTCCCTTGATGACCGTTTATTCACGCGTGTAGGAGAAAGATTCGCATGTATGATTACCCTGATGCACATCAACCGACCTCGACCTGATTCCTCATAGTCTTTTCTTTCGTTCTTTCCTTCTCAATTATTTTTTTTCTTTTCACTCACTCTCTTTTCTTTCTCAACTATCCATACACATTGAAGTCTGTACCCAGAGGAAGTCGATTGACCCTAAAGACGCAATGGAACATTAACAAGATGAAAATTTTATTGCATCACTCGCATATACTTAAATAATTCATTTTTACCAGTATCATTAAAAAAAAATCATCATAATAGCAAACTTTCATTTTTAAAAAATACCCACCTTCAAGACTGCAATTAAGTTGAACTGCATTTCCAATAATTGGCAAGGCAATTGGTGAAGGAACATTTCTTAGAGAGTATAAAAATTTCGTCCTCTTGACAAAAAGAATCACCAGAACAATAAAAGTACTTAAAAACAAAAAAGGTGTAGTCCAAGATCCAGAGAAAGGCACCAGAGTACTCATATTTGTAGCTTTCATATCGAATAAATAAAATTGAATATTCTTTCTTCTTCACTAATCTCTCTCTTTAGATTAAAAAATCTGTTATCACTTGATACTTGACAAAATCACGATAGATTCAAATCAATAGAGATTCCAAGCACTATTTTATATTCAAATCAAGGAGAAAAAAAAATGTAATATTATTTTAGTGACAAGAAAACACTCAAAGCGACGTACGAGACGCTGTGAAGGAAGTCTTCCTGTCACTTTTGCAAGCAACACAGTAGACTCGTCTTCTCAGAAAGTCTCTGGGGGTTTTTATCTTGTTACCCACGTTGTGGTGTGAATACCACCACTTCTCGGTTGTGCATGAGCACGGGAGATCACCGAAGAAACAAAAGGGGAACGAGTGATGAAACAAATGGTGCTTTAATGAGTCTGTTATATCCACAGTCGTGTATAAGTTGGTTTATATCTCATACGATTGGTATACATGCGTTCTGTCGGCCGAAAGTTTGCCCTTATATACTTAATAAGAAGTTACCCCCGGCAAGTCGCGGATGTCTCCACCAATAGAATCAGACACGTGGATACGATGACCGACTGTGTGCCGATTCAACCTCCAGCTGAACGTCGGTCGCCCACTCTTACGGTATTATTTCCATATCGACTTTGATTAAGTCTGTTGCTCATTTCGTCTTCAACTACCATCAAAAATTATTTATGAAATGTTTTTAAAAAAAACTTGACAGTATTTAAGACATTATTTTGTTCGCTTCAAAACATCTAACACGTTATTTGCAACTAGTTTTTTTTTTTTTTTTGGTTCGTAGAATCTTATTCTTCTTTTTAATGTAAGTAGTGTTGTCAATATTGAGAATTATTTTTTTTTGTCTGAATTACTTGTTTATTAAAATTTCTAATTGATTGCTTTTTGTTTTAGGAATACTTATTTTATAACAAATTGAACATGATTTTAATTTGTAAAAAATCTAGATTCATGAAAATAAAATACTAGATTGAATAATTGACAATAAAAAGTTGTTCAATGATTCTGATGAAATATTAGGTTAAATATTGGTTCTCCTATAATTGATGATATTATTTCAAAAAAATATTTCCTTAAAGTGTTTTATTTTTTTTTTTATTTTTGAAGAGTAAGCAATTAATAAGAATGCTAAAAGTAAAAACAAAAACATTCTAGAGATATTAATGCATTGTTTACAAATTCGATGAGTAGTGGTTAGATGGTTATTTTTTAAAAATGAAATAAATAATGCAGAATTGGAAATGAAAAGGTTATTAGGGAATTGGAGAAAAATATAAATTTGCTAAATTTATAACTTAAAATATAGATATTTCGCTTGCTATTCGATATATGGTAGTTGGAAAGAGTGAACCGAGGTCGTCCAGTCTACAAGAGTCTCATTGATTTTTTTTTACTCTTTTTATTATCTGTCAGTGATGAGACTTGACCGTTATCTAATTCTCACAACAGGATCAAAGTCTGATCAAAATGGAGCTTTGGACGAAAATGGGAAATTTTGCACTAATTTGCAATTTAAAATAACCTCATTTTTTCAAAGATCTATCAAAAAAATGTTCATCATTTCTATGAAATGAAACAAAGGAAATACAGGAACAAAAAACAAAGAATTTAAACGTAAGTGAAAATAACAAATTAGTGATAATTGGCAATAAAAAAAAGTTTTTTTACAATATAATTAACTTTCTTCCCCAGTGACACGCTTTTCAGGAACAGATAAAGGACATTAGGGGATTGGAAGGTTCTGAAGCAAAGCCACGTGCGCGACCTCACAAGAGGAAATCGACACAAGAGCTCTTGTAACCAGAGAAAGAGAAAGAGAAGAAGACTAAAAAAAATATTGAGTATCTTTATATTATGCGACCAATATTGAATTTGTCCATTGCATAATACACCAAACTCGTTCTTTTTAAATGCAGGCCACACCTTGAAATGTACCACATAAAAGAAAGTGAAATTGCATCAAGGAAAACGGATATCCGGTAAGTATATTAAAGAATGCAATTCGCAATTTTCATTTTTAACCATCAATTCACATTAATCTACGTCGATCATTATAATGAATTCTCAAAATAGTACATTGCAAAAACAAAATTCCTAGAAGTTTATTTATAGAGCAATAAACCATGAATATTTCACATTTTATTGATGGATTACACTACATAATTCCTAAATATATTTAGAAAAAAATAACTTAACATTTAATCCTACAGAATATTTTTTTTTAGTTGATAAAAGCTAATAATCTTATTATCTCCAGCTAAAAGTTATCACAAAACTTGTGAATTGAGTGTTACAATTTACGTGCGATTGTTACTACGAACCAATAATATGAAATCGGTATCTTTGTATCGTAGTGATAGTACAGTAATCAAGAACCGAATATCATAAAAGTGTTTTATTGTTAATCATTTCCAAATGATCTGCATGAGAATATAGATATATTATCAGATGATCAAATTATTACTTAATTTATCAAGATTCATTGTGATATAATTTACAGAATTTTATGTAATACGATTTGACGCATTATGAAATTTATTTTTTTTTAATCAAACGTAAATTAAATTGGTGAAAAACTAATGATAGATTTTATCATATAATTTAACAGAAATTAAAATATGTATCTATTATATTAATTGTTCGTTATACTACAAGCAAATGTGTCCTTCAAATTTTTTTCCACGTGTAAAACAATAATATGTACTTAAGATAACAGTTACAAGTAAATCATCCATTCAAAATTTTTAAGGAATATCAGTTTAAATGAAATATCATCAATCATAAATATTAAAATTTGTAGAAATATGTTCTCATTTTAATACAAAATATTTGAGTTGTGATAATCATGAACAGCAAAAATATCTGGTAGCATATTTGCGTCGTTACGTATAAAATTATTCTCTAACACGAAAAACTTGAGTTTCTAATGATATAGGTAAATTTACAAAATTATACATTCATGTTTAAAGCCACGTGTCTCTCTAGTAGATGTAGATTGAATGGGTGGAGAAGAAATATATTTAATATAAAGCGTCAATATTTCATACTTAAAATTAAATACAGGATCCTGACCTTGAACTTTCTCATGACATTTTTTTGGCGCCGTTGAAGACTACTCATTGCCAAAATTATCCGCATTCTTCTGGAGATCCCACTTGATGATTTTTTAGATAGAAAAGTTCGACACGTGTAACTTGATTGCCTTTCACCGCTAGTATTTATTAAAAGCTGATAATAAAAGGAAGCGATTCAATGATATCGGTATTATTAATTCATTTTTTGTTATTTTAAATGATTCCTTGGATCAATTAAATTCATTCTAGTTCAATTTTCCTCATTTTTTTATTGAACTAAAAAAAAATAATAAGTTTTTGCCAATATCTTTCTTTATCAGCTAAGCATCATATATTATACATTTAATTATTTATTTATGTTTTCGTAAACAAATTGATATAATTCTCAATATTTTCCTGATTAAAAAAAGCGAATAATTTAGATAAAAATATGTGGTTTTTTCCAGATTTATGATAATTAACTCGCAAAAGATTAAATCACTTACAAATATTTGTTTTTTTCTCTAATAAACTTAGTATTTGTTTAAAATATTTAGAAGGATATAGATGTTACACAAGAATTGCTAGTTATTTTATAACATCCAGGATTAGTTGATAACTATTTTTTAATTTATAATTTATGTGATAGTGAGAATATTTATTGAATAATATGACTGTAAGATTTTTTATGGCACAGTGGAAAACTTATGAATAGTGTAATTGTATTATCAACAACAATAATATGTTAATTTATCAAAGAAAATAATTTCTCCTCTACACTTAATAATAAAAATAATTGCCACGTGCTTACTACTTTATGTTTCCACTTTTTTTTATCTGACATGGTTTACTTGATAATTTAAATCATCTGTACATAAGAAATTATCATACGTTACCCCTTTGGTGATTAATTAATTATCTGTTGATATGGTAATAATGATAGCAATAATAAAGAAATTACTTTCATTCAATTGTTTTATGAATTTAGACCGATAACAGATAATTTTATTACTCTAGATATAATTAAGATTTTTTTTTCTTAAATAAATCACTGTGAAGTAATCAAAAGTTCATGAGATATCGGTCAATAATAGTTTTTAATTCACTATTTTTATAAAATTTTTACTCCTTTGTTTACAATAATTTACCACTTTTATTTTTTTAATTAAAATTTATTCCAAGTGATGTCGTCAATGAATTCAATTAATATTTAAATTGCATCAAAAATAATTGACCCAACCTAATTCTCGTAGTTAGTTTGAATTTACTAAGTATCGAGAAAGGTTCTCAGGTTTTTATGACGATGAAATACCCTCATGGCGTAATGTGATCAAAGACAATAGAACCATGAATTTGTCACGCAAAGTAATTTTCAGTGTTCTCGGTTTATTTGTCTAGTATTCAGACAGCAAAATAAGTAATGAAGAAATTTAGCATTTAAACTGTCTGGATAACTATAAAAAATAATTTATTACACCAAAAGCATGCTTTACACTTGATACTTATATAGTACATCTTTACATTTATAAAATATCCATCAAAATATTCTTTGAAGTATGTAAGGTAACAGTAAAAGTTTGAAAAATATCAGTAGATTTGGTTTTATGGCGTCAACACCACCAGCACGATATTTCCCTGAAAAAATTAAGTTACATTATTATATAAAATCTTTTTTGAACTTAACATAAAAATATTTAAAAATTTTTTCATATTTATTATTCTTTTCAAGTCAAACATTTAAAATAATTCAAGCTTTTAATTTTTCTTGATTAAATTATGCAACTTATTATTAAATATAAAATAAATTGCGAGATTTCTTAATGCATTTTTTGGAGTAATAATTTTTTATTGTTTTATTTTTCATTATCAAACATAATTATACTTTAATATTTTAATAACAGATATTGTATTCTTTTTCATTTTTAATTCTATATACATAAAAAAAGAAAATACTTACAAACAGAGCTCAAGTATGAGTAGCAACAGCACTTTTTTAGTCTTTCATATTCAGCACAGTTATCAGCTTTCGATTTGCACGCATGTCGTCCAATATAACATACATGTTCGACGAAAGAAAACACCCCTGAAAAACGAGCAATATATTAATACCATATCTCACAATATATCCCATATGCCAACAAGCAAGTTCTCCCTTGTGAACTGATTATAATGAAGCATGTATGTTATCAACTTGAGTCGGCTTACGTGAGATATCAATTTACATAAAGACACTTCCGGTGAAATATAAGTTCGTGATAAGACACCAAATAATATAATAATAACGTTTATATCAATGATATACAATAATACACAAATTAACATAACAAGATAACGGTAATTACGTTAAACCACAAATATTTTAGTGACTGTCTACTCAATGATTGATTCACGACAAAAATTTTCATTCTAGTCTATGCTTTGGAATATTGATAAATCTATCAGTGTTTCCAAGCTTTTAAATTCTATTCTATTCGCGTCGTAGGTATGTGCAGCCACGCATTTCTATACTTTGCATTTTACTCTACACTGAATAAGTACATTTGATGGATTAGTAATACATAGTTGATATTTATGATTACATCAAGATAAAGAACTTGAAATTTTAACTATTATATTTCGTTTATCATTTAATTAACTTTAAGAGGATCTTTATCTCATCTATTTTATCTAAAGTATTTTAGAACAAACATTATTCTAATTCTAAATTTTTTTAGAGGAGAAAGTCCAAATTGTTGTCTTTTTTTCGCAACTAATAGGATTCTTTAACATATAACTTACAAACCCATTTACTGGAACATATAAAAGTGTTGAAAAAATACTAAAAAATCTATTTCCTTTATTTCTTACGTAATTTACAATCGTTATCTCACATTTAAAGTAGTTTTTGCCATTTTTTATTCAACATTTATTTTTTCTAACCAAAAGCTAGATGAAACAATCCAATAAATGCTTGAGTTGTCATCTAAATAATTGTTGATCAAGGTTTTGTTATAAAAGAAAAGATATCGAAACGCTTGAGTGAGATGACGAGGTCATATTAATATAATTGCAGCAATTGAAACTCCAATATTATCCTCCAATTTTTAAAAACATACTTACTATCATAGGTACTGTCACAGCAACAATGATCACTAATAACACTTCCGTCTTTACAGTAGGTCATCTCTTCGTACGTACATGCTTTACATCCAGGTATAGGATCTGCAAAAAAATATTCCATTATTTTTTATGTCCTTCATTAGCTATTTTATTTTAACTGTCAAGTATTAATGTCATCTTACGAAAGTCTATAATTAATATAATAATTACACAAATTTCATAAATAATTTATGTATAATTTAAGCTCATTAGACTGTCTAACGTTTACGTAACGGCATTAACAGGGACGATCACCTCTTTCTTCATGATCATGATTGTCTCTGCAAGAAGTAAAGGCATCAACGCGTATCTTGACTGTAGCAACACGTGATACTTGATACGTGATTTGAAGAACATGACGAGCATTTACATGGCTCTTTTACTCTGGACTCAACAGTTATTTTCTCAAAGATAAGGGAATACAAAGAGTAAATCGACATTTTAATTAAATACATTAACTAGTGAAATTAAATTTTTACTTTATTCCATAAAAATGAAAATTTAAATAAAGACTCGAGGATTTTATTGTATTATGTAAGAGACAATAAAATTTTAACAATAGGATAATAAATATGATTTTCTTTCATATGCATGTTTTATAAATTAACTGAAATTATTGTGATACTTGTTGTAATGATTCTCAATCTTTCAAAGATAGTTTTTTTTTTTTTTTAAATATTTACTGATAAATAAAAATGGAGTTTAGTTTAAATTTCACTCTATTTGTAAGATTTTCAATTTTTTTTTAAATATATTATCCTCTGTTAATTTTATACCTTGTGAAATACTGAGGTTTCTAGCCTTTGCAATGGCATCTTCATAAGATACTTCATGCTCCAAGAAATAGTCATCGTTAGCAAAATGATCCACAATAGTGGCTGCTTCTAGATTCTTCAAAATCAGCAGAAAGCCAAATATCGCTTTCGCAATACTTTTAATCATGCTAGTAAAGCGAATTTTTTCTTCATCCTCTTTTAATTGTTTTACAGTTGTAAATATTTTGTCCTGAAAAAGTTATTTAATTAGTCAAGATTATTAACAATTAATTACCTAAAAAATAAAATATCTAATCTAGTTTTAAAATATTTAAAAATAGCATTTAATATCTCTTTAAAAATAATTATCATCAACTATTTAATTATTCATTCAAAGAAATATCATTTCAATCAACTGATAACACTTTTTTGAAAAATTATTTTTATAAAAAATTTCAAGAACATGATTAACATAGTTAAGTATACCTTAATCATATTTTAGCATTAGTTACTTTTTCTTATTACATTTAGTCAAGCTATTTTTTTTCAATACATTTATGATTCATTGGTAAGAAAAAAAATTTTTGCACAACACCGATAGTCAAGATTATGAACCAGCACGTAAGAAAACGCACGAACGTGCTATCGATCCCGACGGTTTTTATTACGATGATTCATTCACCCTCAATCTAATTCTTATCTACCCTATTTTAGCACAAATCTTTCCATAAAAATCAACGAATTTATTCAAGCCTTTATATATATTTTTTTTTCTCAGCCAAGTTATAGGAATCAGGTCGAGTTTACACGAAAGTTTCTGTCAATAAAGATGTAAGGTTTCAATCTGTTTAAAATTCCAGGATTATATTCCCAGTTGAATGGTTAGTTTTACTTTGGTTTATTTTGTAAACAACTGTTATATGAACTTAAAATAGATGACTTTCTCAATGTGTACATACATTAAGTAGAAAATGAAGAAAAAGAAGTTTTATTTACTGTCTGCATTTATTTACTGTATTAACTAGATAAATGAAAATTTTATCAGAAAACTTGAATTAAGATATAGCAGATATGCTAGCAAAAGAGAATGATGACTCAAAAGAACGTCAACTCTTATAATCATTAATTAAGATCAATTAAAGACAAACACCGCAAACCTTAAGCTTCCGCTAATGAAGGAGTCGTTAATATACCGAATAAAATTTCTTGAAAAATTCTATGAAAATGACATTCTACTTTTTATTTAATTAATTAAATTACTTTCGTCCAAAAATAATGATAATCATTATCATCATCATCACAGTGGTAATAGATGTAATAAGTAAGTGGGTGTAAATAAGCGTATAACTAGCAGTTAAAGTGAAAAATTACCAATTATAACGAGAACACAGGCAGTTGTTTCCATGAAATCCACAAAAAAACAGTGTGATACGTTGAAGAAAAAATTTTCAAGCGACAAAAAATTTTCGTATCAAAGGTTTGAAGTCTTATCTTTATATATGTTAACCCTTGACCTATTCCTTAGTCAGAATAAAATCATTCTCATTCTAGAACAAACAATTTACAAATATAATTTGCTCAGTATATGATAATAGTTTTTATAATTCAGATAATTGTGCAAAAAATAACATAAAAGTGCAATAAAAGTTACAGCTTTACATTAACAATAACTTTCTTTTAATTATTTGACATATGTTAAATATTTTTGCAAAATATCAGTGAAAAATTAATAAGCAAACAGTATTTACCCATCATCATTGTCTCCATAATATAATTGTTAATAAAATTAAAAGATTACATTTTAACCTTAAATGTAACATCAACACTTCAAACTTCCAATAAATTTTCATAAATCACTGCTTTAAAAAGATATCAATCTCCATAGTTGAACAATTGTTAAGACAATTGAAAAGCCAACAAAGTTTTTAAGTAAATTTAGTGAAGTCGCGCGTCACGTGTAGCAACCGTTGGAGACTACGTACTACATGCGACTGTGCGAGGGGCTGAAAAGAACGTTTAGTTGTGTCTATACGAGCGATCCACCACTTCGACTCACTGCAGGCTTTGCTTGCAGTAAGCATAAAGTTTCCTGTTCTCCCTCTAGCCAGTGTCATATTATCACAATAGTGTGTTAGTACACTATTCTATTATTTCTTTGACTAGGAATTTCAAAGTTTATTCAATTCATCAATGAATAGGTCGATACATCAAATATATCCATATACTTCCTCAATCCATGATCAACCTTTTTGACTCTGAAATAACATAATTAAAATGTTGTTAATTAAATGGATGACTACGTGTGATTATTATTCTAGAAACAAACTTGAACAGGAAGTCAAAAGATATAACGACGTACGTGCAATATAAATTTATTGCACGTTGATGCACATAACAAGATCCTCGTAAGAACATTCTTTTGTTTTTATTATTGAAATAAATTGTTTATTGTCTTTGAAATTTTTTTAACCAGTCGAAAATCTATTTATAAATATTATTCATACAAAAATTAGTCCAATGAAATCTTTGTTAAAAAAGGAGAAAATTGAAATGACAATCGTAGGGTCTTTGGAATTCACAATCAACTTTATCTTTCTTTATCGTTTTACCCACCTTTCACTCTTCTTACAAAAAATATCATGTAGACCTTATGGAGCATATGTGAGACGGTGTAATATACCACTGCTACCCTGTATTCATTCGCAGCTGACGCTCAGCGTCCGGAATGTTCGTTTACCTGAAGCAAGTCCAGAAGATTGAATTTTATTTCGAATCGAATCAAATACGAAGCCATATATATGTTTTTCAGCGTTGGCCTTTTCCCCTATTTACGCAGAGATTTGCACCGTATCTGTGGTGGTATGTATATCTTATATGTACATACATATATACTTTGTATGTAGTACTAGAAGCCCTTTCAATACATGAACGTGATTATACATGTACTCTTTCATTCGTGTAAGAATTGATATAGTTAAAAGACCTGCGTAAGAACGAGTTTGGGTTAAAGACTAACACATATAAGAAGGATATGGCTTTGTCGTCTATTGATCCATTCAACAGGAGTTTTCGTCCCTTTCAAATCCTCCAATCTTACGTTATATTAAGTTTTCAGCCATCAGTACACATTACTTCATCACTGGAGTGTCCTTGAGTCCTTGAAAAAAGTCTTTTTGGGTCACTCTGTGTGGTTTAATTTCTATGAGAAATTCATTACTCAAGCACCCGCATCGTGATTGCTACATCAAACATAGAGATATAAATAAAAATGTTTAGGTAAACGACCTGGTTTTTATCAAATTTTTTTAATGGTTTTAAATGACAGTCAATAGAAAAATACATACTTACTCATTCACTTAGTATGATAGAAAAAAAAATCAAGATTTTGAAATATTGCTTCTAGGAAAAGTGATAAAACTTCATCAATATCATTCAAGAACGCTTCGGAATCCTTTATTTATATCATGTGGGTGCGTTTAGGGCACGGCAGATTGTAACGCTTCAGATCATTTTATTCTCCACGCCTATTATTGGCTATTTATTTAATAATTTGGGTTTCATTATTTTAGTTTCCCCTTTCAATTATAAAGATATTCATTTTTTATCCATTAATCAATTTTTTTTTCTCAACTTGTTCAATGCTTCTTACTTTTATTAAAATTTCGCACTAAGTACTTATTCAATAGGTCTCATTGCTATGTTTGCAGCATTTTGAACAATTGTTGCTGCTAATATTATTATTAATTAATTAAAAGAAGTATTAATATTATTGTAACGTTAATGACAATAATTGGTGTTAGGTTGTTCAATCCACCTCCATGGTTGTTATCATCTCAAGGTTTTGATGAATGATGTTGAAGACTTGCAGTGGTTAGAAAATTTCAAAATGAACATGATTGTAAAAGTTAATGATTACTTTTTAACTTTTAGAGTTTTATTTTGTGAGAAAAAACATTTTAAAAAAGTTATTGAAATAAGTCAAGTATAAAAAACTTTCTCCAACTCCAAAAAACTTCAGTTTTATACTCCAAAGCATTTGTTTCTGAGTTTGTTTACATTTGAATGTACTGTTTTATCAGTGAATTATTTTTTATCAACCGAGTGGTAGCATTGTAGTTCTTCAATCATCAACAATTTTTGGATCGCTAGCTCTCGAGACGATCTCACGTCATCACTGTAAATAAATGTCTAGCAATAAGAAATAGTAAAACCAGTGTACGGAATAAATTGTGATTGAACCAATGAAAAAGACGCCGGACGTCTCCATATGCGCAACACTGCAGTATTCTGAAGGCTAATCCAAGTGAAAATAAACTATAAGGATAAAGTTCATAGTTCTTAGATAGAATTTTCTAACAACAATGGATTCTCCAGTGTTAGATCCAGTGAGTAAAATTTTCTTTGAATTCTATTTATATTTTTGAGAAACGTTATCGAATTTTCGTTTACATTATTTCTAGCAGAAATTTCTGGATCTAAAATAATCTAGCATTGAAATTTTTGTATGATTACTGTATACAACTTTCAAATCATAGGAATTACGAAATACAAATGTCATCACTCATAATAAAAGTATTAATTAGTATTCTATTATGAACAGTTAGTAATGAACAATGATAAGAAAATGTTAAATTTACATTATCGAAATGATTTTAATGAAATAAACTGTTATTAATGGAAGTATAATTCGATTATAATAATGATAACTATATGACATTACAGGAAATTCCATATGTAGGTGAAGTCCCTGGAGGTCTTTTTCCAGGAAAGATGGTTAAAATTCAAGGATCAATACCTCCAAATGCTGTACGATTTGCAATTAATTACCAACTAGGTCCTAACCTGAATCCACGGGATGACATCGCTCTTCATCTATCCCCACGTTTTCCAGAGGGATTTATTACTAGAAATCATATCAAATCAATGTCTTGGGGTCCTGAGGAAAATGGAGGATCAATGTGGATTCAGCCTGGACAAGATTTTGAAATTATAATACTCTGTGAACCGCTACAGTACAAAATTGCTATCAATGGCAGACACTTTACTGAATTTGCCCATCGATTGTCTTATCACAAAGTCACTCATCTCACTATTGATGGAGATGTGACGATTAAATCTATTTTATTTGAATCTCTCAGTGCTCCGCCATCAAAGCCTCCTAGAGTTCCTGATGCTCCGCCTGTCAATATTGGGCCTCCAGGTATTTTTTGTCTTCAAAAATATACTCCGAAATGAGAAAAAATAATTAATGAAGAATTTTAATGAAATGTAATTAATTTGCAGGGCCAGGACAGCTGTACCCCAATATTAATCCTGATCAGCCACAATTTCCACCTGCTGGAGGTAACTGGGGCCCACCACCTGGACCTACTCCTCCAATGCCAGCCTATGGGGGAAATTGGCAACCTGGGAATCCACCACAAGCTTATAAACAAGAAGAAGATGATGCTTTTGGTAGTTGTTTAGACAAAGTTGGGCTTGCTGTTGGTGGATTAATTGCTGCTGGAGGTGTTGCCGCTGCGATGCACGCAATTAATGTAAATGAAATAAATTTTTTCTATCAAGTTATCAACTCAACATAATCATTAAAAATTTTATCTTATTATATTCGTTGATTAAGCAATTTAACAACATTATTTTTAAATTATTAGAAAAAGAAGAATGAAAGTGAGACAGATCATGAGAAATCAGAACACGAAAAAACTCATTCATCAAAAACCGAAAGTGAAGGAGGCTTAAATTTAGGAGCCCTTGGAGCAGCATTAGCAAGTGGTCTAGCATCCACTGCTCTTCGTGGTGATTCTGGACTTGGTCATCAACAAGGATATCCTGCGCAAGATGCTGGAGCTGGTGGAATGCTTGGATCGCTTCTTGGAGCTCTTGGTATGTCTTTCGTAATTTGAAGCAATCAAAATTGCAACCGAATTGAATGAATTGAACGATAAAATGACGATGAAAATACACTGTACTACGTAATATGCGTGACATCATGCTTGAAGAACGATAATATTCATTCTACACAGTCAAGGATAATAATAATAACGACTTAATAACAACTGGATGATTTCTTATAATTCACTTTATACATTATTAGCAAGTATTATCACTTTTTAGCCAATAAGATTGATAAAATCTTGATAATTATAGGCGGTGGAGGTCATCAACCAGCACCTCAACAACCAGCTGATCCTCTTGGTGGATCGCTCGGATCTATTCTCGGTGGAGTTTTTGGTGGCGGAGGACATCAACCTTCCGGGGGCTACCAACCCTCAGGTGGTTATCAACAATCAGGCGGCTATGGAGGCTCTCAACCACAACAAGGATCAGGAGATTTTCTAAGTGGAATTGGAGGTGCTATCGGATCATCTTTACTTAGTTCGGCTTTAGATGGACTTACGAAGAACGTGAGTACCAAATTGCGAAAATAAACGCTTTGAATAATGCTTCTTTAACAACTAATGCTCAAATTATTTATATCATAAATTTTTTTAATCTTTTTAATTAATGAAACTATATTTAATAGTACTGTAAAAAGATTCTTTATTATTATTTACTTTTAATTTAACTGCTTATCGCTTTTAAAGCTTGAAAAATTTGATAAAAAAGCTTTTAAAGTATTTTTTTATCTATAATTTTGAATAGAAAAGCTTTAGAAAGTTGTAATACTTTAATGGGAAGGTTTTTACAATCAAACAAATGAAGAGGAACTATATTTTTAAACAATGATCGTTTACTTTTCTAATTTATTTTATTTTATTCTGTTATTTCTTAAACTTGTGCCTATATACTTTGGTTTTTATTATGGCTTGAGGCTTTTTTATACATTAATGGAACTTAAAATGTATTAAAAACTACTTGGATCTATTTAAATAAATACTTGCATGAGTTTGAATGATGCTAATTATTTTCAACATTCGAAATGCCCGAATCCATCCACCAATTGACTTTTAATAGAAATCTCATGGCAATGATCATCCATCGTCGCCTCCTCCACCATCGTACAACTATGGTCCTCCAAGAAGTGACCCACCACCTCAACCAGCTCCACGTCCACATGACTCAGCATCTTCAGATGGTGGAAAATTAACTGCTGCTGATATATCAAAAGGTCTTGGGCTAGGAGATGATGATGAGTAACTTTAATTTAGTTACGATCAAACTTCCATTTATATTTATAGACTATTTATAATATATCCAAGTTAAATTCATTGGATCAGAATCAAATTAATAGCATAATGCATTCGAAATATGAATTTTAATCATTAAATTATTTATTCAAAGAAGAATTTTGATCTAGATAGGAAAATTTGTGAAATCTTAAGGATATGTTTAACAGAGTCATAAGCTTAAAAGTTGAAATAGAATGTTTTCAATGGATACAGCTCTTAGAAGCTTATTTGCTTGATCCTCAATCGTTATTGTATGTATTATTGTTGTTGTTTATTTTTTATTAAATTGTTATTAGTTAGTAACTATTATTGATATTTAAAAATAGTTTAATCAATACGTTGTTGAAAAGAGGAAAAATCTATAATTCTTAATATAAAACATGCGCTATACACATTTTTTTTATTGAAGTTTTTTTTTTCAATCGTTTCATAGAAACGACTATTAAATCAAATTTTTATTTAAAATATATTTGGAGTTAATACAATAGTAATTGGGGATTAAATACGTACCTATATTTATTTTTATAAGTATTGTTGTGGCCTTATAATACATTTTGCGAAAATATATTTTTAGAAAACAACATATAGTTTATTTAGAAATATATTTACAAACTTATGAAAGATGTTTGAAAAAAGAAGAAATAACACAATTATAAATATAAAATCTTTATAAAATATAATACAAATATATCAGTTATATTAATAAATCTCTAATAAACAACCAAAATAATTAATCGCTCAGAGCTTCTCTCGACGAAGTTGTTTCCAAAACAAAGCCTTCTTTGGTCTAAAAAAAAAATTATAAAAAAATAAATTTCAAGGCTATAATATTGAATAGTAAAAGAATTTTAACTGAGTGATTATTGCTAATAGACAAACACATTACTAACATTTTCATTAGCTTTTAATGCCTCTAATGCTTCCTTCTTCTTTCTATCGAAGAATCCAAGTTTTATTAAACCAAAGGTTAACAAAATAAGTAACAAAATTCCAAGAAACACTGACAATGCTATGACCCATGTTGCAACTTGACTTGCAACTGGTGAACCAACGAAGGTTGTTTTTACTTGAAAATAATCAGGCTTATGGTCAATTTTTTGAATGATTCCTTTAGGCATTGTAATACTTGCACGGCCATTTGACACAAAGTAAATTATATCTTTTCCGTCCATTGTATTATCTGTAAGCAGACAATTAAATTAGGTTATTGAAACAATTTAATTTTATTAATAGTAACTAATTGATATTAATTTATAGTTAAGAATTGTTGAAACTTAATGACAGCTTAATAAGACATCACTTATTATAAAAAATAACTATAATTAGGTGTTCAAAGCAAGGAATGTAGATGTGATTAACAATAAACAATTAATTAATCAACTAAACAATTTTTTTTAATACATACTAAAATTATTCAAAAGTAAATCCATCGTCAATGTCACTTCAGCTATAGTTGATGAATTTGTCGGCGATTCGAAAACACAATATACTTCTTTACAAACAATCAAAGGATTCGAACAGTTCAAATAGAGTGTTCGTTCATCAGGAGGTAAATTAAATATTTCATCACTAAATCCTGTGTCTATAAGATCATCAGTAGCTTCTAAATAGCCCCATTTTTTAGTTAAATTACGTGGTCGTTGAGTGCAATGAGAATTTAATTTGCCAGATAAAGCAATACGTGAGATTGATGTGTCATTGATTGATACTATTTCGATATTTTTTTTGTTAGTAATCATTGCAGTTGGTACTAAAATTTTTAGAGTTGACTGTTGAATAGGTGTAGCTCCAAATTTCTGGACTTCATAGACGTGCTGGAATCTCATGGATCCTAGTGTTTCTTTTCCAGTATTATCAATTTCTTTCTTTTCATTCACGAAAGAATATAGACTATCTTGAGCTTTTCTGTGAATATTTTATAATTTATTAATTAAATTTAAACAAATTAAATATTTTATTTAAAAATGGACAATGAATTCTAGTATTAATTATGTTAAAAAACAATCTAGCATTAATTTATTCATAATTTTGTTGCAAGTTGATAAGATACTGCTCAATGCTGTCTATTTATTACCAGACAAATGATACGGAGTTAAATATAAAAATAATCTTGGCTTACCCGGCAACAGTAATATCAGCATCAAGGTCGAAATAAATTGTTAAATTGTGTTGAATAGGAATAGGTATCACATTTTCACTTTGAGTAGAAACTTTTATAAATATTTCTACTGACTTCTCATCAGTTTTTACTTGACTCATGTCTACATCCAATGATATATTTTTCTTTAAAAATCAAACATTGAAATTAATTAATAATCTTTTTCAAATTGGTAGGTTGATTGAATTTTTTGAATGTCTTACTTCTGTCATAAATGGATTTCCTAAAGTACAAGTAACATCTAAATTATCAGTATTTGTGGTACCTTCAATACATGAAATAGGAACACTAGCTAAAGCAAGATGTTTTGGAAAAATAATTGAAACCTCTGATTGATAAGCAGCTTCTCCATAATTATGCACATCAATAAAAATTTTTACAATCTTAGAAGTTCCTATCACGTATCGATTATCATTCTCTAGATTTGTAGATACATTTAAAGTTAGATTTGCAAAGCAAATATTATCAGATCCGCAATCTACTGCGAAAGGAATTTTCAAAGAATCCTCGATTTTAGAACGATATCTATTTAATACGGGACATGTCGAGCAAAATGTGTTTGATTTTGTTGAATTTGTGTCTTGAATTGGATTCAATTCTAGTGATGCTGATATTATAATTGGATCTATTACATTTTTCATGTCACTCTGTCACCAGAAAAAAATTATTTCCAACTCATTAATCTCACTATTGGATTTAATAATTTTTTTTTATAAATATAATCAACTTTACCTGTAAAAATATCTCTAACTTCTTACATGTATTAACACCATAATATAAGACATCATGCCAGTCATAAGTTCCATTATTTAGCATTAATTTTCCTACAGTTGCTCTTCCTAATATAGGATCAATCTTTAATTTTTTAATGATTTCTAAAAAAAAAAATAAATCAAATGCATTTAATTCATCACGTAATTACAATATTCATTTGTAGTCATAAATAGTACTAAATAATACTAACTCAAATAAGTTGGAGCATGAACTCCTTCATAAGTGCAACAGATTTGAATACTAAATGATGTAGAATTACTGCGAAGTGTGATTTTATCATTATTAGAAAGAGTAACAAATACTGAAACAACCGGGTGAGTTCGGAGAAGGACTGCATGTCCTGACTGATAAGCTCCAATAGCTATATCATTATACCCGTTTCCATCAATATCTCTAGGTTCTGATATAGATATACCGAAGCCTCGGAGAGAAAAAGGAAATTGCTTTCCAGTTATTCGTTGGCTCCATTGATGTAATAATCCATTTGAATGACCATTGAAAATATAAACTGCTCCATGACCTTCTTCATATGGTGCTCCTACTGCTACATCACTGAAACCATCTTGGTCTATATCACCTAAACACACCACTGATGATCCGAATCGACCATCTACTACTTTGCCATCAATCCACGATGATAGTTCAAGAAGCTTCTATATCAAAATAATTACATTTTTATTCGATTTGGTTAATTAGATAGAATTTATGATTAAGAAAAATTAATTATTTTACTCTAGACTTTGAAGAAAAAACATAAATCCTTCCTTCATCTCCATTTTTTGTCCACAAGGGAGCACCGACAATTAATTCATCTTTTTTATCACCATCAATATCACAAGATGTTATTGCAGCACCAAAATATTCACTGTGTTGAGTTCCACTGAGAATATTTAATTTCATTGTTGAACCATTATCAAATTCATCATCGTTAAAAATCACAACTCTGCCTTTCATGTCATCGCTTCTAGGAGCACTTGCAGCGTATGCTCGTTTTTTACCACCAAAATAATGTCCAGAAGTGACGGCATACCCTAGAATACATTGTCAAATTTTTAAATATTTATACGTACAATGTACTCCAAAGTTATTTCAATAATATTTGATGAGCATTTGGATTTAAATAACTTGAATATAAATACCTAAGTATTCTCTATCAACCCATGAAAAATCTGGTATTGTGGGTACAAAGGTATGATAATCAACTTCAGAAACAATAACTGGTACTCCATACCAAGTATACATTCCAGGACTACCCAGCACAGCATTCCATCTGGGTTCATCAGAAATAGTATGAACAGATAATCCCAGTTCTCCCATACCCCAATGTGGAACTATCTGCCCGTTTAAAGTTCTTGCAGATAGATAGGAATAATTTGTCAGAGGTTTTATTCTATCATCGATTGTCTTTTCAAAGGTGTAAGGAGATATTACTGTTGTTTGATAGCATATTCCAGTCATATACCGTTGGTTAACAATATACCAGATGGATAATATCCATCGGGGTGCACAAATCTGTTAATGTAATAAAGAAGTTGAATAGAAGAATTTTATTTAACAGAAAAAAATAATTTTAAATATCTTTTTATTTATTATATCAATGTTAATATTTAGAATCAACTGATTATTAAATTAAAATTAATACCAAAACTTTAGGGTAGTCTTTATTTTCTACAGCAATATTAGCTCCAAGCCAAGAATGATCTCTTATTTGAGAACCGTAAGTTAAAAACCCTGTAGAATTATTATTAGTATTATCCACAATCCATTCTTTACAACTTCCATCTAAAATGCACTTGAATACACTTCCAGGTTCATTAACTGCAATATTTTTAATATCTGCTCTAGGAGCTCCTACTAACACTGAAGGATTACTAAAACGAGGTCCATGATACAACGCCACAGACCATCCAAAATAACTTCCTCGAACCGTCCGTTTATAAGGATCACTGAAAACTATAGCTTCATTTATATTCAAATTATATGCACTACTTAAGCATAAAATGCACCAACTGATCACTAAACAATACTTGATGGCACTAATAATTATATTTTCATCTGCCAACATTGTTTATAAGTCTACTTTATTTTAAAGATTGGTATAAAAATATCAGGAAAGAGTCAAGTCATACTCTAATCGTCTACTGAGACTAGTTGCTGGGCTAAGGAAGGAAGTGGTTTCCAGAAAACCACTCTTACATCACATTTGCTCAGTATATTTGCTCATAAGCACGACCCAGAGTGAGTAATGAACAGTACATCATGGAATACTGCTTTCAATGTTTAATTTATTTAATATTATTTCCTCTTATGAGTCATTTGTGTTTGATTTATTCCTTGAAAATTACTATGCTCTTCAAGTAATTCAAGTTTTTTCTATCAAGATAAATATTTCATGTTATCATTTCAAAAAGTTTTTTATTGAAAATTTATTATTCTATAATACATTTCTTATAGGTTTTTTCTTACGTAAAATTGGATTTTTCTGATTACTCACATGGTTTCAGGTTACATCAACATCATTTTAATTATTGATTGTTGTAATTCTAAAGTTATATGTACTCTTAACAATTTATTTTTTATCAATAAACATTAAAAACTAACTGTGTTGTTTTTATTGACGTTTTATTTTATTATGTACTCAATCAATCAATAGTAATAATAATTATTATAAGGATATATATAAATGTATGATTAAATAACAATATTAGTAATAAAAGAACATTCCAATGTGCAGAAAGGAGTAATGATAACAAAAATAGTTTTGCTGTGAGAAACTAAACCAAAACTGGTGACTCACAGTTGGGTTTATACATGTTCATCTTCTAGGCTGCACATTCAGTATATTCTCTTGGTAGTATAATGAATCAACATCGTTTGATATTCAAATGAGACAAAATGTGTGTATATGTTCTCGAATAAATGTATGTATGCGTGCTGTAAATAAATTTTGTTAAAATGACATCACATTTTATTTTTTCTTTTATTATTATACTTTAAGTTTAAATTAATATAAGAAGAACAGAAATATATATAAAAAAAACACACAAGCACAAAATGTTTTGGAATATTTCAAGATACATGAAACTTATGGGTGAAACTATTATAAAAATATCATTCAGAATGTCCTTTAGTTCCCTTTTATATGCACAAAAAGGAAGATTGATAAATAATTTTAGATTACTCTTTATTTTTACGATTGGTTAGCTTGATTAAACAAGCCAAAAATTTTCCTGAATGTTTCCTGTTTCATGCTTTTTTATCAACAAAATCTTGAAATACTTTTTAATTTATAATTCAAAACGTATTTTTTCTTTTTTTCAAGTAAACAATCCTGTTAAAAATCATTATCAATTCATAATTGACACTAAAATCATTTTTTTAGTCTAAACAAAGACGGATTAAGTATAAAAGAATAATAAATTTTTTATTTACTCCTATTCTTTTACTAATCATAATCAAAAATTTTATCAATTACCCATAATTATGAAGTTAACTTTTTACTTTTTTTGACTTATTTAATCATACTAATAATTCGGAAGGATTCATAATTCAAATGAATTAAGGTGCAGATCGTTTACGATAACCTTTGCGTGCGGCATCCACTTTTTTCTTAAAACATTCAATGGTTTTAAGAGTTCTTTCATGGTCAGAGCTTTCAGCCCCATTACACGCAGCTTCTGCAGCTGTGTCACACTTTTCTATCGTTGAAACATTGGAAGTAACTCCACTATCTGGAGTTGGTGGAGCTTTGGCATTTTTTTTAATTGGCGTTAAAACTGCTTTATTACTTACATTGTTACTATTTTCCAAGCTCGAGCCATTAGCAAATTCCGGACTATTACTATTATTACTACTACTGCTACTACTACTGTTGTTGTGATGTTTTTCGCGACCTGTTTTATTGCCTGATTTGCATCTTTCAGGTCTATTCCGGTATCCGCGGGATCTTTCTTCAGTTTTAAGCCGTCTTCGTTTAGCTGGATGATCGTTTTCTTCATCACTACTTATACTGCTGTGATTAGATTCTCCCAGATCACTATCTGTTGCGATAGCTCTTGGAGAGTATCTAGAACCACGTGAGCTTACTCCTGTGCTAGTACTTGGCTGTGCTGTATCAACAGTTGAAATATCATTTCTTGAATCCTTAGAATTATTTCTACTACGTGAATCACATTCCATATCACTTTCAGAATCACTGGGAATTTTTAAAATTGTACACTTTCTTCGTAATTTATTTCTCATACCAGGATATCTGGTCTTCATAATTTTCATTTTTGCTTTGTATTTCAATCTACATATACTAGAAACTGTAACTTCTTCTTCAGAGCTCTTTTGATCGTGCGAATCTGAGTCTTCATGTGTTGTTGATGTTGTTGGACGATTAACAATGGCTCCTCCCTCTAACGCAGCTAGTTTCATTAACTTTTCTCTACAACTGCCAATTAATCGAGTTATTCTGTTTGGAGATTCAAAAGGTCTTTCTGGTACCACACCTCCTCTAGATGGATGTCTATATTTTGCTCCTAGAAAAGTACGTACCATATGCGTATCTACAGAACAGTCTGAATCTGAAAAAATATTAGCAGATTAATATCATTAAGAATTAATTAAATGCTAAAAAATGAATTATAAAATTTATTTAATAAAATTAAAAAACCTTACCATTAGAATCAGTTTCTCGAATTGGGGGCGTTACAGAAAATTCTTCAGAATCACTAGGACTACGTTGACCAGTTGGAGCATCTTCTGAGCTCCAGCCTTCAATCTCGCGTTGTACCAAAGAGTCGAAGAATGCCATCATTCTTGGATCTTCATGGGTTGACTGATGGCTGTAATCATGAGTCATAAACTGACCATTTCTTAATACTAATCTGATATATTCATCATGAGTAAAGACTTTTCGTTGTTTTTCCAGTTTTCCATCAGTTCTCTGAGAAATAAATTAAAATATATTTCAATTTATCTAGTAAATTAAAATGTTTTGTGATAAATCAGAAAATATTGTTACTCACAGATAAACCACCAAGGCATCCATTTCCAAGGGTAAAAGGACTCCATATCTTGATAATCTTCTCCACACCTGAGGAAGCTAAAATGCAATGTCTGGGATTGTATCTAACGTGATTTACAATTGATCTATGACCCCGCAAAATCATATGCGCGGATTCTACCCAGTTTACGTCTTCGTTTGGAATCTTCCACATATAGAGACTGAAGTCGTCAGATCCTATTGAACAAGAATTAAATATTAATTTAAATTAGTCTTATTTCCCAAATAAAACTAATAAAATATATAATCTTAAAATTATTTATTCAAAGTTGAATAAATGTATTCAGGAATAGAATTTTCTTGAACTATAAATATAAGATTTATCCTAAATATCAATTGAAGTTTTAATGTGGTTGATCAAACTATAATTTGTCATCTTACATAATCTTATTCTCCATAAAGAATAATAAATCAGATTGAGTTCATCCAATGAATATGTTATTGATATCAAGATTTTGATTTAAATACAAAATGATTGTTTTAAGTGTAATGAACTTTTCAGTAACTATGGTATATTTCAACGATTATCAGTAAGAAATTTATACATTACCAGAGAGAACATATGATTCATCATCTCCAGCAAAACAAGAAGACTTCATAGTGCAGCTATTATAATAACCAGGCTGATCAAAGTGGCACAAGAGTTTTGGAGAATCAACAGCATATAAAACAGGTGGTAATCTGCGTTTTAATGCTAATAATCGAGTTCCTGCTGAATTAAAACGAACATTCATGCAACTCTGAGTTGGACCCTCGAGTCCATAACGTAAAACAGGCCTGTAAAAAAAAATACACTCAAAATCGATTTACTAAGTGGATTAACTTATATAATCGTACAATTAAATTTTAATCAATCGTTTCAGCTAAAATACGATTGTACAATAAATTGAAAATTAATTCAATTCGTTTCGATGCTTAATAAACTTACTCTAATGGTTTCCTAATATCCCACGTGCTTACACCTTCTTCAGCGTTTGCAGTAGCAAGCTGTCGAGGCTCAACGGGGTTAAACATTACTGAATGAAAGGGAGTCTTGTATTGAGCCAGACACAATGGTTCAGTATTGCTTGAATTCCGGATATCAAATATTAGAATTCTTCCATCATCACAGGCACTGGAAAATATATTGTCATCTTCGGGGTGAACTGATAGCCCGTAGACTGGCTTTTCGTGAAGAAAATATTCCAAGGGATCTCCACTGCAATTAAAGTTAATAATGTAACTCAAATATAGCTGTTAAGACAAACATAATAAATTTATTTACATTAAATGACTTAATTCTTTAACAAATCATTAGTTCTAAAAATTTCAATGGAAGACATTTTGTTTTGATAATATTTTAGTAATGGTTATTAGTTTATCAGGTTATTTATCAATTTAATCTAAATGTTAATAGAATAATAATTATTTTTCAAATTAAAAAGTTTGAATTTAACCGAATTATATGTTGTATTACTCTGAAAATATTTTTAATAAATGAATAAATTAGAAAATTAATTAATCAGTCAACATTCTTACGTTCTGAGATCGTGAACGATCACTTGATCATCATTTCCAGCAGAGAAAATTTTAGTATTGCTGCTATCATATCCGAGGCAAAATATATTACTACCATGTTGTGCTCTCATAGCCATAGGTTTGCCAACACCTTGAAGAGCTTGATCCACTTTCCATAAGAGAACTCTTCTATCATCTCCACCTGTAGAAAAATAATCAATTTTATCTAAAAATACTTTATTAACAAAAAATTTATCAATAAAAAAAATAAGACATGAATTACCTGAGACGAGAAGATGTCCCTCTTTTGAAAATTCAATTGCATTGACACATCCATAATGTGAGATGAGATCTTTCCGGTATAAATTTTCAGAATTATTAAGCCTCGCATCAACAAGGCGTTTACAATAATTAATACGATCATCAATTTGACGTGTTAAAATGCACGGTAGTGGACTACGAATCGAAGGACGAGCCATGATAATTCGTCCTGTTAATTTTGTTCACAGCCTTTGTTGCTCACAAATGTGTCAGCTTAATTATATTTTTGTCTTCCCATGAGCTATTATTTTTTTCCACTGATGGTAATAATAATAACAAAAAGTATATTCAATGCTTATTAATATATGACGTAGTGTTTTATAAATTTCTTTTTTCTGAAAAAATTTTACAGACACAAGATAGACATATGACGCCCACTCTAAAATCCCCTGAGTTTCTTTCTTCAAGGTACAAACTGAGCATAGAGGATCTAAACGCACACGAGTACGACTTGCCTGTCGATCAGCTGATCGGACCTCTCAAGTCTCCACTGCACATTTGGTACTTGTATTTATTACCTCTGTTAGTTTTATGGTGATTTGTAATCTTATTTCAAAACTTAGCAGCGTTTATTAGGTTATTTAACATCTGTAAGGGAATTTATCGTTAATAAAAATAAAGTTTATCACTCTGAAATTGATGCGCGATTAGATATCACACTTCTTCACTAAACACATCACTGCAGCACTTGGAATTTCTATCAACACTACAGAGAGATCATGGAATCGGGCGCCACGCCACGGTTTACCCGAATACTTTTGACAGGCCCGCCAGGTTAATTGTACTTTTCAATTTTTTCTATTTATTATAAGAGTCATTATTTATTTATTTAATATTAATTTATGTTAATCTTTGCCATTTACTTTAGTAATAATAATCAAAATAGTAAGCAGCCACTTTGATGGACCCCACTTCTATCCTCATTACACAAAGTAGGGATGAATTTGTGTCCGTCAGAGTTGTTTTGCAGATGGTGAGGATATCGCGTAAATAGCAGATGATGGGGGGATTGGGATCGGAACTGGAACCGTAGTGCTATCCTGGTGGTCAAAATTTGAAACCTCAAGAGTAGGCTTCATATTTTATACTACATGTTTTGATAAATATGGCTTGATAAAATTTTTCTTTGATAAAAAAGTAATTTTTATTCTTTAAAATTGTTATAAAATCATCTAACAACATTGAAATTACAATGGAAAATAAAATTGTAAACTAATTCGTCTATCCTCTCTGGTTCTGATCCCAATATATGCGAAAATGAAAAAATGATTCAACATGCGCACCAGCATTAGCAAAGAAGAGAGAGACTTCTCTCTCTCTCTCTCTCTCTCTCTCTCTCTCTGGTGTTAGTTAGTGTGTTTGTACGTCACGTGTATTTATATTAATATTTTGATTAAATAATTTAAGATCTATTAGTATTGGATATTTGTTTGAATAAAGTACTTATTTTATATTTTGACCATTCAGAGTTATTGAAAGTAACTCATATGTACCTACATGTGTAGATTCGTGTTTATGTACGTGAAGTGGACAGCCTGAGAGGTTATTTAGACTAATTTGTTTATTACAAATTAATATTAAGTACCTATTTGTTAATGTTAAATTTTTATTTCATAATTTTAACATAAAGTGTTAGCCTGTGAAGTTTCGTGCATTACATTCAATTAATTGACCGTATGTGTCATATGTACTGGTGTAAAGTGTCAAAGTGTAATCGAATTCCATTACACAAGGAAGTCTAATAACGTATACTTGTTCTTATGATTCATGGAAATTCAAACATATTTACTCATATAAGTAATTGTAGGAGACATTGGTGATCATAGAAGATATGTACATGGTTAAACTATACGTAAGTTGCATTTTTTGCTAACTAATATTTGGTAAATATTTAATATCTATCTTATGATATCTTTTTATTCTATAGGGAGTATTATATTAGTTCCAAAGTAGTTTAATATATCACAATGACTGAATATAAACTTGTTGTTGTCGGAGCTGGAGGTGTTGGAAAATCAGCTCTCACTATCCAACTGATTCAGAATCATTTCGTTGATGAATATGATCCTACAATTGAAGATTCTTATAGAAAGCAGGCATGATTTTACTATTATAATGGTACTTCATAAAAAGAGCTATTTTTGATTAAATTTTTGCATTTTATCAGGTCGTCATTGACGGAGAAACATGTCTGCTGGATATTTTAGATACAGCAGGACAAGAAGAATATAGTGCAATGCGAGATCAATACATGCGAACAGGAGAAGGATTTTTGTTAGTTTTTGCTGTCAATTCTGCAAAAAGTTTTGAGGTATACAGTAATTAATATTTGAAGAAATGAATTTTTTTATTTGAAAATGGTATCAATAATTATTTTTTATAGGACATAGGTACATATAGGGAACAGATAAAAAGAGTGAAAGATGCAGAAGAAGTACCGATGGTTTTGGTGGGTAATAAATGTGATCTTCAACAATCTTGGGCAGTAAATATGCGTCAAGCAAGAGAGATTGCTCGTCAGTATGGTGTTCCTTTTGTAGAAACTTCAGCTAAAACAAGAATGGGAGTTGATGATGCTTTTTATACTTTGGTAAATTTTAATTACTTAAAAATTGTTTACTTGTTAGAATTACTTTATAGTAATTTTAAAAGATGTTAATAAAAAAAATATTTTTTTTTTATCAACATATTAAAAAATAGTGATGTCATTGAAACATCATTAATATCGATATTATTTTATTTCAGGTTAGAGAAATTAGAAAAGATAAAGAACAACGGGGGAAAGAGAAGAAAAACCGTATGAGAAGTGGAAAAACTAATCGTAGGAAAGTCCGGTGTTGCTTGCTCTAACTATGACATAATATTAATTTGTGGATGATGCGCACAATCAAAGCAAAAATCATACTCTGTATTCAATAGAATATCTATCAAATATATCAATTGAATTGTAACATTTTTTTCAAACATATATTGCTTTTTTAATTAAATGTATTTTTATTAATGATTAATTATTATTCCTTGTATGATTTCAGTATATATTCTTATTTTTCATACAATAATTAAAAATACAACTACTCAATAATAAATATATTAGAACTATGTATCCATGGCTTATTCTTTACTTCAGATGATACAATATATCACATACCAAATAAGGGAAAAAGCTCTAAAGTGGTTGCTTACTTCAAATTAAATTAAAATATGTCTCCTGTTAGAAATGTAGAATGTTTTATGATTTTCAATTGATTAATTCAGTTAAATTTCAAAGCACAATTAAATATTATTATACTATTATATATTTTTAGTTGTGTATGAATTGTATAATCGATAAATAAAAACATTTTTAGTCCATTGTAAAAATAAAATTAGAAAATAATTTCATACCAGCCTTTTCATATTGTACAGGTATTGGGAAAACAACGATTTGTAAGAAGATATTTGAAAAAGCTCAAGGTAGTAAGCATTCTATAGATGGATTTTACACTGAAGAAGTGCGATCAGAGAACAGAACGAGAATAGGATTCGATGTGGTACCTTTGAAACAACCTGTTAACAGGGTTCCACTAGCTCGAATTGAGTAAATTGTCAATTTTATTATTTTAAAAAAATCATCTTGGTTTAAAAAAAAATTCCATCACTGACTGAACTTTTCAGGTCTGCATTGAATGGACAAAAACCATCGAAATTAAAAGTTGGTAATTATCATGTATTTGTTGATAATTTCGAAAAAAGTGCTTTACCAACTTTAGAATCCAACTCTGTAAGTAGGAATATTATAGATAATAGTCAGATCTTGACTGTTAATTAAATTTTTCATGATAACTGAATTCTTACAGGATCTGTTAATAATTGATGAAATAGGAAAAATGGAATTATTTAGCAAACACTTTTACAACTCAGTAAATACCTTGTTTTTTTCAAACGATCAAAAATTCATCATTGCTACTATACCTGTAAAAATTCCTCAGAATTATGCGAATTTTTTTGAAAAACTTCGTCGCCATGAAAACTCAAAGATTTTTGAAGTAAACAAGCATAATCGAGATATAATGATTGATGAAATACTTAATATTATAATTTAAATCATCAAAAAAATAAATACCTTTCAAATTGAGAATAAATTTATTTTTATTTAATGTACGTATCGAGTATACATATGTAGTTTTTTTTTTAAAAAACCTCCGCCAGAGTTGATTAAGATTCAAGATTTATTAATTTCGATCGAAACAATAGAATCAAGAAAACAATAATTATTTTAAAGTTGATGATTTTCTTATAAGATGATTTAACTGTAAATTATTTATAAATTATAAACACAACTTTGTTCATAATGAACCCATATTTGGAATAGTTAATGTAATTGAAAGAATGATACTCAGCAGTGTAAGTTTCTCTACAAGACAGATATAGTTTCTTTTCCAAGAAAGTTACTTCATAATTAATAAAAAATATTTTTAAAAAATTTTACAATCAATCATTAACATAGTAATGATAATTTTTCCCTCACTCAACTACATAGCGATCATTTCTATGATACAAATTAATTTCATTCCTAGTATGTACGAATATTGTGATAGTTACTTATTGTTCTAATTTTTTTGAAAAATTTTTAAGCGCATTTTACCTTTTTTTTCAAATTTGTATCAAATATATTACGCACACTTTTATTCAACTACCTTGATTTGAATAATCATTCCAATTATTATTAATCTACTTTTTTTTAATAGTTCTAGATTGTTTACTAGAACATGGATTTCAAGAAAGGAGTAGCATACTGCATTGGCCTTATATTTGGATGAGGCTAAAAAAAAATCAGTTGTTAAATAATTTATTCAATTAAAAAAAAAAAATCACTAGTAATTAGTCTGAGCATTTATTGCTTTTTTACATACCACGGCCTCATACGTGACAAAATTAGGTTTCATATCTTTGCCATTGAGTGTGATGAAGGCACCACGGTTGCCCATTGTATCACTAAAAATATTTCATTGATTGAAAAAATGATTCCCACACCAAAGTTTCGACTTCTTTTCTTTTAATGTAATATTAAATTAAAAAAAATTACCAATAATTTGGAGCAGAAAACACTGTAATACATTTTCCATCATGTGCGACTTCATATCCATCACTCTTAACTTCATGGCTTCTAACAATATAATCCAAGTTATTCAGTTTCAAGAAATCATGAGTAACATCAGGTCCGAATTGAACACCAACACCACGTTTGCTTGGTGCACGACCTGGTTGTGGTTGAGGATCAGACCACAATAGCTCACACATTACACCTTCATCTGGTGGTTGTCGATTTCTATTAATTTCACGGATTTCTTTAAGTGTTACATCGTCTCTTGAAAATAATCCGCCATGCATCACGAGAACTCTACCATTCAGGCAGTGTGCTAAAGGTAACCAGTTATAAACTTCGTCAAACAATTCTGCCATTTGAGCAGAGTACTTAGTTTTAACTTCTCCATCAAAACCATACATGTGATTCATTATGATAGACTCATGATTACCTAATCAATTATGTAAAGTAATTATTTTTTTTTATTTATTATTCATACCAAAAATAATCATAGCTATTTACCTCTTGACATGAAAAAGTGATTGGGATATAATAATTTGAATCCGAACAATGTAAATATACATTCTACAGAGAAAGACCCTCTGTCAACAAAATCTCCATTGAATAACTTTGAAAATGTTAAGGTTATTATCATTCATTAAATAATGAATTTGATGCAATTTTCTAAAATAACTTTTTAAAAAGGATACGTAGGGATTTGTTTCAGATGGCAACCCATTGAGATTAAAAATATTTAAGAGATCATAAAATTGTCCGTGAATATCACCACAAATTGTAAATTTACTATCATCAGGTATTGTAACGTCTATCAAACTTGGTTGGGCTTCAAACCATGCCTTGATATCCAGAAGAATTTGATAAGCATATTTTCTATGCAATTTCTTCTCATCTCTATACCAATTTATCAAATCCTGCATAAATTGAACAGTTACTTTTCCGTTTTCCAACTTTGGTCCAGTATAGTCATCTTCAATTGCTGTAAAGATACCAATTAAATAATATTGTAAATGAAATTAAATTCATCTGTTGATGACTTACCCATAGCATCTAAGTTAATCATATCAGCAATATTTTTTTTACTATCCTCAACAGAGATAGCTTTTTCAAAAGCTAATTTTTTGACAATTTTATTACACTCGGTATATTTAGTTTTGGCATCCTTATCATTGGGTCTTGCTTTCATAACAGTTTCAAAATCTTTAAGAGCTAATTTAAACCTGCTCAAAGACATATAAGCACCAGCTCGACGCCAATAACCTTTGACATAGTTTCTGTCTAATTCAATAGCTTTTGAGGCATCAAGAAGAGCATATCCGAAGCATTCTGTTCTGAGATATGCAAAACTTCGATTTCCATAATAAGTTGCTACATTTGGATTCAATTTGATTGCTTCTGTATACAATTCGATAGCTTTTTCATAGTTTTCACCTGTAAGTAAATGTAGAACATTATTAACATTCTGAAATGGTAAATCATCATCATAGGAATAAAAAAGTTGGGGTTAGATTTCTCAAACACGTGACCATCCAATTAATAAATAAGAATAGTAGAAGGATGTACATTGGAATAAAACAAATAAATTTATTCATTTTTATGTATTTTATGAAGTTTGTAAGGATTATTATACTTTTAAAGTGTTCATTTGCCGCTTCTCTCAATTTTTCCGCCTCGGCAGCATCTTCAGGAGACACAACACTTGTTATTTCTGTATTTTCACTCATCACGAAATCACAAAACCACTAAATTTCCACTGGAATTAAAGTGACTTAAATTGTGTCGAGACGTCGACAATAAATAAGGCATTAAAAAAAGGCCCGTTGATATTTTTTTCCTCTCGGAAATGTGCTTATTTACGGGTTCCTGGTTAATTCCACTTGAAGTTAAATCCGAAAATTGTAATTATCATATAGCTATACTACGTGAACGATCCACATTGTACTACAACGTATATTATACGTGGAACTGTATAATACGACATATACACAGATGTGGGCAAAGTAATTAAGTCGTTATTTATAGTACCCGGTTAATTTAAAAAGTGATCCAAACTCTGGACAAAATAATAAATATTATTAATATTACTATGAGTTAAGGTAATTTTATAATTTTATAACCTTGAATTTTAAAATAATTTTTGAATTTCCAGTAATGAATAATTTTCATATAATTTCTTTATTATAATAGAATTGTAACAATAATAGTAATAAATCAATGGTATATGTATTTCTGTTTATTGCGAAGCTAAATAAAAAGCATTTGGGAATTTTGGAGCATCATTATTCCAAGGGAATCTCTTTTTGAACAACCTGAAAAAAAAAATAATGAAGACTCATTAGACATTCAAAATGAGTTGTGTAGAGTAGATAGTTTAATTCTGGAGCAGACTAATCTTTGAGCGTGTGTCAGTCACCTGAATGCACGCCCTGAGGTAATCTTGCTCAGACATTTCTTGTCCTTTAGCAGGTGGAACTTTTCCCCTTCGGCGCAACTCTTGTTTGGTCTCGTTCAAATCAAATATTGTCACTGGATCCAACTTAGACTTGAGTACCAGGCCCGCCAAGTATTCAATGTAATGCTGCCTGCGGGGAAAAGTACCACTTGTTAATCTCATTCTCAGTATTAATTTACCTTTAGAAGATCTTGTCTATAGTCTTGTGGATCACGTCGGTACCAATTAGGTGGTAGTTCGAGTCCTGCACGTTTTACACAAGTCTCAAGATCATCTATTGTCAACAAAGATAACGGTTCCAATTTTGATAATCGGATCTGTCGTACTAGATACTCAACATAATGAATCCTAAATATTTTCAAAATTATTTTATTGTTTACTGTTGTCAATAGTTCGCTGTCTTATTCGTTTACAATAATTCGTGATACAATACAAAGTTTATTATTCTTACCTACATAATCCTGCGTGGTTTTCTACAACATCAGAATTACAAATAACGTCAACGACACCAGCAGGTGTTTCTTTTTGCAGTTGAACCTTGCATTTCCGATCACCTGAACGATTTTCTGTATTAAATTCAACGCCATTCTTCTTTAACAGATCCTGAAGTTGGGCAGGCTCTTTGTCACGAAGGTAAAAAAGACAGTTTCGAGGATGATGAGCGTGGAGTCCAAGCTTAGCACAGTAAATGCTTACAGGACATTTTGCACCCATCATAAAAGCTTTTCCACAACCACAACAAAATTCATATTTACATTGATGACATGTGAAGTGCATACAACCTTGAGTATAATAAAAAAAAAGTTGATAAATTTTAATTTATTTATAAGGAAAAGTATTTTTTTTTTAAACTAAAAATAATTAATTGACTGAATAAACGTTTTACCTCCACGAGAAAGTGAATATCGAAATTTACATTTAGGACAATCGATTCCATTGTCTGCTAAATGTTTTGCTAAACCAGCTGCTTGATTATCTGGATCGTTTTCATCCTTCCATGCAGCAAATTGTTCACATGTTATTCCTTCATGTTGTTTTTCCCACTAGTAATTATAAAAAAAATTACATTAAATGGTCTTAACTTTCTTTTATATGATTATTTTTAATTACTCACAGGTCTTCGACAATATGCACATGTAACTGATCGACAGTCGGGACAAATTAGCCTTTTTTGGTCCGGATTGGCATAGAATCCACTTTCACACTGTAATTACATAATTATAGATCAACAATTATGTGAGATTAACTATGAATTACTAATATTGTGTAAAATGAAAAGTAAAGTAAAATGAAATATTTACAAACAATATCTACAGAAAATTTAATAAATCCAAAGTATTACCCCTTTTTAAATAACTGAACATCTTTATGTATCTTTTTCTAGCGCTTCAATTTGACTTTATTTTCACTTTACTTTATTTTTCTTTTTGAAACAAAATACAAAATTGATTTACTTGAGCACACCACTTAAAGTTCGGATCCTGCATCAAGGTCCTGTCTCTTAGCTTTCTCTGAAAGAGTTCATGAATTGGTGGATCCAATAATGATTTCAATTGAATATCTAAAATACTGAAATACTCCAAAACATCATCTTCATTAGCATCCTTCAGGTCTGGTTCTTTACAAAACGGACAAACAGCGTCCATTATATTTCTATCGCTAATTTGAATTGTAAAATAATTCTTTGCACATTCATTGCAGCATCTATGAATACACTTCAACATGGAAACCATCTGATTAACCGAAAATCGTCCAGTACAAAGCTCGCATTCTTGCTGAAGGAATGCAATGGCTGATTCAACACTAGTGCATTCTTTGGCAGCGTTGAGGGCTTCATCATCTTGGAATTTTAGACTTATCAAACTTGCTGCTATTTCTGCTTGATCATAGTTGGCGACTCGACCTTCTGCTAGTAGACGTCTTGCAGTTCTCTAAGAGGTATTACATTAAAATAAATATCATCTTATTAAGTGAGTTTTAAAAACACTTTCAATGATTCATAATAAAAACATTATTTACGTCATATTGAAATTAAATATATATTCTACGATTACCAAGATCTAAAAACGAACTCTTGCTGATGCTTTAAAATAAATTTAATGATAGAAGCAGATGAATGATGATTGGACAGAAGCAAGACAATTTTGACAAATCAAGATATCGAAAATACTTACCAATTATCAGAGTAAAAGTTAGTTCAATTGTTTAAAATAATTTATAACTAAAAAGTAATTCAATAATTTCGAAAGTTGTTGAGAAATTAAAAAATTGAGTCGTTTGTAGAAATTGGTCAATGTAATCAACACTTTAAATGTTGATCACTGACTTAGTTATGCAATGCAAATCTTCTTTAAGAAATCTATCATGAACATGTCATACTTTTACTGACCTCCGACTCATTTCTTGGTGGCTTGTCGTACAAATTCTTTAAACTTTGTTCTGATCTAGATGGACATGATTTTCTCCTTTCTTTAGAACTTTCGCCTTCGAATTGTTGAATACAACTTGCTACTATTGAAAATCTCTTACGAGGCTCAGTTTGTTTTTTTATAATAATTTCTGGATCTGAAACTCGCAGTCTCCGAGAAGCTACTGGAGCTACATTGGATTTTTTTTCATCTTTTGGCTTTTCTTTATTTAAATCATGCTTACTACTATGACTTTGATTAGCATTATTATTAATACTAATTAATAATTTATTAGGACTAGGTGATTTAGATCTTTTAAGTATAATTGTAGATTCAACAGAAACATCAGCACTAATTTCTACAGCTTTATTTACACTATCTCTATGTTGATCATCTTTAAGTATATTATACTCTGAATGTTCAGACACCTCTTCACTATTACTATTCTCCAATTCTTGACTATTTAAATTAATACTGACTTCTTCTTCTTCTTCATCTTCGGAATCTGTTATTTCTGCTTTGATATTAGCTAATGTTTTTTTCAACATTATTTCAGCACTGGTTAATTCATCATCAGTGGAATCAGATTTTCTTAAGATTACTGATTCTTCTGAATTTATTTCACTAACTTCAGAATCACTGGTCTTATCATTTTCTGTGATCTCATCTTCTATTATTTCTAAATCTTCAGAACTTTCTTCTTCTTCTATTATTTCTTCCCCATACTCATCCTCATTTTCTTCATCATCCTCTTCAAATTCTTCTTCTAAATCACTTCCTCCATGCTTTTCTTCTTCATCATCTCCATTTTCGTTATTTTGTGTTTTAATATCATCTTTAACTTGATCTTTACTGTCTTGATCACATAATTCATTATTAATATCTATTTTTTTAGCAGTAGATTCATCAGAGCTCTTAGATAAAGACAAAGACTCAGAAGAGTGGTCTTCATTATCACCATCAACTAAACAGTTTAATGTTATTTCAGGTTTTATTACTTCTTGTTCCCTAACTGGTTGTTGTTTTTCTTGTTTATTAATTTTTTCTTCATTAACTTTGAAATTTTTAACATCACTCTGATGTTTGGATAAAACACTTCCTTTACCATTTGGTTCTTTACTCACTTCAACTTGTTTTTTATTTACTTCTAACTTGGATAAATCAGTTTGCTTCACCTTAACTGTTTCACCATCAGTCTTCTTTCTTGTATTGACTTCAATATTTTTACTAGAAGAAGCAGCTAAAGGGTGCAATACTGGAATAATTCTTCTTGGAACCTGGAAATTAGCTTTAGTTGGTTTTGAAACGTTCACTTCAATAATTTTTTGACTCGATACTGAAACAGTTTGTCCACTAACAAAGTTTTTCTTTCGATAAATTGGAATTTTTGATAATGTTTTGCTATTTTTTATATCACTGACATTAGATTTCTTTACAGTTGAACTTGATGGATGATCTGCTTCAAGCAATGTTTCTTTATTAATATTATTTTTTATATCAACAATTTTTTTATCGTTTGGAATACTTGGATTTTCATTTTTAGAACACAAAAGTGCTGAATTTTTATTAATAACTGGTACTTTTTTCACTTGACTTTGAACTGAAGCAACCACTAGTTCTTTCTGAGTAACTCTATCAGCTATTTCTTTAGCTCTATTTAATGCTAAATCCTTTGGAGCTTTTCCTTGTGTGCCATTTTTTCTAGTAAAAGCGTTAGAATATCTCTTTGATGGCAATACTCTTAGTAAATATGCTTTTTTAACTGGAGATTTAGATCTTGATTTAGTTAACTTTTGATTAGTCTTATTCACTGGACCTTGATAATAATTACAAACTATTTCATTCAACTTCACTACAGATTCATTAATTCCAATTGATGTTTCCATGACGGAATCAACTGTAGCAATATCTGGAGAAGAAACGCTCAAAGACTCTACAGAATCTACAGAATCATTTGACAATAATTGTTGGCTGGCAAATCTGAGTCTTTTAGTAATAATTTCATTTGATAGATTTATCTTTAAGGATCCACGAACTACTGATTCCTGGATTGGAGCAGCATCATTGACTGGTATCAAAGGAGATTCAGTAATTTTTAGTTCAAATACTTCTGGAGCACTAGAAGTTTCACTCACTAACTCATTTTCAAAGTGTTCAATAATAATTTTTTCATTTTCAGTATCTCGATGTTTGCTTTCTAGAATTATTTGGTCATATTCTACATTTTTCGGTTCATCTTTTAGCATTTGTTGATTTTTATTAATACTTTCCTCTATCTTTTTATCTTCATCATCAATATGATTTCCTTCATCTTGATTTTTATTTTTTTGTAGTTGTACATGACTAGTTTCATCTCTCAATTCTTTCTCGTCCAATTCAATGTTTTGGAAATTGTTTTCTACTTTATCTTCTTGATTGTCCACTTTCGACTGTTCTTGGTCTGAAGTTTCTTCTTTTTTCATTTTTAATTCAATATTCGCATGATTGGTAAAACTTTTAGTTATATTAGATGTTCCTTTATCTTTAGGAATCAACAAAGGTTCTATGTAAATTGAACTGCGTTTAACATCTTTGATTTCCTTATTTTCTGAATCATCTAGAGTATTCTGAAATGATTGAACTAACTCACTTGTCTGTGCACCTTGTGTACCCAAATTAACACTTAAATCCTCGTTTAATGAGGAAATTTTATTCGATTGTTCTTTTTTCGGAAAACTATCTGTACTAGAAGACGCTTCCGTGCTGGTGGAAATAGTAATATCATCTAATTTGCTGTACTCTGAATGATCTAAAGCAGTGTCATAAGCTAAGCTCAAATCTTCACTCTCCATATCATCATTATAAGTATTGTTGCTGTTGTTATTATGATTATTATTATCATGAATTATGCATTGAGAAGCATCGCATAGATCAGCGTTATTAATAGAGTTAGAGCTAGATGAATGAATTAATGACGAATCCAATAATTCTTTGTTATCTAATTTTGATAAAGCTGGTTGATCATTCTGATCAATTTTTTCAGTTATGTTTCCAATTTTCATTGATGTAATGGATGCCTTTGATAATGGAAATTTTGATATCATGTTAGTTAATCTGTTTTTTAATAATTTTAATGCATTCATGCGCGCTGGAGCTTGGTTAACTTCTTGCTCCATTATTGTATTGACAACATCAGCTTTTGTGTGATTAAATTTAGAACTAGTACATACCGCTTTGTCAAATACTTGTTCATTTTTTTCTAAAACTTCAGCTTTTTCATCAATTTTTAACTTTGCTTCTTGTTTTGTATTATTTTCTAATTTTATTTCTTCTTTCTTATCAACTCTCAACTTTACTTCTTTTTTTGCATCAACTTTCAATATTATATCTTTTTTTTCATTAACTTTGGATTTTTTTTCTATCACTTTTTCTGTTGGAATTGATTTATTTTCATTCTTTAATTTTTGATTATTATTCTCTTCTAAATTTTCTACTGGATTAATTAGTTCTTTTTTTTGAACAGTCTTTTCTGTGTCAAATAAAACCATTCTCTGACTATCTGTCTTTTTAATGCTATCATCAGTCCTTTCTGGTTGTCTTCCTAAACTCGAATGATTTTTTTTCGCATCTATATTTTGTTTTTGTTCATCAAATGCTAAAATCGAATGTCTCAATACTCTGTCAATTTCTTTTTCTTTATTTTCTACTCTCTTTTCATTCTTGTTTTCTTCAAGAAATTTGGTCTCTACTACTGGTTCGATTTTCTGTATTTCTTCCTCAAGATGATGAAGTTGATTTTTTTTCGTGTCTGTATCTGATAATGAAATTATATTATTAATCTCTGGAATTGACAGATTGGAATTTTTATTAATATTAGGATTATCACGATCAGTATTTTTTTCTTCTGGTTTATTATTTTCTTTTATATTTAATAATTCTACATCCTCATTTTTCTTCATTATTTTTTTTTCTTCAATTAATACATTCTGATCGTTTTTAATATCTTCTATTTTTGGAATTTGTGCAACTTCATCGATATTAGTATCGATGATTGGAATATTGACCTTTTTTTCTTCACCCTGAACATCAGACTCTAATTTAGTCGATAATTCTTGCACGGCAGTAGTCAACGACCCAAGAACTTGTTCAGGCAATGACTTCACAGCTATCAATAAATTCTCTACAGCTAAATTCTGATGAATAGTCTGATTTATCTGTGCCAATTCGTTTATTGACTTTTCCTCGCTACTTTTAGCTTTAGCTGTATCGTTTGCTGCTATGTCTTCAACAATATTCTTGGAATTTTCTATACTCACTGTATTATTTATATTAGTATTTCCAAGCACTGATTGATCAATTTGTTTCTGCTGAGTTTTTACAGTAATAAGATTTTTTTTATTTGCTAAATTTTCATTGACCTGTTCTTCACTCAATAATTGGTGCTGATAATTGATATTTTCATAATTGGTTAATAAATCATTCGAATTGCCACCAACTACGGTAGGAAGAGTAGCGTCAAATAAAGGTTGAGGGCTTTGCCTAGATGATGTAGATTTTTGTTGATTTCCAGCCTGCAAGTTGAAATTATCAAGTGAAGATAATATTACCTGCTTCATTGCATCCAAATCCAACGATGCTTGTGTGCGTTCAAAAATTCCAGGCACATCAGCTGCATCTATTTTATTTAAATTAATTATAATTTCTACGTAATAAAGAATTATAACATCAAGTAACATGATCAATCTTACCCATACGAGGAGCAGCTTCATCATTTTCCGCCCCAGCAGGTGGACCCCAAATACGCATTAGAAATGGCTTTAATTGATTTCTTTGAAGCTCCAATAGAGCATTATCTTCATTACCGTTATTACGATCTAGAGCTTGAACGACATCAACAAGTGAAAAATTACCTTTCATCATAATTCCCGCAACCTAAGACAATTATAATATTCAATGTAAATTAAACAAATAATTATTTAAAAATGAAATCTGATTACATACCTTTTGTTGTCTTTGTTGAATAGCTTTAGTGACACTAGTCCAAACATCTCCCTTACATTCTCTAAGGATTTTTTTAGCTTCATTAGGAGTTAAAATTCCAATATTGTTCTCGCTATCTAGCATTTCTTTTCCTCTAGTAGTCACCAAAATTTGAACAGTTTCAATTAAATGTGGCCACTGATTTTTCAACCATTCCATTGGATTTGCAGCTCCTTGGGCTAGTGCCACTTGAACATCATCTGCAGAAAAACCTTGGCGTTCAGCTTCTCGCAAAAGTTCAACTATTTCCATTCCTTGGCGTGTTAAAGTTGATAACGTTGGAGAAGGTGCGGGTATCTCATGAGGAGTTCGTGTTTGATTTATTTCCTAAAACAAATTGCACGATAAAATTAATCACTATTTTAATAATTCTATTAAATTTGCAATCAGTTAAAATTTTTTAATAGTGACATAATTATTGTCTACATGTTTTTATTATTAAAACTACTCACACCGAGGCTACGCAGACAAATAAATTCAAACAAAATCATAAAAAGCATTATTTTATTTTTGATGAAATAATATTGACTAAATAAAAAAATTCTAGATACACGGGAAACATTTGTTTACCCTAGGATAATAATAAAGATGGCTTGAATCGATGGAATTTCTTCTGGTTCCTAGTGATGGTGATGTTGGCTGGACATGGTATTGGTGGTGGACTCGAGGATAAAGGTCTGGACTATTTGTATATCCTATTGGTTCCTAAAATTTAAACTTACTTCCAATTTTAATTCTTTTTTTTTATCTTTTAATAATACACATCCTTCAACTCTATAAACAATCCTCATACCTCTAAATCACTATCATCTTGATAAAATGGTTCTCTTTGTTCTAAATATGAAGTGGATCTTTTTACTTTTCTTTCCTTTGGGGGAGGTACATCATAAGTCTAGAGAAATAAAAATTAATTGTTTAGAATAAATTAAATTTATTTTTTAATTATGAAAAAATAGCATTGAATGAAAAATGTTAGAAGGAATAAATTTTAAATAATAGAAATCAAAACCTGAGTAGCGATACTTTGAGGAGGTGGAGAGGTTCCTCTTTCTGTAGCAGTTATCGATGGTACTGGTGAAGGTCCTGATGAAGTACCAACCGTCTGGGTATGAATGGGTATTTCTGGAATGGATACTGGTCTGGAAAACAATTCTTGTTCTGGTTTAGATGATTTTATCTCAACGACATCTCTAATGGGCGATGTGGATGTTGAAGTCTGATTTTTTTGTACTAGTTTAGGAGGTGAATCAGGCTTTTTATCATTCAAGTCTCTTAATTCTACATTCTCCGGTTCTGTTCCGATAACGTTTTGAGAAACATTTTCAATATTTAAATCTGAAAAATACAAAAATATAAATAAATAATTTAAATAAATAATTTTAACTACTAAGTGAAAAATACTACTTTTTTTTTCTAGAAAAAGCTTTTAAAATTAATAAAGTTTTGATAAAAACCATTCCTAATTTTTGATCGAAAGAAATAATCTTCAAAAATGAGGATAAAATAAGGAAACACTTGAATGAATAATAAAAATAATCAACTATCTTGAATTCATTTTTTGACAAGTCTTTATTATTCATTCAAGAATACATTCAAAAGTTCAGTATAAATAATGTGATAAAGGATAAAAGGATTAGTGAAAATCTTCAAAAATATTATTAATGAAATATTATAATCTCAGGACATGTGTCGTTATTTAAACATTTTTGGACCAAAAGAAAAACTTATTCTTCGCCTCATTCTACCTTTATTCTGTGTAGCAGTACTATCACCACTCTCTTCACCATTAGACAATTTTACACTTGGACTTTTGGGTACAGGATCTGGACTTGATTCTTCTGCATTTGCCGAAGACTCTGGACTATTAACTGGACTTGGTGGCAATAAACTTTTTCTTGTTTTACAACAAACAATACAAACACGTTCCTTGATTTCGTTGATAAATGTGCAATGATCACAGGTCCATTCTTTTTCATTTTCTATCAACTTTTGTGTTGAAGGTTTTGGAGATGATGCAGTAACAGGTGGAATAGGACTTTGAGGTTTTTTAGTTACTGCCTTTGTAGAAGCAGTATTTTCACTTGATACTTGAATATTGCTTTTAGATTTTTCAGTCCTTGTTTCTTCTAATTTCTTATCTAACAATTTTTCAACTTCTCTTGGACTTAATTTTTGATTCTCTTTGCTATCAGAATTGGCATGAGGATCCTTCATGCTGTTTGAAATTTGTTGTCCTTTTTTAGATAAGTGTTCAGTATCATCTGAAGAATTAGCTCTGGAACGGCTTCTAATAGATGATCTCTTGTCGGAGACGTCATTTTCAGGGTTAGCTTTTTTACGGTTTCTTAAAGTACCACTCATACTAGTTCTTGATAATTTCTCGTCTTTTGACTCAGACTCAGACCTTCTTCGTGATCTACGTTCTTCTTCAGTTTCAGAATTATGGCGAGAAGGTACATAACGTCCCCGAGAACTGACATTAATGGATCCAGAACGCCTTCTTCCATGACTATCATCAGTTTCGGAGTTTTGTCGAGATGGGTAATCTAAAGTATTTCTTCGTGTTCTTCGAAAATCATCGTTTTCTGAATGTTGTCTAGAAGACATCGATCGACTATCTAAATCATCGTAGTCTAAATTCCTGGCTGATGAATGAATTCCGTTAATTCTATCGTCTGATTTCCATGTACTGAAAATTAAATAAAATTTGATATCAAATCTTTAATTTCCCGCTTATTTTAAATCAAAAAATTATTTTCCAGTTTTTTTTTACATGAATTGATTACAAGTAGAATGAATTCTAGTAAAATTCTACAACTCACTTGCGACGGCTTCGAGACATAGTAGATCTATTGTCATCAACATCAGGGTATCCAGCAGACCGCCTATGTAAAGTTGTCCTCCTAATATTTCTCGAGCTTCTTGACAACCGATCATCGAAATCTGAGTCATCAGACTCTTCAGAGCTGGCATCAGAAGGTGAATCAGGAGATCTTCTAGATCGCGAAACCATTGATTTTCTCGATTTCTGACTTGGTGATGGCGAAGCTGCTCTACTACGTCTGCTAGATTTATAACTTCTTGCTGGACTGTGACATCGAGACATACTAGCTGATGGGTAATGCGGAGGAAGAAGAGCTGCAGGATTATAGCCCACAGGATATGGCCACATAGCTGCTGGATGATTTAAACTCATTGTCGATCCACTTAGGGAATTATCCCAAGGTGTTCCGGGTGGATACCACATCATGGGCATTCCTCTTGGAGCCAATTGTGCCATAGATTGAGCCTATTATGTTAATGATGAATAATAATAAATAAACGCTCTTTTAGAAAAACGAAGTTAGTCATTGAAAAATTGATAATAAATCTACCTGTTGCATTCCAGGATTCCATAAATGTTGAGTAGATAAATCACAAACACTTGAGGATTGAACCATTCCTCTAGGAGGAGGAGGTGGGATTAAACAGGTTCTAGAACTGCCGAGACTCAATGGTCTAGGGTTAAAAGAGTCTTTGGTTATTTCAGGTGCTGGAAGTTTGCGCCTATTAGCATCTTGGGCTCTCATTGCTTCCTGATACTTCCGGTATCTTTCCTAAAAATACATAGATTAATATTAGCATATTTCTGGTCAATAAACCGACATTTTTAAAACCAATACTTGATTGGTAGTAAAACACAAAGTTTTTTCTAAAATTAATTATCTAAATTTGTTTATTTCATTAGATATGTTAAGATATTGGATAAAAAATATGCAATAAAAAAATATTACATACTTGAAGTGTAGACATTTTATCGATTCCTGAAGTAGTAGCATCAGGAGTAGATGTATTGAGTGACTGGACAGACCGTGAAGTAATGAAATTTGAATTTGGAGTAGCTGGTAACGGCCTTTCTTGAACATCGATGCTGTTTCTTTTTAGAGTTCCAATTTTATCGGTCAACGAAATGCTTCCTGGAGCCTGATTATTCGACGCCCTTGCCTAGGCGCGGAAACCTTATATTTAAAAGCTACGTCTCCAACTCTTGGAAGTCCATGTGCCGATGATTTACTCATATGTATCATTTATTAAGAAGGATATAGGATATAGGAATTATCAAAGTGACTAATTAGTGTCTAACAACGCTGTAATATCCTTTCAAGTCAGCTTGATTACATCTATTATTATTTTACAACATTGAAAATGATAATCCTATAATTGAATATTTAATCATTCTCATTATTATTCAATGTAAAGATATAAAGTTACAGGAGTTTTATTTTAATCGCCTCGGTGTGACATTTATTACTCCTTTTATCATTTTCATTTTATTATTCTTTGCTTAAACTAAACAGATAATCAGAGATGACTCGATTAAGGAACGAATTTCTGCAATTAATTCATTTCTCCTCTTTTAAATTAATTTTTTCACTACTACTTAATAATAAATAAATAAATAAATACTTAAAATAAATTTTCGACTATACAAATTTACAATTTGAGGCAGAGAATTGCAGAAAATCGCGTTGAAATGTGTATACGGTATTTTAAGTATCAGGCTAGTACGCATCCTACCTGAGTATTTCTACGATTTCTTCTTGGTGGTGGAACTGGTGGATTCAAGTGTGCTTCACCCTTTGGCGGAAGTGGTGGTCTAGTTTTACAGTTTTTATGTTCATCATAAATTCTTCTTCGTACGTGACCACGTCTTTTGGGATGTTTATGATTCATATCATCGCAGGTCTCACAAAAGCTTTCATTGCAAGCATCACACCTGGCAAATAAATTTTGCCCACCACATAAAGCACATTTTTTTATGTCAACTGATGTCATTCCTAATGCTTTAGTTGGCATGCCACTCTGCTGGACGGAATTTTGTCCTGGGAATTCAATTACTTCGTAATCCGGATCACCACAGTCTCCAGTCAGGGAAGGGGGTGGTACCTTAGGCGGTGTTGGCGGTCGTCGAGGTTGATTTGTTGAACGCTGCTGTTCTTGGGCCTTTATTTTTAAAAGAACAAATTTATTAATACATTTTAATAGTTCAGTGGATTTAAAGTAAATAGTACTATTAGTTAAATGAGTAAAATTGTTTGTTTATGTTAAGAGGAAATATGAAACTATGACAGTGAAAAATTACCATGACCCAATGTGGCATCGTGCGAGCCATACGTAGCCGAGTTGATGGATTAGAAATGGCCATAGGCCGCCACTTTTCTGATCCAGGTTTCTGTTAAAACATTGATACAAAAAAAAATAGTTACTGTACATATAAATTCTTCAGCTACTAATGAAATCCTTACACTTGTTTTATCAGTCAGGGTTTATTATTATCAAATAAAAAGACTAAAAATTATTCTGTAATTATGAAATACGATGGCATGGGTAGCAGAGCAAGTTGATCACCGTCTATTTGTGAAACTAAGGAAACTATGAGCATTGCTCTCTGGCTAAGAATAAACTAAGCATCACATGCTACACGTTTAGTTCACAAGATCTAGCTTACAACTAGATTTCTTCAGTCAACAAACATAGCAGATCTTTCTCTGTGGTTTATAACACTTAAAAAAGTAAAAATAATATTAATAGTTGATTAATTGATGATTAGTTTGCTTAATAGAATCATGGTCAAATATTTGTGATAAAATTAGAAGTGTTACACTGGCGCGTATTAATTTCTGATGACGGAGTAGATCATTGATTGAAGGCACTTGAATAAATTTAGAAGAATATAAAAGTTTAAGTTATAATTGATTGTAAACTTAAAAAATAAACACTCACACTCATATGAATCAGGAAGTTTCTTTTCGTCCGTGAATCTCGAGGTCGAACCGGCGCAATAGAAATTCGTCGTCTGTGTTTTCTTCTTGCCGGTGTCTCTTCTCTGCCGTTCACAATTTCTTTCAAGCTTCGTATCTGTGGTAGATGCTGTTGCAGTACATGAGCCAGCCAGCTCTATTTTCGTATCACAAGCTGGATAGTTGCCACCTTTTCGGCCAGTATTCACGTTTGTGTAAAATACTTTATAATAACCCGGAAGTTTCTTGATCATTTTTTTGCAAGGAAGATTGATCGCAGGATGTAAACAAATGTAGACTGAAAATGTACCGAACAAAATAATTATATATGTAAGGCATATAAAAAATTTTGAATTTTTCTAACATTCAGAATATAGGAAAATAATGGAGACAAATGCAATGTTGTTAAAAATGTGAAATGGGAACGACTTAATCATGAAATACCTAGAATTTTAAATTAAGGTATATAAATAATGATACATTATCTCAAATATTTGCAAAGGACAGCACCTGTAAAAAATTAGAGTTAATTATTATAACAGCTCCAAATTATCGAATAGGTCATATTATATATAAGAAAGGCTCCAAAAAGGTCATATTAACATAAGGATTACCCGTAGACGTTGAGAAAGGTTCTCAGTTTACTAGGATATAAAATGACTTTGATTATAATGACTGGTTTGATAAAATTGATGTATTGGTAAAATTGATGTAAAATAATAAGAATATGTATTCAAAGCATGTGTTGCTAAATCGTTTATCGTTGGTTATAAGTTCCAACATCGAAATGGTTCAAAAAAAAACATGCAATGACACCTGTACACCTGAACGCATAAATGCGCCATTTTTCAAACATTTCCGCTTTTAATTTCTATTAAACGACAAAGCAGTTGAATATTTAAGGTGCTTCTTTATGAAGCAGTTTGTAAAATTTATCATCTTATCGACAGTCTCAAGGTTGGTATCCATGAGTTGAACATTAACCTAAATGACGAAAATAGAACTAAGCGATAAAAGCTAAATAGTAATTAATTATTGACACACTAATAAAGAATTTGTATTTAAACACTGGGTAATGGAATCGTTGTATCAGAGCTGTTGGCTTTAACATTTATTCATCATGGTAAGTCTATTATATGACGATTATTAAAGTTCACTGTTTAACCTTAAAATAATTCATAACAACGTTTAAGTCATTAATAATTATATTTTCAGTTATTCTACTCGTTTTTCAAGTCTTTAATTGGTAAAGACGTTGTTGTAGAGTTAAAAAATGACTTAAGGTAAGAATTTTATGTTAATAAATAGAATTTCGATTCAATAATTTAGATGACGTTTGAGTGGATGGTGTAGCCGGCATTATTCACTCTGTTTCAAATATAAACACATGATATTAATAACAATTAATTTACAGTATATGTGGGACTCTACATTCTGTAGATCAATATTTGAATATTAAATTGACTGACATTAGTGTGACTGATCCAGAAAAGTATCCTCACATGGTGCGTACTTATTTATCTATGAGTAATATTTTCTTATAGATTCTCTAAACTCTTTTTAATTTCAGCAATCTGTAAAAAATTGTTTTATCAGAGGATCGGTTGTCAGATATGTTCAATTACCAGGAGATGAAGTTGATACACAACTTTTGCAAGATGCAGCCAGAAAAGAAGCTGCTGTACAAACTCGATAACTTGACACTTAAATTAATAACTTAAACATAAAATAAAATAAACTACATTTAAAATGTCAACCACAAACAAATAATAATAATGTGAATGTAGAAAATTATTTTTTTTAATACATAATGATATTGGCTTTTGGGAGATTCGATTAATAAAAAATGACAAATAACAAAGTGTTTAATTTTTTCATTTATTGAAAATATTTCTGTAAAATGTGTATATCCGTTCGGCCACGCGGATCAACAAACCGAATATTGGATTTTAGAAAAGAAAAATAAAAATATATATTAGCGAAATAATAAAACAGTGGAGACATTATCTAATGATTAATTATAGCCTAAATAAAGGACCAATTAACGATGCATTGGCTTACTTTATAATCTTATTATATATTAATTATATTGTGTATAACAAAGCGGTAACAACTTGTTAATTGTTAACTATATTATCGTAGGAATTACATAATTACAGTAACTAATTACGAATCGTTTAAACTATAATAAATATCAAATAAATTTTTTTTGATCCAATATCAATCCTTCACTAAATCATTTATTGTTTTTGCTCGTTTTTATTATTTTTTTAATCATCATCTTGTATTAATTATTTAACAACATTTTTTATCTTTGCATTATTTGCTCTTAAAATTCAGTAATCGTAATAAACATAGTAATTATTTATAATATTGTGCAAATAACTCATATTAATTTTCTGCGTTTAGATTAATGAATCTCGTTCAACTGAGGATCCTCTTTTCTACATTTTTTTAAAATCTGCTTCATTTGCTCCATTCGTACAAGTACATTACTTTGTAAATGTAACAGAACGTGTATATAATGGACAGTACTCTATCTTTTTTCTTATTTTCATTAATTTATTTAATTTATTTTTTTTTTATTGGTAGGTATAATATTCCCATCGCTAGGTTGTTGAAAATTGGATTCTCAGCTCATCTACCTAGCTTTTTACCCATGGCAGTTGCATTTTTAATTACTGGCCGACAGGCTCTGTATTTTTTTTTTAGCTTCGCACGTTATAATAGCTTTCTATCAATTATTATCTTATGATTGCAATGAAAGATTCTGAAAAAATTTAAATTGTAAGAAAGCTCAAGGTGCTTCTCGATACCTCGTTTTCCGACAGCATGTATTATTATTATTAGTATTATTAATATAATTAGTTTATTTCACATGGTTTCAAAATTAATTTGTTTATTCATTTATTTAATTATTCTGAATATTACTACGGTCAATTTCTGTCGTTGAACGAGCTATTCATCAGCTCCTCTTTAACTACTCATTCATCAATATTTTAAAATTCACTTCATACTCGATCATTTTATCTATCATTTATTATTTAATTAATTTTCCTTTGGTTTTTTTGTTCATTTTCTTTTAATCACTTGTGACAATAATAAACTTATGAATAACGGCAGTATCGTTCACGGAGAAAGTACGTTAATTTTTTTTTGTTTTTTATGTTATATTTTACTCAGCGATTATGTAAGAAACATAATTAAAATTTGAATATAAATCAACAGATATTTATATAGATAAAACATATCAAAGTATATACATACTCTCCCCATTATCGCTACTACCGATTAATAATAATAATAAATATAAGCCAAATTTATTCAAAGTAAATTCGACAATACCCTCAAATATTATAATATTTATTTATAATTAATCATCATAATCATTTTATAATCACTTGATGAGATCGATCTATTTGAGAAAAAATATTAAATCACTAACTGGAGTTGTGTGATTGATATTGAAATATTTTTGTAGGGGAAGTTTATCAATTTCCATGCTTTTGATTTAATATTTTTCCTTAACATTTGTTCTCTATATCTTCATTCCTTGATATTTCAAAATATACACACTTAAAGCCTTCAGATAATCACATAGTGTTTGTTATTATTATTTATACACGCGCGAAACTTACCTAGAAATCGTTAAATGTGGAAATATCGAGGATTTTATTTATTTATTTATAATTAATATCATTAAAATTAATTGTATTATTATTTTCATTAATATTATTATTGTTATTATTATTAATATTATTATCATTATCATTACCATTAATATTACCATAATAATTATTGTTACAATGATAATTATAATTATTATTACCTGCAAATATTATTCTTAAATAACTTTTACGTGTATGTGCTTTGGTGTATGCATGAATTGGTCATATTCTGGGGAAGAATCGAATTGAACACCATTTTCATACATCACCCAATTTGCAAAATGTTACTAATTATGAATAAAATTTTAATGATACTTATTGCTTCTATTGATGAATATATATATGCAATGATTTAAGCTAATTGTAGAAAATATACATGTACATATGATGCATCCAAATGACGTGATAGAATTATTTGCACATATTACAACAGCTATAATATAAATCCAAATTATTATAATTCTGTTTCTTTTATTCACATATCATTTTTGCTTTCGTTTCCGAGCATATAATGTTGCAATCAAGGCAATTTGTCAGTGGAGATTTTTTTTCGGTTTATCTTATTATTTATTTAATTTTGTTATTAATATTAATTTATTAAAAATTAAAATATTAAATCAAATATTAAGTTTTTTTTTTTTTTTCGTTATAAATTCGATGGAGTCACGATAGCGAAAAATCTAATTATATAAAAAAAGAATTTTATCCTTATTATGATCATGATCGGCGATTTAGTATATTTTGGTAAGCAGATTTGACATTGATAATGTAATTAATTTAAAATGATTCTCTTGACTTAATCAATGAAGTTTTATTTATTTTCATGTATTTATAAATGGATTTTCTTTTTTAAATTTTTCTAGCTTAAATTAATGAACATTGTTGCTTGTTTCTTTTTTGCAAAATAAGCACTTCCATTGTCATCTAAATTGTGTTGACATTATGAATACTATATGTATCCTAAATTTAAGATAAAAACGCAAGAAGCTTAGATTGCATGTGAATTATCAAAGCAATAAATTCATTTGACTGATAACTATATAAAGCTTATAACACACAACAAAGGATCTTGCGTTTCTTCTTTTACATTTTTTGTATTATAATTGAAAAATTGCTAAGAGCCATGACTGATTGTTCTCTTAATTATTTAATATCTTCTCATGAATCCATCACGCATAATTATAGCATAGAAAAATAGCGAGCACATAAGTTCTTAGTATTTTTATACCAACTGGCTTTAAAATATCACATTACTTTATGCCCATTACTTTGCTATTAAATTATATAATTTTATATTGAATATATAATGATCAATAATTGGCATCAAAGTAAGTTGATATGAAAGTCAGTCAATGTTGTTCATTTGCTGTTGATGAATTCGTTTTAATTAAATGTTCTTATATTTATTTATTTGCCTCATTATTCTGCACAATGAGAGTTGCTTTGGTGTACTTGATAGAAGGCTAAATGAATAAACAGTGGGTGAATTAAACAAACGTGAAAGCGTGGCCGATAGGTGCACATATGATGAATACTCATTACGTGAGAGCTTTTCATCATATACGCTTTTCTATCTTACACTTTTATTTACTTATAATAAATTATATAATTATTTTTCTTTTTATTAATCCACAGCTTTGCTTACGCAAAATACGAGTGCGTAAGAGTGTTGTTTTCTTTTTAATTTAATTCATTGTTAATTCACGTCACAATTTATCATTTATATCGCTAATTTTATTTATTTTTTCATTTTACTTAATTCAATTACTTCATAGCTTCAATCTCGTGATTAAGTAATGTGCAGGCAATCATTGAGTGTAATTATTATTTTAATACTTTGTAACTCATTTACTCTGAAGCATTCGTCGAATTTCTAATGCACGTTTAATTATTATTATTACTATTATTATTATTCATATAATTTCAAATTTTTTCAACTTGAAAAACGATCGCAAATTTTATCGTTTAGATTTTTTTTTTTTTTTGATACACCAAAAATTATATTACATTTTCAACAGCTTTATTATTAATATTTAAATTCTTTTAATAATATATTTATTATTTTTTTTTTGGTTCAAAATTTTATAATCTAAAACTCGCGATCGTTTCGCATTTTTGCCCTTGATGCAATCATTCATTCACTCGGATAGAAAAAGTTATTACATTTATTAAACGTATTTCGACAATGCATTACGATGAATAATGAGAAAGAAATATACATTTATATATTTAGATATGAAAAAAGTTTTTTAGTTAAAGTTATGGGCATTTTTTTTTTTTTTTAAGAAAGCTCAATATTATAAAATACAGCACATTATCTGCATACGCGTGGTTTTATTGATTTAATGATATTTATGCTGATGATAACATTAATAATAACATTAATAGTATTTATGATAATAACAATAAGTAATAATAATAATAATAATAATAACAACAATAATCAATAATAATTAATAATAATAATAATAATCAATAACAATAGTAAATAACGAGAGTAATAAAAGAATGTAAAAAATATTGAATAAAGCGACAGAGACGATTGATTCTGAATTGTTTTGGTTTGTTGCTAGTTGCAATCGGGCAATCGGCCGAGAGATGATGCGTGGAATGGTGCTCGTCGAGATAATTCGATTCTCTTCTACGTCGTTCACAGATAGATGATGCGTAAAACCGCGCTCCGACATTCACGAATGATGTTACACGTGGCACAATAGAATGTTTAAAAAGTTTTTTGATCTTCCGAATTCATTTTGAGGGGAAGCGAACTCGAAGAACAAAGCGAAGCGCGGTTAATGCTGGTGATGGTGGGTTTTATAATCTTGTTGCCAGGAGTAGAGAAAAAAAGATAAAAAATAGAGAGCAGTTATAGAACACAAGCAAGCAAAGAGCTTTTAACCATCAGGGGAAGGGTTCAAGAGTCAATCGTGGACTCACAAGTGGACGACGTCGAGGCATGCTCGAGGTAACTTTATTTTGTGGACAAGTCCATTAATTATTATTCATTATTTATTTGTTTTTTTTTTTTTTATTTTTACTTGACGATCGCTTCTAATGGCGAGACGTGACAGTGCGATCCGACGAAAAAGGCAACTCGTTGCAGGAACGGCATCACGTTGATTATAAAACTATAAGGCTGTTGCGTAGAAGCAGCACGAGAAAGAGAGAAATTGGCAGAGCGATAAAAGATCAAGGATTTGATGATGGTCCTTGCGACGATTTGAGTTAAGATCAAACATCCGCAGTACGTGATGTGACACTTGGCGATCGGCTGTGGATGACGACACGGTGGCCATTCTTCGTAACGAAGCCGTCGCTTTCAACAAGTACTGCAGTCTGACGAACTCTTGGATCCATATCAGGATCGTCGCTCTCTTCGCTCGGTCCACCAAGACGTTGTTGTTTGTGTTTACGCCAGGCATTTTGTATAAGCCGGGCGCAATATTCCTCTCTCTGGCGCCATAATGTAGACGACACAGGCTCGTAACCCACTTCACCTGGTCGTGTTTGAACTTCACCCAGCTCTGCCGTTTCTTCAATGGGATTACCCTTTCTTGCGAAGAAGTCTTTGGTGAGGGCATCGAGGATATCCACGCAAAACATAAGGTCTCCCTTACATATGGGGATATCCATCGACACGATCTTATACTTATTCGGTTTGTGTATTTGCAAAGGGGGCTCCAAAACATCCAAGAAGTCAGAGAGCTGGTCATATCTAATATATTGCGTTCCATCTGGATCGAATTGCTGCCATATTTCGTAATACATATCGTAATCATCATCGGTCAATCCCTCCTGCACATCTTCTGTCGCTTGTGAATAATTTTCTAATATCACGGCGATGTACATATTGATGACGATTAGGAAGCTGATGACGAGGTACGATAATAGGTATGCAATTCCTATTGTCGACGAGCCACAGTTGCCAGGATATCCAATTTCATTATTTGGTTCCTGACAATCCTCCTCATTTATGATACCGTCGAGCACGCCATCCCAACCGGCTGACGTTGACATCTAATTTTAATTTATTATTAACATCAAATTCTTTTTCTTTTCTTTTAAATTGCTTTGCCATGAATTTTAGTATGTTATTATTAAATAATCAATATTTTTTAATTAACAAAAATATCGAATTTATATTTAGCTGATTTGTAACCTTTTTTAACTATCATCCATAGCAAAATACAATTTTATTAAAGCAATGACAAATTACCTGGAACAGCAGTATCATAGATTGTCCAAATGTTTTGAAATTATAGACGTCATCGAGGCCGCTTTTATCCTTCACGTGCATGAAGAAGGACATGCCAAAGATTGCGAAGATAAACATGACGAGGAAGAGCAATAAACAGATGTTGAAGAGCGCTGGTAACGACATGGCCAAGGCAAAGAGTAATGTTCTTATACCCTTGGCTCCTTTTACCAAACGCAGTACTCGTCCGACTTTGGCCACTCTGACGACTCGAAGTAATGTTGGTGATACAAAGTACTTCTCGATAATATCACTTAGTACCAACCCTAAAAAGGTAAATCCATCAAGTTAATATTTTGCATTAACAAAATGAAAAAAGGGCTTTGTACAAGATGCATCAAAACTAATCATGCAGCCTCAAAAAATTATTATCTCTTCTTTATCTAGTCTAAGAATTTCTAATTCTATGAAAAAATTAGAGTGCATCCTCTATTTAACTTCTATGTTTAATAAAAATCTATAATTGAGTATTTAGTATGAGAAAATTTTCAAAATAATTAAAATGTGTTTTTAATGTAGTAAAGTGTGTGTTTGTAATATTAGACTGAAAATTGTTACCAAATTACGGGAGGCTGTATTTTTCTGTTCTGACATAAATGTCATGCTCATATGCTTACTATACTTTCTAAGTCCAATAGCCGTTAATAAACGCACTTTAGCGTATTTAACGACTGAGGTATTCTCTTTCCACAGAGGCTTATTGATGCATTTTTATGGGGGAAACATTGAATTAACGACATCAATGTGAGGCATTATAACGTAATGAATCTAATCAGTCGCTTAGACTCTTTTGAAATGTATTGAAGTACCTGTTTACTTTTTTATTAGTGTTAAAAAAGTGCAATGCAATTGAAAGAAGAAAAATTAAACATGCTAAAGATGGAATAACTTGTAATAAGAAAAATATAAATAATTTTTCTTTAATAAAATATCATTGTGTTCAATCATTTAAAGTAAACAGGCTTCGTATTTCATTTTATATCATCATCCATTTCAGGAGGGTCATACGACTAATGTGTTCATAACGTTACATTACCTAATATTGATAATATAACAACAACAAAATCAAAGAGATTCCAAGGCTCCTTGAAGTAGTGGTAACGTAGAGCAAAGATCTTCATGAGACACTCGCTGGTGAATATCACAATGAATATCATATTTAAATAATCTAACACACTGCTGAATGTTTCAGTCTGTTGGTAGTGATCGAGTGTCATCGTCAACATGTTGAGACCGATAAACAACATGATTATCATATCGAACTTTTTATCTGTCACTATTTCAAACACTATAGCTTGTGGTCGCCACTGAAAAATTTCAAAATAATATTGTTGAATTTTTTTAAGCAATCAAGAATATTATATCATTTTTATTGAAGTATAATATTTACCCTTGGTCGAGGAATAGCTTTCAACGGTTTTTTACTACCCATCTTCTTCATTGCATTGTAGTATTTTTTCTGATCTTCAGTCATGAACATTTCTAATGAGCCCCCAGCTTTCTTTTTCTGTTCGTTAAAATTATCGATGATAACTCCGATAAACAGGTTAAGAGTAAAAAATGATCCAAAGATTATGAAGAATACGAAGTAAAGGTACATGTAAATATTCGTTTCGCGAATTGGCTGTTTATTCACCTGAAATAAGATTATGATCATGAATATTTTTTTATTCAGCAGAATATTGAATTTATTTATCCCCTAAAGACTTTCTTGGAGTTCTTGATATTTAAATGAAAAATTATTTACTTCTCTAGAGTCTATAGCATCATTCATAATTTGTATCCAGCCTTTGAATGTTGCAACTTGGAACAAACATAAATAAGCCTTTCCTACGTGATCGAAATTCATTGGAGAATTTTCCCATGTATAATTTTCAGCTTTACAAGCATTTCTATCTGGTATTATTTCATGACTCAATGTCGTTTTATTCATATCAACGCACTGTAAAATAAAAGATAATTTTTTTTAACCATGAAAGTAATGATTTAGAGATTTTTTCGACTTATTATAGTTTAATCATACCTTGAAATATTTTCCAGCGAATAATTGTACTCCCATAATAGCAAAAATGAGCCAGAAAATAAGACAAACGAGCAATACGTTGAAGATGGACGGGATAGCCTGGACCAATGCATTCACGACCACCTGAACAGATCATTAAAATTTAATCTCCATCATAGATTAACATTTAACTACTAAATTTTCTAATTTCTATCAATAAGCTAATTGAATGCACAAGTATGTAAATTGTGATTTATTTATTTTCAATTAAATTAGTGACCAGTTAATTTACTGAGTCATTTGTTCATTTTATTGCAATATAATAATAGTGAGTCTACAATGATAGTAGATTTGATACTTGTACAATCAAAAGAAAAATATTAGAAGAATTTAAATGATATCAAAGCCAGATGCTACATTAACTAAATACTGAGTATTGAGTGACATGCAATTAGATGCTATTGTTTTAAATAAATAACATAAAAATGTACTTTTTTGAAACTTATGCAATAAAACAGCATATTTTTATTTTAATTTTTAAGCATTAAGCTAGCAAATTCCAACAAATTTGCAAGCCTCCAATATCAAAAAGATTTTTGCATTTAAGTTTTTTAATGTAAAAGCTTGATTATTTCTATATGTAGTTTTTATGTCGTTGGGTTTTTTGCAGTTATCAGCAATAAGTAATGCAAATATTTATATAAAAAAAAGTATTTAGGATTCAGTATTACATTCATGCATAGTTGATTTGCTGATATGCTGGAATTGACATGCTTGAAGAAGTCATGCAAGAGAGTTTATGGAAATGAAAAAAATTACGGATACACAAGTGAATATAAGTGTCAGGGTATGGGCATGACTAATATGTACTAAACCCAATGTCTCAGCGACCTTATCAATAATTTTGTGTCAACTTTTAATTTTTTTTCTACTACTATCTTTTATTCAAGAGGTAACTAATTAATTGAGAAGTCAGTTATTTGAGTATAAATAACATTAAGCTGCTACTGTATTAAAATTATTGCCTTCTAAATAGTGTGGGGCGTGTTGGAGCAAAGCAAGAGGAGAAGCTACTAAACAAATAAATACATGAAGAGAAAAAATTTTTTAATAATTTAAATGAAATAAATTATTTATCTCATAACTTTTATTCATAAAATATATTTTTTTTTTTTTTTTTTTTTTTTTAAATTTATTTTATAATTATTTTTTCTCTCATGCAATTAAGTGAATATTAAAGGCATTTAACGTAGTTGAAGTAATTATAATTAATTAGTAAATGATGTAATAATCAATAAAATAACATATCGATTAAGACAATGTTGATGCAATTGACTCGATGAGGATTTCTAATTATCTAACGATTAAAAGTGTGGTTGAGGAAGATGTGATATAGATATGATAAGGTCGGCTGAGACGGTGGGCTACATACCCGCATCCCCTGCATTCTAGACATCGCCCTGAGTGGCCTAAGGGCCCTTAGGGTCCGCATTGTTTTGAAGGCTTGAATTCCGCCTGCGCCGCAGAGCGACGCTACGAAGTTAATGAGCGAAACCTGCGAGCGAGAAACGAGATCGAATAACAGCAAGAGTAGAAGCTACGTAGAATAGAAATAATTATTTTTTTTTCTTTCTACTAAATAAATTCAGTTGAAGAATATTCGCGACCTGTTTTTATAGTTAAGCAAAAATAATTCGATATATTTATATACATATTTTCATACAGAATCCTTGGTATTTTACACTGGCCCTTAGATCTTTTGATGATAAAAAGATATTAGTATACATAATAGGTTTTGGTAGATAGAGAAGGTACAACACAGCAGTAACAATTAGTAGACGATATACAGAATACAAGACGTAGAAATAAGGTGTTAGGTGAAATTAAAAATCAGCTCCATCCTGAAACAGAATAATTTCTTGTCTGACTTTTTTTTTTCATCTACTATGAGACATGATTTTCAAAAAAATGTTCATTGAAAAGCTTGTGATTAATTTATTTTGGAAGTTTTTAATTATGACTCCTTTAGTATTCATCATGTTTTTACTCAAAGGCTTATTCATCCTCCAAAAGATATTCCCAATAAGCCAGGCATTAAAAAGATTCTTTACATTCTCGTGAATAAAACATCATGTCTCATAGTAATAAGCAGGCAATCCCTGTAAATATCAGATGCTCACGGAGACACGCTGCCTGATAAATATACGTAATATATAATAAAACGTTGAAAAAATTTGCAGACAAATGATTCGGATAGAAAACACATAAGGAAGTTACATAAAAAGCATACTTTGCACAATAACTCCACCAAACTTGGATTAGAAAGGCGTACATGGCAATAGCTAGTACGACAAAGATTCTGATATATAATATAATTATATACATAATATATTATTATATAATATGTATGTATAATATTTATATCGTGTACACTTAAAGATTTTAGACGACAGTGTGTACCTCTGCATACGAGAAAGCACACCACAGTATGCTACAACGTTTCTGTAGCAGCCTTTTTTATTTTTATTCTTTTTTTTGTGTCAATGCTGGCATTTTATCCATTTAGTCTATTTATACATTTAAATATAATTAAAAATTACTTTTATTGTATTTATTCAATAATAAAAAAATAAAAAAAAACAATATTATTGATAGAATAAATTGTGGAAACATTTTAAATCATTTAACAAATGAAAAACTTAATTAATTAGATGCATCTGCATGGAAATAAAATCATTTTGCATTGTGTGCTTTGTAGATAATTGAATGATATTTATTAGATTTATTAGTTAATTGAAGAAGCAATAAAATAACTAATTGACTAAATACCAGCATTGAACAAACTTATAAAATATTTCATGTAAAGTCTTAGCATCGTCGCAAGGCCCTTCACTTACTCTCATCCCCTCCCACCGAGAGACTGCTCGCAAGGGCCTCAATGCCCTCAATGTTCGCATGGAACGGAATGCCGGGATGTCAGCAGCACCAGCCCAGACAGCACCCAAGTTGATGAGTGATAACTATTGTAATCAACTCATATTAAAATAATTTCTACGAACACATGCGAGATTTAATAACACCATTATTTTTTTTAATTCAATCCAGTTTCTCTTCTTCATATCCTTCAGAACTCGAAGAAACAGTAAAATTAGAAAGTATGAATCGATGATTGCTTATTCCCAGAAGACTTATAAACTTTTATAAAATTCAATACGAGTGAGATGAAATTTTTCATAGATTTTCAATAGCTGGTTATTGAATTATTTTAAAGTGTATTGATTTCATCAACAAGTTCAGAAATCTTCGAGAATAACTAACGCTTATTACACTAAATATAGATTTCGAATTGATTTAATAAGTCTGTAAATAGATATCTGCAAGGATAAGAATATAAATAGTACTTCTGATAATAACTTGATGGTCTTGGCCATTTTCAGCACCTAGTGAGGTAAAGAAATGAATTTGTTATTTTTTAACTCATAAAAAATGATTATTTACCATGACAATTATGAAGTCAAGCCAACACCAAGCGTTTGTGAAATACTTTTTGAATCCTAACGCTAACCATTTGATCAACATTTCAAGGAAGAAGATGACTGTGAATATTCGATCCATGTAGTAAAGAATATCTTGAAGAATCGGTCGTTGTTGAAGATGAACATCTTCAAGAGCCTGAAAATGATAATTATTTTAATTAAATTAATATTAAAATATTAAATATTATAATAAGAAAAATGTATCTCCCACATACCAATGCTAAACTACTGAGTAAAATCATAGTTATAACCGCCGTCTCAAAATATTTATTTTCGATGAGTTGAAAAGTCTTGAGTCGCAGATTTGCCCAGCCCTGCCAAAATGGGGCATCATCGTCTCCAGCCAAAAATGGAAACTTTTTATAACAATTATCTGGACAACAATCAGCTGGATAGTCTGCTTCAATTATATCTTCATCAGCTATGATAATGTCCGGACCATCCAACTCATCTTCCTCCTTTTCTTCATCATCATCTAAATTAATTAAATGATTAATGAGTAATCGAAGATATTTATTCATGTAAAAAATTCACACGCCAGATTATGATTGATGTAAAAAGATTTATTACAAACCTTCTTCAAGATCTTCTTTACTGGCGTCTTTTTTCTCTTCACCATCTAACGAATCTACACTTCCTTTATGACTCTCATCTTTGAACGGTCGATTTTTGTGACTTCCATATGATTTATTACTAGAATAGAAATAATCAAGATTTCTATAGTAATCAGATTAACATATCGATTTAAAAAAAATGCTCAGTCAACTACTATTTCAAGTATAGAAAAATAAATTATTTACAAAGAAAACATAGTAATTAATTTACCTGATCGTATCGTCATCATGATGATTAATATAATCATGATCCAGTCTGTAGTCGTGATGATTGATTGAATTTCCCAGGGCCTTGGTATTGTTCATGCTCAGTCTTTCTTTCCTCAATTTGTTTCTCAAATCTCCTTTGCAAAAAGACGAAAAATGAGACTATTAGTTGAACATGAACCAGATTAATAATAGAGAATAATAAACTCGTCACAGAAAAATATTAAGACCATTCAAAACTAAATAATAAAAATTATGACAATAATTACCATGAATGGTAAACTCCATTCCATCCCCAATAGCCACCTCCAGCTGATTGTTGAACTCTTTCGCACTCTTTTTATCTCTATAACCATCAAGCTCTCCATCTGCAAGATCCCGATCTCCGTCCCGGTCAATTCCATCTGCACAGTTATACATGATCTCTAACCCATCCGGGTTACCATTTTTCATGGTCGAAAAATAATATAGGAAAACTGTTCAAATATTAAGTTGCTATATTTGACTCGAGTCAAGAAACCGTTTTGTAATGATCTCGACGTCAAATGAAAAGTTTTATCACCTTTTTTTTTACGCATTTTAGTTGAATAAACTAGCAATACTAGAATTGAAATAATATTATAGCAGAAGCTAATATATTATCTTATATTTTAAAGCGATAAAAGTTTTCTTATTTTAGCAGTACATGCACACCCATTTGGTCCATAATTAATCAGAATGATAACGTCAGAGTGACTTGTAAGAACAGTACAATATTTATTTTTCGATCACGAATTAATTAAAATGATTTTGTATTGCTTTATTTTATAATTGAGTCACAGAAAGTGCAAGTTTAATTTAGTGCAGTATAGCGTGCGTGACTTGTGAGTTAATACGTGGTAAGTTAATTGAACCGAATTAACTGAAAAATCACATAAATCATATTTGCTTTGTGAATAAATTGTATGAGTGATAAATTTACAGTAGATTATTATAAAGACTAAATATTGAATACTTTCAAACTTTTTATCATTTTGATCATAATGATTATTATTCTTTCAATTGAATAAATTAATTTAAATAATCTTTTGCAAAGGGTTTACCTTGAACTGTTTCAATCATCTAAATAAACGAATAATTACAGTAATATTTTATTCATTCGTCGTGCTAAATATTTTATTGCTCTCAATAATGATCCAATTTCATGATGTTATGGAAAAAAAGGAGTAAACAAATGAATATGATAACTTAGAAAAAAAAAAATAAGATTAAATCTACTGTAAACTTAACCAAACAATTGATTTTATTACACAAGTGATTGATTATTAAAGACATTCTGATTAATATTGTCCTCATGAGCGCGTTTTCAACGTAAAGTGATAGGAGTGCGTGTCAAAGTTAATGAATAGACTACATGTTAATTACATCGGTCATATCCACTTCAAATCCAAATTAGAAAAGCAATTAGCGACTATCAATGATTATTTTCCTTTGCAATGATATTCAGGAAGTAGGATCAACTTAATGAGAAAATCATTTTGAGATGATTGAATTGACAGGATTGATCAAAAGAAATAATCAATGACCAACAACTGTAATACAATGATGACAAAACTACACAGCGCACACAGCAAGCGATCTGATTGGATATAAACCTTCTTTCCAACTGTTGGACGGTCCCTCACCTGGCGCCTGATCGGATATCTGGTTCGTAAGTTTGGCCCGCATCATTTTGAGAAGATTGAGGACACTTCGCTTGACCCATTTGATAAACCTTGCTATCCGGTCGATTGCTTCAGCTATTTTATTCGTATCATTGTCTGCTGTAGGCGCCGACAAGTTTGATGAACCAAAGTTGCTCAAAAGCAACGCCAAGAAGAGGTTGAGTACCTTTTAATGAGAGACATTATATAAATTATCATTATCATTACAGCGGGTTTAATTAGTGATTGTTAATTAAATTGTTGGATTATGTAATTATAAATCATACGTACGACTAAATTACCGATGACGACAGTAGCCAAGAAGAATGGAATACATGAGACATCACCAACCAACATGCAATCCCACATTGATTCGATCCATTCTCCGCACAGTACACGAAAAACAATCATGAAGGAATGCATAAAATCAGTAAAGTTCCATCTTGGTAATGTACCATCGGGAAAACGATCGACGTTGTCGGTGTAATTTTTCCCAAATAGCTGCATACCCATCACAGCAAATATAAATATAATAATACACAGCACAAATGTTAAGTTACCCAAGGCTCCTACTGTTCTTCCCATAATCGATATCAACAAATTCAATGTTGGCCACGATTTTGCTAATTTAAATACTCGCAACTGAAATAAAAAGTTAACAATTATTACATTATTTCAATTTAATAATCTATTACAGTTTTTAGATTAAATAATAATTTTATTTACCAATCGAAATGACCGTAAAACTGAAAGACCCTGCACTCCTTCAAGACCCAACTCCAAAAGTGATAAAGCAACAATAATAAAATCAAAAATATTCCATCCCTCTTGAAAGTAATACTTTGGACTCATGGCAATAAGCTTTAACGTTGCTTCGATACCAAATGTAGCAGTAAAAAACTAAAAATCATTATTAAATATTAAATTTTACTCCATTTAACGTTCAATTCTAAAGATTAAGAATTAATTTAAAAAAACTTACGTAGTTTCCTGATTTCAATACCCGCTCCATATCTTTGTCCATATCGTGATGGTCCAATGCCATAAATAAAGTGTTGACTACGATGCAAAGAGTAATAAAAAGCTCTACGAAGGGATCGAAGACTAGTAGAGATACCCATTCTTGAAACTTTAACCAGGCCCAACAACAGTCCCAAACGCACAAAAAATCGATCACACGAACGATTGCTGATAATAATTTTTCCTTAAACGTAGGACCTTCCTCATCGTCATCTGTCGGAAAGTAGTATGTCGAAACTGTATTTTATGTCAGTAAATTAGTTGTGACCCACTCTTTTTTGGGGAAAGAGTTTCTTTTAAAATATTCTATTATTTTATAAGCTTGCTCAACTCAACTGATTTATTCATCAAACAAAAATGATTAAACAACAATTATGTCATTCAAATATCAGCAAATGAATATTTATAAATATATAAATAAATAAAATCCTCATAATATGTCATATAAAGCGCAAAAACGTTATTGAAAAAAGTGACAAAAGCTTAAAATCAAAAAATAATAAAATAAAGTTTAAATATCAATAAATCAATAATCACTGCACGCTTTAACAGCATGCACACTGCATAAATTTCACAAAATTAAAATAAAAATTCATGCAAAAAATTGTAAATAAATGAAAAAAAAAAGATTTGCAACTCCAATAAGAATTCTATTTCCCCAAAAAACACACACAGAATTCATTCATTCTAGCTAGTAATTGTTTTTATACACTGAAAATGTTGCTGACTCTACTCGAATTAATATATAGCACATAAAAACATGATTATACAATTCTCCAAAATTTCTCTAATGAGATTTTTATAATTATAAACACGTGTACAATCGACGTTTACTGTCACACACAAAAAAATACAGTGTTACATAAAAAATCCAATGAATAAAATATTAAATTACCTCCTTGGTCTGATGATCTGCTTTGCCGCCCAGCAGCCTGTTCGATAATGTCATTCAGAACCATAACATCTGAGAAAGTGTAATTCAAGTTAATATATAAAGTTCTAAGTAAAACAATTGTCAGTATTAACTTGGAATAACTATGAATAAGTTTTCACTTCTGACCTTTCATATCAACAACTGCGTTTTGTTGACTGGGTTCTATGAATGGGTTGTCTGGCTGTTTATTTTTACCCAGAGGATCTTCCATGTCTACATCCTGCAAAACATATGGAGAACATTACATTTACTCTATAACAATCATAAATAATTATTTGTATTTATTTAAAAAAATTGGGAAAAAATTGATTTGTTTATAATATAAGATTAAATGAAATATAAGTGGTCGAATAAATTATTTTATATCAAGTAAAAAGAACGAGAATGAAACAAAATCAGATTTTCGTAACATAATCCTTATAAATTCTTACAGAAGCAAGGGAAACATTATGGGATTTGATGAAATTGGATGAGCCAAGCAAAAATCCTTAGATAAAAGTTTTTAATGCAACATTTTTATATGAGATCCATGAGATTCTATCAATAGATGAATTAATAATTCCTTGAATCTTAAATAAAAAAAATCAGCTCATTTTCAATACCATTTTTATTTAAAAAGATTGAATAGATAAATCAGCATTTTCATTATTACTTATCCATCAATATCCTTCATTAATTTTAAGATAAATGCATAAAATACGTTTTCAATATGTATGTTACTAAAAATAAACAATTATCTACTCTAACAATGAAAAATTAATTTAGGAATAGCTCATTGAAGATAACGTTAATAATTAACCCTCTCATTAATATAATTAAAAAGGTTGCTTCTTTAATGAATTGAAGTTATAAATCAATAAATTTAATTAGATGAGCATATTAATAAATCAGGAAGAATGTTTTTTGACACTCACATGATGAAGTTTTTGTGATGGCTCTGTTGCGTGACCATTAACTGAAGGAGGTCGAGCAGATCTACTTCGCAGTCTACTCTCTTTGGTCATAGGTTTTCCAGCATTAGCAATTCCTCCTAGCAGATCTCCATGAGACGTATAAGAAAGTCTTGAAGCGTGCGAGGTGTAGGATGAATGTCTTGATCCTAAACTTGTGTAATAAACGGGAACGACGATTGTTCCATTTTCCTCGGACATTGGAGTGACGGCATTTGAATCGTCGGCGTAAGGCAGATGTTCCTGGGCATCAAGATACGTCGAAAGAACCAGCGGCTTTCTGTCTCCACCAGGAGGACCAACAAATCTTCCTCGTCCATTTCGAATGGTAAATTGATGACTTCCTCGACTCCCTCTTCGTAGGTTGAAAGGAGAGCCAGGAAGACTAAGGCTTGCCTGAAAATTAAATTTACAGGATTACAATCAAGAAATGAACTCGTTGGATTAATTTTAAATAAAAATTATTCAAGTTTTGATTATATTTATACTGAGAGAAAAATTGTTTTAATAAAATCAGAAAAAATGTTGCCCATGTCTTAGTATAATTACATAAAGTCGATAATATCTATCTTTAACATCTATTACATCATTACATAAATATGTAAAGACTATCACGAAGTAAAATCGATACATTTTTCTGTCATATCAATAGTTAACATTTTGTGTTATAAATAATTAAAATATCAGTTACTATGTAAAGCAAACGTATGAAATACTTTACATTGACCAATTTTATAGAAGCAAACATTGTGATAGATAAGAATCAATTGAATAAAATAGTTTTTCAGATTTTTTATCTCAGTATAACACTTCAATTACAAATTATTAATCAACATTAAAAAACAGAGTGAATAAATGGTTGAAAACTAAATAGTTGGTAATTAAAAATAAATATTTGACAGATACGCATGAATTCAGGGATTAATTATAATATTTTTATAGAATATCGTTATTAATTTAATATAATTAAATCGTGAGAAATAGAGTAGAAGAAAAATGAGCCTGTCTCTGGTAACGCGAGAGAAAGAGAGATAGTTGTTGAAGATTTGAACCTATTTAGTTCATTTAAATAGTACGTACGGTTGTAACCGATATCCCATCACGTACCTTCCTCAGATTTTCCCGGTAGGCATAAGTAAACTGGCCATTAGGGGCGCGAGAGACCTTAAGAAAAAAAAAATAAGAAAAGGTATCTCCTACCGAATCGATTTTTTTTTTTAAAGAGTACTAGTTTTTTACATCAACGTTCATATAGGCACGACTTGCAAAAGCACATGTAATTAATTATGTATACGTGGATAATTTTTACTCATTACGAGGATTCGAGGTTTACAACATTGCTGATAAACTGATAAAGATTACGTGAAATAAATTAATAATAATGGCAAGTTTGTTTGTTACCAAGACCTATAGATAATAAATTAATTATTTATGCAAATCCATAGTACCGTTGCGCATGCATATTATTTTAATTCGTGAAATGAATGAGTTATTAGTTTATGGTTACCATCATTTAACTCTGTCACTTAACTTGAAATGCATTTGTAAAATAATTATTCAATGAATTGAAAGTAGTTTTTTTTTTTAAATCATTATGTTTATTTTTGATATTTTAGTTTATTTAATTGACTGTATTTTTTATTAATATCAGTGTAGTCCTTGTAAGTAATATCATGTAATTATTGTTTCTATCTATTTTTTTAGCACATGCATTACCATGCAAATATTTACACTCGCTGGATTTAATTGTCATGCTAATAGTTTAATAAAAATTAATTCTTGTCAAGAAAATATACATATACTTCTGAATAAAATTTCTGTTCTTTTAATAATTTTATAAATAATAAATCACGTATTAGAATAATTAAAATTGATATTTTTGTTATATTTAAAAATAATTTTAATAAATAAATCTTTAAAATTATTAAATAAACAGTAAATTAGCAATTAAAAAGAGTACTTTTAAAAGTCACATATGCATTCTCTGTATGCATCAAAGCAGCCACAAATAATGCCAAATATCAAAGATAAGAATAATAGACAATAAATTGAATAAAAGATAGATTTCACTTCATTTCTTTCGTTATCTCAAATTTTTTTTTTTTAATCTCATTCTTTAATTAGTCAATGTTGACTAATTAAAGAGTCTAAATAAAATGAACTTTGTGAAGTTCGTAATTCAATTATTTTTTTGTTTCTCTTTCACTTGATTAAGAATAAATAAAAATAATACTTACAGCGCTCACTTTGCGGACTTTATTAGCAGCATTGTGATTATTGTTGATTGGTCTGACTCTATATTCGCTAACAGATTCGACGGATCTTATGCTCATTCTCTCTTTATTGTTGTCGTCATTGCTTTTTTCTTGACCAACGAATAATTCGTAACTGTGGCAGGAGAAATTTGAAGGCGATTTAACTATTTGTTCAGCAGCGGCTGCTGCAGCAGCTGCTTCTTTTGCTGCCGCATGTGCAGCAGCTTTATGTTCTTTCGCTAAAGCTGCTTCTTCTGCTTCCTGCAATTAATTATTCAGCTTTTTTTTACTGAACTTAATTAAACCCCTATGATTATTATCATTATTTAAATACTTAATTAATAGTCATACATTGTTGTAAATTAATTACAAGATAGTCTTACTTTAATAAATACAATGATTTATGAATTAATTAGCACTTACTCTGATAGCTTCCTCTTCAGCCGCTTCTTCTTCCTCTGCTTTCTTCTGCAACTCGTCATATGACATGGCTACGATGGCAAGGATCAAGTTTACTAGATAAAATGATCCCAGGAAAATGATAACGATGAAGAACAACATGTGCCAGGGTCCAGCTGACCTCAAAACTAACTGATACAAGTTCTCCCAATAATCCTGGGTCATCAAACGGAAAGCTGACAATAATGCCCATCCAAATGTATCAAAACTCGTGTATCCATAATTTGGATTGTCTCCATAGCCTTGTAAGCATGTGTAACCGGGTTCACACATGCTGGATAAAATGTTTTATTCGATTAGTTCAATTGACCATTAATATTACTTTCATTAATTGGATTAATTTGTTTTCTTAAATGTATTAACTGAAAGTACTCACCCAGCTCCGGATGAATTACCACATAAAGGCATATTTCCATTATCATCAACATACCAATTGGCTGAAAAAATAATATTAAATCAATGTACCAAATAATTTAGAATATACAGAAAATAATGAAAACAAGTTTATTTGTGATTTAATTAAAATATATTTTAAGTGTTGTTGATTTGATTTAGTTGAATATCAAAGCAATTCTGAATTACTTTAATAAATATTAAAGCGATTTAGAAAAAAAATTGATTGAATCGTTCTTAAGATACCCTTGATAGAAAGCTTTTCCTTTTATTCCTCACAACATTAAAAGTGGAAAGTTTTCTCCAAGGGTCATAAGACTTATAATTTGTTTACAGTATATTTTAAAATTGTCCAAGATACTTACTCGAATTACTGACAAACTTTTCCCAGTTCTCATCAGTTAGATTACCCCAGGAACCATCTTCTGGAAAATTTTTTATACATTTTTGCGTAAGGACCCCCATGTAAATTTGGAGGCCCATTAACGCAAAGACGGAAAGGGAGAACATCGTTAAGATTATCACATCGCGCAGATTTTTTACAGACTCTATCACAGCGCCGACAATGGTTTTCAGACCTAAGCAAAGGACAATAAATTAAAATAGAAGGATTCTTAAATAAACAAATAACATATCAGGATGATTGTTATACATATTTGGTGACTTTCAGTGGACTTTAAATAATCAAAAAGTCATTGAGAATAATTTATTATAAAAAGCTCATTAAATAATCAAATAAAATAAAAGAAAAAAACAGGCACCGATTCATTGAAACTAAATAGCATGTCTATAATAATCTGTTTTACTACACTGATCAATACTCTAAGCATACCTGGTACAATAGCGACAGTCTTCAAGGCTCGGAGGACTCGAAATGTCCTGAGAGCGGCAAGGTTGCCTAGATCTATGCCCATCGTCACATAACTGCAATACACCCGAACGTCACACACATTACAGTGATACAAAATAAATGAAATAAAGAAAATTTTTTTTTAATTTTAATTAAATAAAAATAAATAATTAATTAATATAAAATTACAATACTATACTATCTATAATCTACCGCGTTTCATAAAACTCTTATACAAATATCTCAATTATTTCATGCACGATATATAAATATATATATATCATATAAGTATTTATGTAATAATTAATAATGAATCAATATATAATTAAGTTCCTAATTTTTAATTAGATTTAATAAATATTCTATTAACATTTATTAATAACGTATAATTATATTAGTTCTAGACTACTGTTTAAATAATTATTTAATTTATCGCTTTCTATTTCTAATAATAATTATTATTTACCATGAATTTAAACTAATTTTACTAATGTACTAATATGTAAATAAACTTTGTGTTATTCTACATATTTAGTTTGTCTTGATAAAATACAGTACTCAGTTATCCATGAAATTGGTATGATTTTTGTATGGTGAATGATTCAACAGTATTTCTTCATTAATATACAAGGAGACAATATTAATAGAATCAACGTTGTTTATTTTTATACATCACTCGTTAATAAATAGTTATCAGTATTAAAGGTTTATCAGTTCTCAGATGATTTTTAGTAATGCCTACCGATGAGTTATACAGGATCACTACTTGTCTATAAGGAAATTTAATAAGCTTCTTCGTTTATTCTATGAACCTGTTGATTGCTAATGTAAATTTATCGATGTCCATGGAGTATTACATCGATAAAACTATCTAAAGATAACAAATATTTTTCAAAATATTCATTAAACTTTACTCCGCAAATATGAAGGTTATTTATTAAAATAATTAAACAAAAAAATATTTTATTCTTCTCATAAATTTAAATAATAATGACTGAATATAAAATTTTATATTTTGTTATTTGTTGTTGTTTTTCTTTCAAAACTTTTGAGTGAGAAAAATTTATGACCTTAATAGATAATTCAGAACAAAATTGGAGAAATAAAAAAGGAAATGTCATCGTGTACCTTCAAGCGAAGAGATTTTTGTTGTTGTTATTTATATTTTTTTGTCTTCACAAATAAATCAATAAATCAATGAATATGTTTAACTACTCACGCTAAAGCTATAACTACGAAGTCGAGCCAATTCCATGCATCTCTAAGATAGGTAAAAGGCTGCAGAATGAAACCCCTCGCCATCACCTTAACGGCGGATTCAAATGTGTAGATGCCCGTAAATATCACTCTGAAAACATAAATTGATAGCTCAATATTACTTTATATTTGTCATTGCATCATTTTATATTATATGTTATTCAAGAGAAGTTAATTGATTATTTTACAATTATTTCCTTCAACAACACTCTCATAATTTCTGCTGTTTGATGGAGAAATTTTTTTTGTTATTCAAACTAAGCAATAATTCAAAAGCAAAAATAAAACAATGGAATCTATTAATCAATAAATTAGTTCTAATATTCTATGACTATGCAAAAAAAAGTTTTTTCTTTTAAAGACATCAATAATTAAGTCTGTTGCAGGAACAAATCTCTGATCTATTTCAGCAACAGAAATCTCTTTGTGTAGTCTACTATAAGTATTTTATTACTAAACTTACCGAAAGTTACGAGAAATTGATCTAAATATATACATAATCTATAATTTCTTAAAAATAAAATGATTCCTAGAATAAACTTTAGACATACATGTTTATACTTTTAACTGCTATTGGATATATTTTCTATAGACAATCTAGCAAAGCTAATAGCATTATATAATTGATACTTTTTCTTGAAAATTCCATTATCATTATTTTTCTGGAGATTAAACATCAACAATAATTGCTCTGCTTGAGCTGCAGTAATAGCCGGATGTAAAGGGGTAGATGTACGAGTGAATAATTTACGTACTCGGTGGACTCGATGGTGGGCGTAGTGGGCATAATCATGAGTATGCAGTTAACCAAAATAGTGGTGATGATGAATAAGGAAAAGAGCGGGTGGACCAGAATATAAATGGCCACCCGTCGAATTGGATTAAACGGATCGAGGATCCATAAAGCATCCGTCGCCGAGAATCTGAATATATCCTTCCCTTTGCTGATGACCACGAACGTCTAGAAACAAAATCATTTATATTAATAAACTGAAATGAACACACTTATTATTTATCATTTTTCTAAATACTTTATTTTTTGAGCTAATTTCATTCAATCGATCATTCTGATTCTTTACATATGTTTTGGGTATTAAGGTGTTGAAAATAATAGCTATTTTCGACGATAAAAATCATGAATGTCTCCATCATATAAAGTTAATAACTTATCATGCTTGTATCGTTGAATAAACATTTGTGTCAATAAGGAAACTATTTTGATGGTAAAATTATATATTGAAAGCCCAAATTTATTCTAATCTAGATATAATTCATAGGCTTTTATTATCAGTCCTATAATTGTTATGAACACATAGGGAATTGATTTTCAACCAAAATAAATATTTTTTTATTTTTCAATCAATAAATTACTCAATTTGTATTTATAAGTAGATAATTTGTTATACTTGGTATAATTAACTGTTAAACAAAGATTCAAACTTTATCAAGAAGTTAAAAATACAATTGATGAGTACAATGAACTCTAGGGTAAAATACTCTCAAATTAGGTAAGTAATCGACAAGTTATTTAACCCTTGAACAATATCTAAGAGTCATTACATATTTATTGAATATGATAAGAAAAACAATGGGTGTAAGAAACTAAGTAAAATATTCCAAATTGCTTATAAGAATTCAAATTTATTCGTCAAAACAAATTTAAATTTTTCAAGAGAGATGGAAAAATATTCTAAAAAAAGATTTTAAAATATTCAAACTTAAAATGGAAACAGTTTAATAAAAATATTATGTACTAAATAGTTTTACTGAAACATTTTAAAAAAAAAAAATCTAAATCTCATAATTTTGTTACATTTTTTATAGATTTTTATTGAAACTAAAGAAAAATATTACGGTCAAGCATAAAACCTTTTCCTAGAAAACGTTGGTTATATGGCTGTCAAATAAAAAGGTAAAGCTCAAGGGTTCATTATAAGAGTTAAATATGTCCAAGTTTTATAAACCTTTTTAATTTTAATTCACCCATAAAGTCTTTTATTTAAACAAAATTGTTTTTTTTTCTATCCTAAATAAATAAAATTATTTTCGGTTTGTAATAATATTTTGATTGATTATCTTGATAAATTGACTGTAACAATGAGCAAACAAATTATTCCTACCCTTTGATTATGGTAGAAGCTATCAATATCTTCAAGAGGCGTCGAGGCCAGCTCGGGGGGAAATTCGTTGTGCAATCGGACTGGAAGGGGCCCCCCTTGCTCAAACATTGGATCAGGCTGTGGACCCTCATCTTCGTCTTCGTCGTCATAACGGGCCTGTGAAACATGGGTAACATTTTATTATTTGCTCATCATGTCACATTTAACATTTAATTCTATCTCTATGTACACATTTCATTGTATCATTGATGGTTTTATTTTATATTAAATACCAATAAATTCAGTTTTTTTTTTTCTTTCTCTGATGCATATGGCTCTGTTTTTACTTTTGTTTTTTTTACAAACAAATGTAATATCCAGAGACATTAAATATACAGCACAGTTATTTTTTCTTTACAAATTTATTGATTGATTTCATATTGTCTTTAATTTTTAGTAGCACCTGTGAAATGAATTTATTTTTTTATTTTTACTTGTAGAAAATTTTTTTTTTCAATTATTGATCAGTGTACATATCCTATAAAAAGTGTTAATTTTTATTAAAATTGTGTACAATAGCAAGTGTAGTGTATTTGCATGTATAAACTATTGTTATCATCTATTCTAAATTTGTTCCTACGATCTATCCTAGTCATCTATTTTTCAGCCGAAAAATAATATAACTTTTTGAGTGTCTTTAAAGTTGAAATTCCATAGAGTTTGCGCGTGCAAGCAATCATTAAAATAATGAAAATAATTAAAACTTAATGAGTATATTCGGTATGTATTGTTTATACACTGATAAAAGGCTTTAAAAATAATTCGTATTGAAAAATGTGTGTTTCTTTGTTGTTTCTATTTATTTGAAGCATTTTGTATTTAAACATTCATTATATAAAAGCAATACGAAAAATTGTACACTGCTTTAGGCAAACTCTTCTCATAATATTTTTAATTGTATAAAAATATTATCCATTTAATTAACATAAAAAGTTATTGTTGGATATTTACATCAAAACTATTTAATTAAATAATTGATACGAAATGAGAAAGCAAAAAGGAAAAAATATCTTGAGAAGAGTAAATTAAATGAAGCAAAAGCATTCAACTGTTCCCCAGTGTATAGAATAATTGATTAAAAATAACTGTGTTCGTGTGTACGTGTTTCTCTAGATACTAGAACAAGCTCTAGTCAATATACATATATTATCTATGCCTCTAAATGCTGTGGGTTTAATAAAAATAAAGAAAATATGTGTAATTAGCTTGATTATATTTAAGATACTTGGCATGATGCAACATCTTACTTCTTTTTTCTTTTTCTTCCGTCCATAACCACCCTGGAATTGCACAACAGGGAAAGAGTTACACACATACAACACAAACAAGTAGGAAAAAGAAGAAAATTATCAATTGAATTACTTTCAAATTTTTTTTACAAGACAATCTAGATATTATTTAATTCTATTATTATTCATTACTTTAAAGTTCAAAGAATAGTTGATATTATTATTTCTATATCATACATTAATAATAATTATTATTATGATTATAAAATTGCTTCAAATTCTTTCTAAAGGGTATCAATGATATTTCTATAGAACGAAATAATTATTATTAGGGCAAGGTATTGCGGAAGATTAGAAGTGTAATAGAAGATACAAGATAGAGTCAGGCACAGCATAAATATGACATTGCATACATCGAGCTCTCGCACGCGACTGTTTTAATATGTACTTTAAGAGAACAGAGAACACAGGAAAACTCTGTATCGACTTTATAATAGTAATAAAATATATAGAGTTAGTTAATCCCACTGACGCTACTACTAATGTTACATGTTCAAGCACACACCCAACACTGGTACAACAATAAAAGTCAACAGTTAACGCGATTAATAGATTTATTCAGTATTAATCACTAAATAAATTTCAATTATCAAATTAAAATAAAAACAACCAATTTATAAAAGATTATAAACCGTATTAAAAACTATATACAAAAATAAATCAAGCTTGTATTTATTTTATAATGAAAATTCAATTGCCATTTATCAACCTGTTCAATCAGAAATTAGCTATAATAATTACAAAACAAAAGCTCTGGAGTATTTAAATATTTATCAATTTAAGACAACTTTGCAGCAAATATTTATGAGATTATTAATGCTCGTCAGTTATGGACGATAAATAAACAGAGCGAATCGAGTTAATTTAATAAACAAAAATCACCGCTAAATGGAATTATTCTATTTTACAAAAATAAACACAAAAAAATATGTTTATATAAATAAGCTTTTAATGACCTGTATTCTTGTAATTCTTTGATCAATTTAATTTTTAAACACAACGAATCGATTATAATTTACAACTTTACCTCGGCCACCTGTACGCAAGTAAGGCAATATGCGCGTTGCAATATAAAAAAAGCATTTTTACCTTGTAAACATAATAATTATTCAACTTCAGCACACATGGCTTTCTAAGCTTTTCCATCAAATGTCTGATTATTATTCTCATTAATGTTGTTGTTTATTAATTGTTTAGATATCTTGTCTGAATAAATAAACTAATTGGATATTATTGTTTTTTAATCGGTTTTAACTCTATATTGATTTTATTTAAAGTCTGACTTGAACGTGATAACACCACTTGATTAAAAAATATAAAACCTTAAAATGGGAATAAAAATATCCATACCTCGCTTTGTGCTCTTTTAGCCTCGAGTTCTTTTTGCTTAGCAAGTTCTTCGGCAATGCGAGCCTCAATCGCAGCCAAGGATTCCCGCGTGAACGGACGGAACAAACTTCGTTCTTCTGATAGGGAGTCAAAATCTTCGGACATTGTCTACGCTGCGCACAACGACGGCACCTTCCTGTAATTGTACCTTTTATTTCTTTCCTGCTTTTAAATCCATCCTATCACTCTCATCTATATTTCAATTAATAGAAAAAATTGAGTGAAACGATCAATTAACCTTGTCAAAATATTCATTAGTGAATATATGATATATTGCAAGAATAATCCAGGTCAACCATTAAAGATTTTTTACCAAATGAAAATTAAACATAACATTTAGGGAAAAAGTTACTTTTTTTGATTTCAACGAATTTTCATTAATTACTTTTTTGTGATTTTAATATGCTAATTATAGTTAAAAGTACTAATCTTGATAAGATATTAGGGGAACTTCAGAACTCCTATTAGTAGCCTTCATAAAAACTAATCAAAATAATTCATAATAATTCTTTTTTGCTTTTCAAAAAGCAATATAAATTAAGTTTTTTACAAAAATTATATCAACTTTTTTTTTTTAATTATCTAAAAAGGCGAAAATTGATTTCAACGGTTCTTTTTTTTTATTCAACATTAAAAATAATTGTCATGTGTTGTCTTGATGATGTCAACCCTGGATAGTTCTTTCAATATAACAGGGATAAAGAGCATCATTACCTTGCGGTAGGTGCTAACAGTTCCTGAAATGACGGCTATGTGTCTTAGGTGAAAAGTAATAAAACTGTCGATGGCGAAAGTGTTGCTGTAAGCGAGATATAGAAATATCAATATCAAGGTGCTTCTTGAATTTGGAATGCGCGGTAGTGTACAAAGAAGTTTTGTAGGATCGGACGGATAAATGCGGCTGTTGCACCACGTAGCTTCTCGTTATCTCGCTCTCTTTCTTTTCGCCGCTTGCAAAAATACTCCGCCGTCTCGTTAGGTAAGTATCACTCCTCACGTTATGCCTGCGTCTCCCGGTATTGTTCGGTGAAATTGCGGCGACCAGTAGTGAACGCGCTCCGGCAGTGCGTGGTATGTTGGGGCCAGTCCAACGTGAACCAAGATTTTTCATGTCCGACCTGAAATATTCATACATCGTTAGCATTATTTCATGGATGTTTTGCAATAAAAAAATTTCTTTCATTAAAAATTTTTAAAGAAGAAAAATGCTTTTTATGTTTACAATCTAAAGATTAAAATTATTATCAACAACTGTCAGCAAAAAGTATTCAAAGTTGTTCTTCGTTAATTCATACTTGTAATTAACGAAAGATGTAAAACAGAATTGGAGACCACCAGATGTAGGTTGCAAAAAGAAAAAAAAAAATTGTACTCTCATTGTTAGTTGTAATTTTTTTCACTTTACAAAAATGATTTCTCTTCAATATGCACTTGAATTTAATGAAGAAAACATACATACGTATACATGAAGCGACGACGATGTGCTCAATCTGCTATTGTAATTATCATAGCCTGGACTTTTAAGCGATACGCCGTTATCTATTACAAAAGATAAAAGCAAAATTTCAATCAATATCTCATTTTTTCAACATTCAGGCATTTTTTTTTCAAAGTTCTATGATGAAACTGAATCACTAATCTATTATTCATAAAGAAATTCCACGAATTAGAATAAAATTCCACTCTTTTCCAATATTTCAATAAAAATGTCAACCTAAAAAAAAATAAATAAATAAATATTAATAATCATTACAATAAAATTGATTAAAACAGAGGAAAAAAAAAGGTTTGAATAAAGTAATAATAATTAAGAAGAAATAAAGTGAAGTGATGTTTAATTAATTAGCATAAGAGTAACCCTAGGATTCATTAAGAGTGAAAGACGTAAGTGGACAAGTTTCCATAAAGAAGTAATGTTTAATTTACGTGCATTAAAGTGGATATATCGTTTGAACAAAACGATGTTACTCGATACTCCTTCCGATATGGATTCAAACGTCGACCTAACTCGGCAACTAACCGCGATTGGGCTATCGCGTGTCAATGGAAAGTAGGTGAACACGTTACAGTCTGTGCCGAAGTCGTTACAGTCCCCAACGAGTCAGACTGCCCGACGGCGAGAGAGTCGCTGCAATTCCATGTCCTATTACGTTTGCAACATATCGATCGTACCACGCCGACCAACTAAACCGATTCCACCCTTACTTTTATTTTTTTCCCATAAGTATGAGGTCAACCATCATTTTCAGTGACTACACTCTTTTCTGTTTATCTAGGCTATCAATCAGTCATCTTCCTATTACCTTTATGGGTAATAGAATTATTCATTTTCAGTCAAATATAAAAATTTAGATCGCCTTAACTGATCGATACTCGACGTGAAGGTTATTGTTGTTTTTTTTATCAATAAAATATGACTTTATATTTTCATTCTATCTATTTTATAGAGATAAAGATATATAATAAATATTGAAAACTCAGGAAATAGGGTTGGTTTATCGAAACTATTTGATTAGTTGATGATGAATGAATATAAATTAACTAGATAAAAGAAATTGACAGGATAGATGAGAAACGCGCCATCTTAGCGTAGTTATCGCGACACCAGCGTCACCAAGTGTACACTCTGAGAAATATTACGTAAAAATTACTTCACATTAGAAATTTGAATTATTAATCTAGTTAGTTAATCCGAGATATTTTAGACACTTAGTACTTATTACGAAGAAATATATGAGTTTTAATTCTCATATCTATTTAAAATTACCATACAAAATCAGCACGTTTTACAGGATTTATTTATTAGATATAAATTTCCTAACCATAAAAAAAGGAAGAGTCTCAAGTGTTAAATTATATTAAACAATTTTCAGTAGTTTAATTTAACAAAATTCATTCTAGGATAATGTTATTGAATTTACTAATCCGGCAACAGGCACATTCACGGTAGAATTCTCATGACAATCAGATAACAAAATGTGAAAAGTTAATGTATAAAAAATGAATGAGTAAAAATCGTTGTAAAATAATTTATATTCACTGCTTTACAGTTATAAAATCATCAACGTTTGAATTACTGCTATTATTATCACTTTAAACAGTTAATATTAACAAATTCATTTTTAAAAAATAAAAAATATAATAAAATATTAATTAATTTTTTAAAATGTTTTATGTTTATTATATGAAAGTTAGACTAATTTAAAACTTGCATGATAAAAGTTATTTTAGTAAAAATTATTTAAGAAAAAAATTAAATTTTTTATTATGTTATTCTTGAAATATCTCGTGATTACTATTTATGACGTGGTAATTTTTAGTAGATATTCTTCTCAGTATACAATAAGAGGGTGCTAACGGGGTAAATGCCGATGCCACAAGATGACGTCATGAATCAGGACGCGCGGACGTTGCAGAAAAATGTTGTCATGACAACATGAACCTAGTGAATGGTACTGACATACAATAGCCACTCCTTACAGTTGACAATTTAATTGGGCAAATAATAAACTTACGTCAATTACTACCTAATTACCCTCTATTTTCCTTTACACTTTTTATTCTTTCTTTTCAAACCAAAATTGATTTTAAAATACCACGAAACATAATACATTATTTATTTAACATTACTCTATTATTTAAAAATAACTATAAAAAATATTGCATAAATAAATAAATAAATAAAAAAGAAAAATAAAATGATTCATTTCAAATGAAAACAAATAAACGAATAATTTCTTAATGTCCTAATAAAAAAATAAAACGAAATAATAAATAAACTGATAGCTTATAAATAAAATTGACTATAAAGCTTCTTAATCTTTGGGAGAATAAAATAGTCAAGCCATAAAGAAAAAATAAAAATTAATTGGTGTAATGGTTGGAAGATGACGGGCGATATCAAATGATTTATAAGAGCAAAGTGCAAGGCTAAAGGAAATATTTAAGCTAAAAGGAAAGATTCATCTGGTCGATGGGAAAGTAGTAAAGAATTTGAAATGGCGCCGGCGCTTACTCTCTTGCTCTCGACTTGAGCTTCACGTCTGTCTATCTAGTGTTATACGAAGCGAAAACGTAGAGTCGCCTGGGGCTGCGGAATAGAGTGCGGTTGTTCGTTACTTCCGTCGTTTGACTTTCTTCTCCTTTACATATATATATATATATATATTTGCAAATATACTTAATGTATATATATATATCGACCTAGTCATGAATACCAACTGAACCTTGTCATCACACATAGCCCAATATTCTACTGACAATTATACATTTATACATAGTCTCTATATGACTTTATAGCACACAAGAAACTACTATTTGTATTTCGCCACATCACGCTTCAACGTCACATAATTTATTTATAATTATCTAATCCGTTCATCCTCACGAATTTTTTTTTTTTAATTAATCTCCTGTGTGATATGATTTCCTTTATCCATATAGTCATCACTCAATTTAATAGAAACATTATTTGCTGCTCTCAATACAAGCGAAATATAAATACCGGTTTGACCCAGTTACTGCCTCTATCCGCATGGCCATTTCACCCTCACCCTCTTGTCCCTCCGCCGCACCCCGATAGCGTTGTCGTGCCGCTCAAGCCGCATTAACGTTTGCTTCACTCTGATTCAAAGCAAGAAATTTACTAACGAATACTCCCTCTAATCTTTCCTCTATACTATGACATTCGTATTTATTAATGTCATGGTCAATTTGAGTTGTTTTCAACATTTTGGACGATGCTTTCAATGATTAGGAGAGACTTATCCTGGTTGAGGGGAAAAGAATGGCAGATACAGATAACAGGGTAAACAATCGTAATAAATAATGGTATAGAATTAATGATAAAATAGTCTTGAACGATGCAGTATGTGTCGCGGCATGGCGTGACGTTGGCGGGAAGACGAGAAGTAAAGGGGATGAAGAAATAGAGGGGAAAAAGTGTTGGGGTTAGACTCGAAGCATGCTGGCTGCTGATGCCGGCCCCGATCCTAGTGCGGGGTCATGCGCGCGACTCCTCGATGCTTCATATAAGAATATACACTACGGACGGTCTGCGCGCGCCCTACTGACCTGCTACTGCTTTGTTACTCTTGTTGCCACCGAATATTCAAAACAGAACACACATACAATACCTCTAGACCTCTATCTCTAATTGACTGTTTAATCATTCAAAAAAATTCATACCTCATTATATTTAGGTGAAATAGTCAAGCACGAAAGATAGTCATTAAATCGAATAAAATTATTGACTTTTGCTAGTAATTCATTGTGACTGCTACCGCCTACTACACACCCCTGTTATTTATGTACTTATTACATATTTCATTTAAGCTGGGATTGATATATCAGCATCAGTAACTGTAATTGACTATAGCAGTTACAGTGTAAAAGAAATGTTTAAAAGATATGACAGTTCTGGTTGGATATATATACAAAGATGAAATCAATAAGCTTGATAGGTTTACAAGCATATATTCTCGTCACTAAGCTCAACTTGTATATTCTCTTGTCAGATAATTCCCCTTGTGATTTTCAGTAACTCGCACGTTGTATTATCACCGTAGGTAGGTATATACCCACATACAATATGCCATCGCATGCTTGATAAAGCGCGCGCAGCCTTGGCCTCTGCCGAAGCCAATCGTCCGTTCTAATAGACTCTTGTCATTTCTTCCCGTTGAGGTATTAAAGCCCTCAAGCTCATTGAAAGTTCAGCCGAGTCGAGCGGAAAAATAAACGTCAGATAAAACGAGAAAGAGCATGAGGGGAAATGAGTATCTTAGATCAGACACGACAGTGGATGCGGATGGCGCAGTAGGTACAATCGTTCAATGACCAGCCCCCAGTTTTCCCGGAACTCGACCTGCACTACTTACGCCGGCTGACTTTTACACACTTGTGCTACTTTTACAGCTGCTCTTTTGTTATTTGTTTTATCAATTTATTGTTGTCTATTTTATGATCAAAATAAAGCTTCATATTAGGGTGAAGTTACCAGCTGATCGAAAGATATCTGATTGAATAATATATTGATTGACCTCCACTATGATTCTTCGATGAAAATATACTTAATAATTGATGTCTATTGCAATCCCTATCAGCGATAAAAAGGTTATACAAAGCCATTTTGATCGTGTTGATGTCAAAGTATAGACATTTATAAGTGAAAATAATATACAGTAGCAAAGTAAAATTTTTCCTACTTTCGAGTTGACTTTTTTTTTTTTAAATAAAGTTACCCCTTTCATTCTCATATACGCGTATCGTAATCAATACACGTCTTGTAAACCGTATTGTCGTATTGACCAGCGATTCGACGGTAGACTCGTGCAGGAAGGTCAAAAGGTTGCGCCACTACCTCAGGAAAAAATTTTCAACGGAAGGGAAAATAAAGTTGTGGTAAATATAATACATAGTGATGTAAAAAAAAATAGTTGTAATGGTGTTAACACTTACGTTTGACGAATGTCACTTTGATGTATCTTATTTTTTTAAAAATTATATACACTTTTGTAGTTTTGAATGCAGGAGAAAAGCGGTACGGAGGAAAATAGGCACTGATGTTTGGGGCGGGCTCTGAGATTTATCCGCGGGCCTTAGCTTGATTTTGTTATATCCTTATAATTTCTTCACAGTGCACAACACTATTTTTTCCTTTTGCACACAAAACACTAAGCAACAAAAGCTAAGAACAAGCACTGGTGTCCTGAGCAGTCCTCGAAATCCATTATTTCGTCCATCACCTTCACCGCAGCTGCAAGGACCCGCCCCCTATCATACTACACGAAAGTGTAGTGAATAAATAGAGCATAAAACTTGCTTTGTGTTAACATTTCAGGCTCTCATCGATGTCTTGTCATTACTTTCACTGTAGCACTCTCGGCTGATTTTTCCTGTAAGTTTCAAGTATGAAAATGCGTGATTATATGAATGACTTAATGTTTGATGGTTATTTTATTATCTTCTTTTTTAATTTTTTTTTTACTTTGACTTAATATTTAATTTAATAAACTCATCACACAGTAGCAGAAGACACTCGAAGAATAAAATTAGGGGCTGCTCTTGGCTCTTGGACAAAACGATTGTCTTTGAATATTTCACAGTCACACTTTTTTTGGTCTCTTGGACATTTTCTGTCCAGTTTGAGTTTTTTTATTGATTATTAACCACCGCGTGCAACCTCAACGACTATTTTCAGACTACTTTTTGGGTTTTTATGATAACAGCTTAATGTATCTGGTTACGAATTTTTTTTTTAAACGGAGGCAGTCTTGAGGGTTAGTGTCCAAGTCGCGGGGAGACAAACCAACCCGAGCACGGATGTTACTGCATCGTCCTGCGCCAACATCACGGTGCGGATTTCTCAGGAACTATATTTCAACCCTCCCTTACCTACCCCTACTCTGCTTTTCCCTCTTTCACTAGTTTGTGACGCATCCACGATTCCAAATCCGGACGACTCATCCCCCACTCAAATTCCCATTGATTTTGTACACTAAACTTAATTAGTGTTTCTTACAAAGTTTTTCAAACTCTTATTTTCCTAATCAATTTTCAACTTTTCATCATCAAAGTAAACTCTCGTTTTTTAAAAAATTTTTTTCCTCTTCTAGATTTCAGCTAAAAAAAAAAATAAAGAATTTGGTTTGACATTTAAAATTAGTCAAATGATGAATTAAAGATAATAAAAAATAATTCATAAATATTTTAAATAATTAAAAATTTTATAATAACGCAGGATTTGTAAATACTTTATCGACGAATGTGTGCTACGAGCGGATCAATGAAAGTACACCCCCTCCGTGGTGCGAAATCTCCCTCCTTATAGTTACCAGGAATACGGTACCATACCGCGCCACTCTTACTATCTTCACCTGAAAACGTTGATCGTTTCCTCCCGCTCATTCCCCTCATCCGATCAGAAAGTTCGCATGCACTCAGGGACACTCACCCACTATGTGACCCACAACATTCGTTTCGCGAGTCGTTTCATGGCCACTGAATAGCACACTTCATTTGTATGATTATTTCTAAGAAAAATTATACTTAACTATTTGTTATAAAATTTATTTGTTTAATGTATAAATGCTTTCGCCAACGCAAAAATAGTTTTGTCAGCCTTTTTTTTTATATCGCATTTTTTTGTAAAAAAATGTCATGTAATTTGAATTCATTGAAATAGTTTCACTATCATGTATTAATGTTTTTATTAATATTTGTAATTGATTTATCACTTATGAATTAACTAATCTAGTAGTTTGTCTCCTTCGTAATCTGCGAATACAAGCATGAATTGCCGCCAGAATCATTGTGATGACAGGCAGTCCAACGCCGATTGATATAATCATGATGACCAAGTAGGAAAATTGTTCACCTGGTGGACTACCATAACCAACAATGAAAGTCCTAAAGTGATAAATATCTCATTAATACTTCTATAATCTCAATGAAATTTGATGATTCATCTTTCATCCGAGGAAAATAGAATAAATCAATGTAAGTCAAGATTTTTTTTATCCTTGACACTACAAAAATTTAACTTGAGCACCATTAATAAAGCCAATAAATTAAAAGCCTCACAAAGTAAACATTTCCTACTTATACACAAATAAACTACTTTTTATAAATAAACTTATAAAATACTAATATTTATTCAATAAAAAAATTAAGTGGAATATTTACCATGTGGTATAATTGGTTTTCTTATAGAATCCATCTCCGGATGTTCCAATTGTAATATTCATTTTTTCTATCAACAAACTATTTGTTTCATTACCATAAAATGCATACAAGAGTGAATTGTGAGGAATTTCTAAACTGTTTATCAATGGATAAAGAATAGTTTCTGTTGAGCTTGTAACATCTCTATCTGATGTTGAGTAAGAAACTGGTCTCCATTGTAAATACGCTGATTCTTTATTATTTTTAACTGTTATTTTTGGAGTTGTTATTTCAACAATCTGTGAATAAAATAATTCAATGTGATATTTTAGGTTTTATCAAATTAGGAAAAAAAAAATTTAATTATTTTATGAGCACCTCAAATATTCCTGGAGTATGTTCATCATCCAGACTCTTCTTAGTATCAACAAACATTTTAGAATTAGGGTCTCCTGGACTAATCATCATAAGTTCTACTCCAAATCTACTCTTAGTGAACGACGAATTTGTTTTAAAATGATTAATAACAAAATCTATTTGCGTTGAATTTTCAGAGTGTAATAAATGTGGTGTCACATCTGAATGATCAAGTGTACTAAATCCATTAAGTATTATTTCTATATCACCAACTCTCGATGTATTGGACTCTGGATCATTATAATTTTTTCCTATCATATCTAACTCTATAAACCTCTTATTTTCTGCCGTATTCTTTCTGATCCAGTGAAAGTATTGTGAATTCAAGACATTTATATAATTATCACTTATATTGAAAATTGATCCCGTATCATTGACGTCATTAAATTCTAAAATCTGTAAAAAAAAAAATATTAAAAACTTTTCATTTAATTTATGAATCAGTTAATAATAGAAAATCGATGAATAATAGATGAGTCAATTTCTTTTTAAGAATAACTCGTCATAGAGTAAACAGAAGTGAATTCATAATTGGAGCACAAAGAAAAAAAAAACTAACCTTCTCCACTAATAAACCAAAACTATATAAAGGTGTTTCAGTAAAATTTATAGATTTCGGTTGATGAGATAAATAATTTTTCCAGTCTATATTTAACTCAGCTGTGGACGAAGTAACTGTTAGAAGGATTGATGGATGACCAATAAAATCCCAAAGGTAGTGTAAGGTATCATTAGAGCCATCAGCTCTTAAGTAAAAAGTTGTTAAATTTTTTCCATCACATATTTCCCCGCATCCGGGATTTAATTTATATGTCAGCTAAAAAATAAATGAATTCTTATTATAAAAAAAAAGATATTTAAACAATAAAACTATTATTATTAACAATAATAAAATCTGTCTATCTCATTGTTTCCATAGTGATAAAAATGCATGATTCAGGGTTACATAGACATTGTTTGATAATGATAAGTTATTATATATATTAAATTATAAGGTTTAACGTTAATAATAAAAGCAAAATAGAATTGGACTTTGACTACGTTGATATTCTTATTGATCGTAGCTATAAAAAAATTGTAGATAAATAAAAAAATAGCTTACAATTCGTTCAGATCCTTGACAAATATTTATAAATATGGCCCAAAAAATAATAAAGTTATGTAGAAGAAACATTTTCAACACAATTCTTATTACTATCAACTGATTGTCACATTGTTATCCTCATTATTATTGTTACATACGCCTTCTCTTTGTCATTCTAATCTACTTTATTCGCGATCATTTTTGTTGAAAAACACGCAAAACACAGTAAAAACAAATGAATAGTTTATGTAATTTTTATACACTAGATGGCGCCACTTTAACAGCCGAGTAGCGCCATCTTTGATACAAAATATCAAGTAATAAAAGTTACAATGCTACCAAATTGGAAACCGAAAATATTTTTATGAAAAAAAATTTCTTTGTCAATTTATTATTAATCGATATTTCAATAAAAAGTAGAAATACCTGCTGTTCTTATCGTAAGAGTTATATAATATATTTAAAAAAATGTTATCTGATTTTATGATCTAATAAGAATAACCTCAAAAAATGTAATAAACAGTTTCTATCCACGTAAGCAAAAGTTCAGAGTTATTTGAAAATTTTGTGGTAACCGCTATTATTGTAATTGAAAGGTTGTCATTCGATAAATAACAGTAGATAAAAAAAAATTAATAAATATACGTATACCAATAGCGTAACTCAACGTGTACAAGTCTATATGTCATATGTTACATCAATATCACACAAATGCTAGAAAAATCGTAATGACGAACAAGAATCAACACTATCGTTCGCATAAAATATCCCTAAATCGCACAAGTGAAACAGCTGATTCAGCAATCATAGATTTTATGTTTCTAAATTAATTAATTTAAATAACTTATTTATTTTTTTTATAATCAATTGTTAAATAACATATCTTGCTGGGTTGATCACTGAAGAACATAGTATGTAAACACCTGAATTATTCAATGTCTGATAAAAACAAGCTGCTACTATGTCCACGTATGTGCTTACGTTTGTTGATAACTGATAATAAAGTATCTAAAAGTGAATAATATACAGTAAAAAACGATATATTCGTTATGTGTGAATGGTGTTAAAATAGGAAAAAATATGAAGTTGGGTCATAAATTTGTATTTCTACTTTGGGTAGCTTTTTTAATGCTATCCACAGCAGAGTTGACCGGGAATAAAGAGGAAGAAGATGAAGATAGTTCAAAAATACAAAGTGATAATAAAAATATGATAGATGAGTTTGATGATGACGATGATTTCGAGACAATTTATAAACAATTACGTCAAGACCAATCATTTAGAGATTCTATTATTAATTTAGTACCGGCGACAGATTCTGTTCTTACAGAAACGACATCCAAACGATCTAAAGATAGTTCAAATGAAAATGAAGAATCAGATAAAGAATTAGATAATTCTGTAGGAACAACGGCATTATTACATATGATTGCTAAAAAAATAGCATTGGACTCTTTAACAAGTTTATCTAAGGGTGTAGAAGAAGTTCCAACGTGGGATGATGAACCAGAAGAAGAGATCGTTGAAGAAGAACCTAAAGAACCTTTGACTCCCGAACAAGTAGAAGGTAATATTGAAAATGATAAAAGAAGCCTTAAAGCTGAAAAATCAATAATTAATTCTATTTTTATTTTCAGCTGAAGAATTATTTCAAAAAGCACAAGCTTTGCTTAACGCCACGAGAAGTAATAAAGCGGAAGCTTATAAGCTAATATCAGGGGCAGCGACACTTGGTCATGCAGAAGCAAGGTCAATGTTGGCGTGGGCTCAACTACTTGGAACACAAACTGGACTTCCATCGGCAACACAAGATATTCCAGCTGCTTTACAAACATTTAAAGAATTAGTACAAACCGGTTTACCTTCAGCTCATATGGGAATGGGATTTTTTTATGCCATGGGTCTTGGAGGAGTAAACGCATCCCAAGCAAAAGCTTTATTGCATTACACTATCGGAGCAATTGGTGGAGATACTCGAGCGCAAATGGCAATTGGATATCGTTATTCTGCTGGTGTTTCTACGATAAGTTCATGTGAAAAAGCTTTAGATTTTTATCGTAAAGTAGCTAATAAAGTTGCTGACCAAGTTACATTAAGTGGAGGGCCAATGATTCAACGAATCCGGTTGTTGGATGAACAGGAAAATCCTGAATATAACTCTGGAATTTTGAATGATGATTTAATAGAATATTATCAGCTATTGGCAGAAAGAGGCGATGTACAAGCACAAGTAGGATTAGGACAGCTCCATTATCAAGGAGGCAGAGGAGTTCCTCTCGATCATCAACGTGCTCTTGATTATTTCCAACATGCTGCAAATGCTGGAAATGCTATTGCTATGGCCTTCTTAGGAAAGGTTAGTAATATATGAATATTTTCAATTACTTTATTGAATTTTTATCTAATTATCCAATTATTCTAATTGGGTTTTTTATCAATAGATTTATTTAGAAGGAAGTGATATCGTCCAGCAAGATAATGAAACAGCTTATAAATATTTTGCAAGTGCAGCAATGTTAGGAAATCCAGTTGGTCAAAGTGGATTAGGTCTTATGTATCTTCATGGAAGAGGTGTTGAAAAAGATACTGCTAAAGCTTTGCAATATTTTAGTCAAGCTGCTGACCAAGGTTGGGTTGATGGCCAGTTACAATTGGGAAATATGTATTTTAGTGAGTTATTCAATCATACATTTTAATTTTAAAGGTAAATATTTTTAGATCATAAATTCAAATATATATCGTTATTTTCTTCAGGTGGAATTGGTGTAAAACGTGACTACAAACTCGCTAACAAATATTTTAGCCTTGCAAGCCAGTCTGGTCATGTTTTGGCATTCTATAATTTAGCTCAAATGCATGCCACTGGGACAGGAACAATGCGTAGTTGTTCGACAGCAGTGGAATTATTTAAAAATGTTGCAGAGCGAGGGAAATGGAGTAGTCAACTGATGACAGCACACACTGATTACCGTGAAGGTAGAATTGATCAAGCGTTTATCAGATATGCTCTTCTGGCAGAAATGGGATATGAAGTAGCACAAAGCAATGCTGCATTCATATTAGACAGAGAAGAAACTACTGTCGTTACTCCAAAAGATGGATTAGTGATGGCATTGGGCTTTTGGGCTCGTGCTGCTGCTCAAAGCTATTCTCCGGCTTGGGTAAATAGATTTAGAATCATTCCTTTATTTTAAATTTTATTCTTCTTTAAAATAGATTATAAAAATGAATATTTTTAGGTAAAACTTGGAGATGCACACTATTATGGTCGAGGAACTCGTGTTGACTATGAAGCAGCGGCTAGATATTATCGTTTGGCGTCTGATCAACAACATAATGCCCAGGCCATATTTAATTTAGGTTATATGCATGAACGTGGGCTTGGCTTGGCACGAGACCGACATTTAGCTAAAAGGTGCTATGATTTAGCAGCGGAAGCGAGCCCTGACGCACGAATACCTGTGGCATTAGCTCTTATCAAATTGTTTTTCTTATTTGGTCTTGACTATTTCCAAGAATTCAGTTTTTCTGAACATTTGAACAAATGGGACCAGTTATTCGGTCAAAACTGGGATTTATATCTTATTGGAGTGTTTACGGGCATGTTGAGTCTTATCATATATTTCCGAAGGCCGCAACCTCCTCAACAACAACAACAACAACAACAACAACAACAACAACAACAACAACAGAATCAACAACAACAAAATCAACCACCACAACAACGGGACAGAGCAAATGCGCAACCTGTTAACTAGTTGATTTGCAAATTTAAAAATCGAGTTCAGAGTCAATTGTTCGATTTATCATTTTTCAGTATCAACTTCACAACTGTTTTGTTAACTTTTTTATTACATCAATAACTGTATAAATTATAAACATAAATAATTTTTAAGAAATCACTGATACTACTGACTTTGTATACTTTTTTGGTGTGATACTAATAAAAATTGACTCTGATCTCAGTTTTATTTGAGATTACGTCGAATTGTTGGTTTTTTGAACTAACTTAAGTTTCGATGTTGCCAAGTGAGAATATTGTCAAGAACCAAATACCTGTTAATGACTGAAGTTTGTATTATGAAAAGATAAAAGAGTGTAGAAAAAAACAAATAAATAATTAAATTCTTATAAAGTTGTATTCTCATCCATAATTATCTATTTTTATCATTAAATATTATCAATAAAAACTCGAAAATTTAGTTTAGTGTAACTTTTTTTTGAAAAAATTTATTGATATAATTTACTATAGCAACCAATTTTATCCAAATCAATCCTGACTAATCCTGGACTGATTAATCTCGCTTAATCTGAATTTCTCTATTTATCTATAAACCAATTCTCTATTAAAATTGGAAAATAAATATCACGTTTATTCATTTCTTAAATAAAGAGTATATAAGATGCCTAAAAAGAAAAAGAAGGGAGGAGACAAAGAAAAGAAAGCTAAAAAAAAATCTAGCATCAGTGAGAGAGATACTGTATTTTTTGAACAATTAATTATTGATAATAATCGTCAACTTGCAAGGTAAAATCACTTCAGAAATTATCAATTCCTAGATGATTTAAAAATCTATCGAACCTTTTGTTTAGAATTAGAACTCGAAATGAATTTCTCGAAGGAGAAATGGAAGCTCTGAAAGGAAAATTAGCTCAATTAGAAGATGATCGGTCTGATGTTATAGCTCATTTGAAAAGAATTTTACAACAAAAAACTGAAGAAGCTCGCGAATTGAGTGAACGACTTGCTGCTATGGAAGACTTACGTAAAGAAGAGCAGGCTGCATTTAAATCAAAAGAAGCTACGATGAAACAAGAGTATCATAACATGGAAACAACACTCAATGCTGAAGTGAAATTAGTTAGTGAGTAATACTTATCTTTTGTACTTACCCATTGTTCTCATTTTAACTCATGATTAAATTTTCAATGTAGCTGGAAAATTGAATGCTCTTGATGAATGGAAAAACGCTAGAGCAGAATTGACTCAGAAATTTGAAATACAAGAGAAACAAATGGCAGAACAGGAAGAACGTCATGCTAAAACTCTTTATGAAGCAGAAAAATCATTAATTATTGGAAAAGCCAAGTAAGTTCTTGTTACATTTCATGAACTTTTTTATGAATAAAAAACTTGCTATTAAAATTTTTTAGAATGCAAAAAGAGACAGAAGAACGCTTGAAAGATTTGGCATTAAAGTTTCAAGAGGCAACGAACCTACGAATTGCAGATGCTACTCACAGAGCAGTTCGAGAAAATATTGCGTTACATTTAGAGCTGGATAAAATAATGAAAGTCTGTCGGGAACTAGAGGAGAAAATGCGGATACATAAGGAAAGAGAAGAAACTGCTAGATGTCAAGCATCATTATTAGAAAAAGAAGCAGAAATGGCGCTGGAAAAAGTTCTAGAACAGAATAAAATTATAGAATCATTGGTAGAAAATCATATAAATAATACTCGAATCTATAGTAATAATCTTCGAATAGAAAAGAATGCAGCGAGTAAAGAGGAGATGATTAAAATGTATGAAGATGAATACAATGACATAATGGAAAAAAGTACAGTGTTAGAAAAAAATATTCAAGAGGCTGAAAAAAGTAAGGAAAATATTATAAAAGAAATTCAAGATGACAATCAACATATCAGAAAACTCAATGAACTTTTAAATTTTATTAAAAAATTAATTTCTGATTTGACGATTAAATCAAAGACTCTAGATATTGAAGTAGGTGCTTGTGATCCAGAATTTAAAGAAGAGATACAGAAAATTTATGAAGAGATAGATAAATTAAACTTGAGAAGCTTCGAAATAGAATTGACATAGAAATTCTTATCTTTTTAGTTCAAGTGGCTACTAATATATATATATATATATATAGATAGATTATTCAAAAGGTAACTAAACGACGATGCAATTTTAATGAATTCAAGATCAAGATTAAAATATTAAAATATACATAGATAGTAATATGTTACTTTATGTTATAGAGAGAGGGAGTAACCCTCATAAAAATAAATGAATAATGTAATTCATTATTATGAAAACATTAAATTTTTTTCTCAACGATAGTAGCTTTTTTTTGACTTCTAATTTAATATAAGGTTAAATTATTGATTAGGTATGGAAACTACAAATGAAAATGATGAAAAACCACGAATATATCCGAATAATGTACAAAGAACGATGTACGAAATTAGAATCACTGATATACAAAATCGTATTGAAAGGTAAATTATTATAAATATTAAAATAACTTTTTTCAATTTTAAAAAAGGAAACTTTGAATCAATAAATAAATTTGAATGTCTAAGAACAAGCAAATGTAATGAAGAACTTACAGAAATGATTGAAGAAACAACAAAAAATCTTATTTTAAGAGAAACTCAAACTGCAGACGAGATAGCTCAACTTAATGGAAATTTCGATACGGAATTAAATAAAGCTAATGCGTCAAAGAATGCAATAAATATGATAAATAAACAAAGAGTAGAAGAGAAAAAAATTCATGAAGATAAAGTAAACTCGATGAAAGATGATTACGAAGCTACCAGATTAAAATTCATGTCAAAAATTAAAATTTTACGTAATATATTATTTTGTTATTTGTAAATTAATATTACTATCTTTTTCTTTTTTTTTAAATTATTATTTTTCATTTCCAAATAATTGGATATCTGAGTTCAGGTGCTAGAATAAATGCTCTTGAAGATTTCAAAGTCAAGGAACCCGCACTCAGATTAAAGCTTGAAGCAGGTGAAACTTTAATCAGAGAAAAGGATGAAAATTTAAAAGAAGAATTGAACCGTCTCGAAGTGAAATTTAAAATTGATAGAGAAAAGTAAGCGTCTCGAAAAAAAAAGCTTTAAAAATGCAATTGAGAAATGATGAAGAATTATTATGTTATTTTCATAATTTTATTTCTAGATTGATTTTAGATTTACGTAAGAATCTTTTTGAATTATCGAAACAATGGGAATCTGACAGAAATAAACGACAAGGTACATTTGTTCGAAAATTATTTGATGAAAATATAAATCTCCATTACGAATTAGATCATTTTAAAATGGAAAAATATGATGAAGTAAAACATTTATCAACTATCAAGTAATGTAGACCTATTAAAGTTGATAATTGCAACATTACTTTTCATTTTTATTTCTGTTAGGAGCATTGAATTTCGTAATAAAAAAACCGAGTCTAACATAAATAAATCTCTGCAAGCCATAGAGATTAAGAAAAAGTTAATCAGCAAGTTGATAAAACGATTGGATATAACTGAACAACGTCGAGGCGTTGTTTTACCTCTTACAGAGAGTATATTAATTAATCATGATAGTCGTATCGAGAAACTGAGATCGAAAATCATGTATCACGAAAGAAAAATGGCAGAGTTGATGGTAGAATTGAATAAAAAAAATATAATGCTTCAACACATGAGACACTTGAAAGAGCAGAATAAATCTAAAATTCAGGAGTATCTAAAACGTCTACACGAAGTGAAATGTGTTATAGCTTCTGCTCTTCAGGTTCACGTTCGCATTGAGAATTAATGAATTTCTAAACTATTACAAATTTTGAAAAATAAAATATTACCTTTATAATTCTTCTTTTTAGATGACAAATACAGATACTATAATTGGCTCGATGACTAAGACTCAATTTATTATACATTTGCGTAATTTAATCGATAAAAATAAATATAAAAAGTGAAATAACATCTCGTAAGTATAAAACAAAGTTACTTTTATTTTGTTTTTATAATGAATAATTTATTTTGATGTTTTAGGCAATTGTATTTTATGATCTGGTTTTATGTACCTCTTTACTTTAGGCTTATTGAGTTTCCTGAAAGAAAAAAAAATAAACCATTAATAACTTTCCGTTGATTTATTGTCATTCATTCATGAAAGATATACTTACAGCACACGAGTACTTGGAGCAACGATATTTCTTTGCTGTAGTGATTTAAAACGATCAGTAAGTAAACTCTTTGCTGGTTGAGTGTTTCTTAAATTTCCACTCAATTCTTCTCCTAATTGAAAATCAGGGTCAGGTGCTTCGAATTTATTTTTCGATAAAACCTTAGTTTCTTTAGCTTTTAAAGCTTTCAGTTTTTCTTTCTTCTTACTTAAAAGTTCAGATTTCTGTTCTCTATTTGCAATTTTCTTATTAAGTATTTTAACTCTATAAATATCGGATATCTTCTTTTTTTCTAATTTTTTCTGTTTTTGCTCTGATGCTAATGCATTTTGTTCTCTGATCTTTCGCCTCTGAACAAGTGTTTTTTTCTTATTTTTCACAGGAGGATTTATGGAAAGTTTATTAGGGTCTTCATTTTTTTCCAGATCTTGATCATTCACTGATGTTGATCCTTCTGTAGATGGTAATCCTTCAGATAATTCTCTCAGCCTATTTTTCGTATTTTCTTCAGGTGACACCTTCAATGAATAAAATATTATTATTAAAAACTCCAAATGTTACAGTTGAAAAAAATGTATTATCAGTTAATTATTACCTTTTTAAACATTTTAGTAGTAACTCGATCAAGATGTGCTTCTTGTTTCATAAGTTTTATTTCTTTCTCGGCCACTTCATGTAACAAGCTTTGATGATCTTCATACGAAGGATTATAAGAGGTTCCAGGATGAGGCGGTTCAACAGCAGGAAGAATTGATGGTTTCGTATGAATAGTTTTTGGAATATTCCTTTTTTTTACGCCTTTAATAGCCAGAGTATGTTTCAATGTTTCTGAAGTGAGCCATTGAGAATCAATCTTAGTTTTAATCTCTACTTCTTCAGTAGGTTGAACATTCCAAATGTCAAGATTGTATTCACCTCTCTTAGGTTGATTTTTTTTTCTTTCTTCAGCAAGCTTCCTATTTTTTAAAGCAATCTTTTCTTTCAATTTTAATTGTCCATTTAATTTTCTTATCTTCTCAATATGTTTAGTAATGGGATTTTTACGTTCTTCTGGAGTTTTTACTCTATTACGTTTAACTATTGGGTCTGGTACAGCAGAGCTAGGTTTCAAAATAGCATAGCATCTTGGTTCAGAATTTTTCAAAGCCAATCTATATGCTGCTTTGCTTTTTTTATGATCTTCATCTATTAGATGAAGATCTGGTGTTGTATCAATTGCAAAAAGTTCTTTATCTGATCTTTTAGCAAATGGAATACCAAGACGTTCTTCTAACCTCTTATCTTCTAAGAAATCATCAACATCTTTGATATTTACGTGTTTTCTCCATGATTTCTTGGTTTTCTTAGACACTTTTTTCTTCTTTTTTACACTGTTTTCAGAATCGATTATTTTTATTTGTACCATAATGAATAATGTTTAAATAATTTTATCAATTTACAAAAAACACGTTGCTGTACACACCATTGAGCCATAAACCAGAAAAACCGATCCTGGCTCAAAAAAGGGACCAGTTGAGATAATCGAAACAATTAATACATACTTCGAAAACCTGATGTCGCTACTTGTTTTCTGTGATGCGTCGATAACAACGAATCAACAGTCGATCAATTCAAAACGTTGATGATAATAAAATTTTTGAGTTTACCGACTTACTTTTATTTAGCGCTAAAATTCAAATAACATTATATGTGTAATCAACAGGATCGGAGTTTTAATAAAAATTATAAATTTATTGTTCATGCTTTGACCTTATACAAATCAATAATTTATATTTTTAAAAAAGTACTGAAAAAATTAGCACGTATTGTCACATGAATATAATAAATGAAAATTTGTTTTTAATCACTATTATATCCATGGAGTCCATCCCATGTACATACGTCCAAGCACATTCAAATCTGTTGCTTGATCCAGCAAACAACTTACTTGCTCTTCTGCACTTAAATCATCATCATTTTTCTTTGCTCTCAAAGATATAGTAGATCCTTCGATTCCACTTACAATTTCAATATATCTTGGGAAATATTTAGTATCATAATGTTGATCTTTCATTTCTTTCAGCATTGCTTCCGATGGTTTTTTACCATTTAATTTCAATGTAACATAATCAAATTTATTGGAAGCCAACCAACTGATGTTTCGATTTTTTTCTTGAATTTTCAATGAGAGTTTTTGAGCATGTTCAATCCAATTCAAGTTTTCATTCGCGACTACTCGTAGATAAGCAAGCAAAGGTCCTTTACCATTTCTTAAAGCCCGAAGAACATGAATCATAATTGCTTTGAATTCATCATTTTCATTAAAAGGCTTCATCAATCCTTTTATTTGATTCGTTAATCGAAAAGGTACTAATTCAGGAACTGGCTGATCAATTCCACCTCCAAAAGCACTTGCAAAATCGATTCCTGTGGTTTTGCCAGAATCTACGGATATCAAAGTATTTTCTAAATGTCGATCTCCAATACCTAAAATCCAATGACCAATGCACATAGTTCCATATGTAATTATAAAATTTCTCCTTGAAGACATAAAGCTTTCTAATGATGGACTTAACGTTAAAAAAGCACGTCGAAGCAGACACCACTCTGTTTTATTCATTAAACTATTCATTTTTTCTGTGACTGCTTGTTTATCATATTTAATTAAAGCTTCTTTGTATTGAACTGATTGTTTCTCTTTAGGACTTGCATCATAAATCCATTTAGAATATTCCAATTTCAATTTATCAAGTAATTCTTGCTGAGCTCCATTCAAATTAAATTCTATATAATCATTCAGATTTTTGGTATTATCAATCCATTGAATAAGACCAAAGGATCCAGAAAGTGCTACTACTTGATAAGTATTCAAAGCTAAATTACGCCGAGAGCTAGACATATCTGACTGTAATATCTCATTCATTATTCCAAAAGCTTGTTCAACTCTTTCATCAAGTCTCAAGTCTTCACCGAATTTCACTAGGAAGTTATAATTTTTTGCATCATTTCCAATTAATGTTACTTTTATTGGCTTTTTACCTGACTTCATTACTTGGACTTTCGACTCAAGTTTCATTATCTTCACGTGATATTTTGGCATTGGTTTTTGGTCTCCAGAATATTGTCCTGGAATTTCAATGTCTGATCCACAAAATTCACTGAGCCAAGGACTATAATCTTTTAAATACTTGCTATCCTTTTTTTTGTTCAAACTCTTCAGTAATTCCTCCTTTAACTTGACTACATGCTCTTTAATTTCACCTATCGTCATACTTTTCATCTTAAAAATATCTTCACGATATTTTGTAATATATTTGTATAAATCACCTTGCATTGAAGGAATTGTTTCTTCCGGATAAACTTTCTTCATCAAATTATCAATGAGATCTGCATCACCAAGATTGGGACTTTCTAGTAACTTTTCCAGATGATATATCAAATATAATTCAGGCCTGACTAAATACTCCATTGCTTTAATAAAATTATTTAATTCATGTTTATGAGCAAGATTTTGGATGTATTTTAGAACAATAGGATGATTTTTAAATTCTAAATTAGTATCAAGAGTTAATTTTAAGTTATAAATGAGAGCGTTAGGATATTTTTGTATTAATTTTTCCACAATAGGAGCTACTATGTCTTCAAGAGATGTAGGTAAATGAGTAAGAAGTTGAGCTTGCCACTTAAGGAATCTCCATGAAGGAATTTTTTGACATTCTTTTTTAAAAATCTTTCTTGTCTCTGTATCTTCTAAATATCGAGGATTTAATAAACAAGGAAAATAGTTAGTAGCTATTCTTGAACCATATCCTATAGCTTTTAACGTTGATTTGATAAATTCTCTAATTAAGTCACGATTATCTTCGTTATCTAAAATTCTATCGTAACAATATTTTAATAATCGTTCACAACAGTCTGTAATCAGTTTTGTGTTCTTTGAATGACGTAGAGCATCCATGTAAGATGTTTTAAGATTATTCAAGCAGCAAGCATTTAATCCTTCAATTTCTTCATCGGGATTTGACATAAATGGCAGGATATATTGTTCAATATTATTGAAAATTTCTCTATAGAGTTCAGGTTCTTTAGTACTTAAATCTATTATTGTTAAAGCTAAATCACTGATGAAATGTCTGGTAGAAATTCGGGTGTTAATATCAATATTGTCATTACGTAAGATCTCTTCAGCTTCTTTCCAACTGAGTGGATATTGGACTAATTTAATTTCAGCATTACCAGCTTTTGCTCTTAAAATTCGAAATCTTACTTTATTCAATTTGAATTGATTGTAAAATTCATTGTCGTCTTCGATAAGATGATTGAAAACGAACTGTAAGTAATTCTTCATCAGAGATTTATTTTCTTGCTGAAAAGCAGCTTCAATCATTTGTAGCTTTAATTTAACGATAGGACTGACTAAATCGAAGTCATATTCGTCTTCTTCAAAGCCTCGAGCTTCTATAAAGTTTTTGAAATCTTTCATACAATTCCATCTGTATGCAATGTGTCTATCCCAAGGAAGTAGATCATCTTTCGATTGGGGAATACTAGTCAGCCAATATTTGATTAAAATTGATTGTATCTTTGATGGATCATCTAAAACTTTCCTGTAAATTTCAACATTGGAAATTCCTCTTAATTTGATTACTTCTTTGGCTCGTAGAGCAGCTGAAAGTGGGTTTAATTGATTCCATTGCTCTCTAACTTTGTCTAAAGCAGTATTGATGAAGTCTTTTGATTCTGCCTGAAGTTCAAATGAACAAATTCTAGCAATTTCTTCAGCAAATGAATTTTTTAACATTTGAGCTTTGCTGGGAATTTTTAAATAAACTTCTAAATCATTTTGAAATTCTTGTAACACCATTTGTTCTTGTCTACATCTTTCTTGTTCTTCATCATCGGCATTCTCAGGACACGTTTGCCAAGTAAGAATTCTGTAAACTAATGCTTGGAAGTACCAAGCCGACATCCATCCATCTTCTACTGATTCAGAATTGACCAAAATAAATTCTAAACTCTTTTGTGAACTTAAATCTTGTTGTACAATTTCAATTATTCTCTGCCAATCACACAAACGAGCGAAACATTCAAACATTCCCTGTCGAGAGTGTCTTCTGATTGTATCTACTTCGGAGTTACAAATTTTTTCATAATATTTAATAGCTTTATTCCACTTCGCATCTGCTCTAGCTATAGCCGCTTCACAGAGTTCTTCAATTTCTGTAACATGATTCTGGAAAATACTTAAAACGATATCCACTTCATTTATTGATTCATACAACTCTGCGAGGTATATCCATTGATTAGTTTCCACTGAAGAACTTGGTCCAGCGTCATTACGGCTTCTCTTTGCTGGAGGATAGTAGTCTACAGTGTCAGTGTATAAATTCCTTTCAAGTAAAAGTGCTCCAAGAGTATTAAAACCAGCTAATTGTGATACATGAGTCACAATTGTTGGATTGAATTTTATATCATCCATTTTGAACATAATCTCTAGAACTGCAGCAATTATTAAACCACTTCCTCGTCGATTCTCAAGAATATAATTCAACTTTTTTTCTAGAATGACTGTTAAATTATTGCCATTTTCTCTTTTACCATTCTTTGATTCATTTTGGACTTGATTAAGTAAAGAATATATCATAGAAACAACTAAATCTTTACAAATTAGTTGATCTTTTTTTATGAGCTCTTGTAGAGGAGTTAAAAATGATTCATGAGTTATTTCAATATCTGGAAAATCACCGATTCTATACATTCGATTTAACTTTACTAAATTTCTTTGTTTATTTAAATTTTGTCTAAAAGCATCTTCTCTAGCTTGGTAATGTTCCAGTTTTCTGTTAAGTATAGTAGAGGATACTGTTGGATTTTTTAAGAATCTCTTTGATAAAATATTCCTCGATGGTGCTTCTGGTACAATAAAAACATCATTTTCAGTTAAAGTCGAAGATTTTCCTAGTATTAATGTATCGTTTGTTGCAGACTGATCTGAATCTGTGAATGTTGCTCGTAGCATTAAATTATTGTACGCCGATATCATTTCATCACCAGCAAAACTAGATAAAGTAAATCTTTGTGTGTATTGACTTGCATAAGATGAAGTGAATAATGGAATTCGATAGCTTAAATTTTTCATCCTCCATGATATGGCTATTTGATAATTTTTATAATTACAGCTTGAATTTAAAGATTCAAACATCTTTCGTGAATATTTAGGAGATTTCTTAGTTAATTGCAAAAATATAATTGCAAAGATAGGTAAGAAATCTTTTTCGACATCAGGTGAATACACATCAAGAATATCAATCATTCTTTCTACACATGTTTCTTTTAGTCCTACTTCCTCAGTCCAAAATATCAGTAATTGGATTTGAAGACTTTCAAAAGGATCCAAGATACCTGGAAGAAGAACTCTTTTGCTCATGTCTACGAGAAGTTGTGATTGATAACTTTCAGAAATATCCTGTGAATATTTCTTAAAAACACTCATGAATATATCATAAGTCAACTTTCGATACTCTGGAGAATCATGTGTAGAATATCCAGAAGCTAAAGTAGCATAAGCTACTAATTTAGTAGAATCTAAAATAGGAACTAATTTTCCTATGATTTCAAGGCACACTTTTTCACATGATATGACTTTATTGTTCAATAAGTCAACGAATTTCAAGTAATTCAAGTCTCGAAGAATATCATTAACATTCATTTTTGGTATCCTTATTAAAAATACTTCAAGACATTTAGCGAGATTTGGAGGACCAATTTTCGAACTGTTCGCAATAATGAATTCAAAAAAATAATCTGCTAAAGCTGGATAAGCTTTACACATAGCATGAATACATTTAACTAATCTATCAGCATTCCTTTTTTGTAATTCTCTGAATACATGACGGATTTTTTCTGCATTTTCATCTTCTATTATAATATCCTCTGAGTAATTTGAAAATTGCAGGTAAAGACTAATTGCTTCACATGCTGGAATAGCATATTCATCTTTTTCTGACCAATTTTCTTTTAAAAATTCTATCAAAAACTCCAATATATCAGGTTCATTCATTAATTTAGCTGCCATTTTGTTTGCTAGATAAATTAAAATTAACTGAACTGCTCTCAATCGATTTTGTTTAGTATTCCTGATTCTTTCACTAAGTCCTGGCGCAATCCTCAGACAATGATACCAGACTTGTACAAGCATTTCAACAATTCTAAAGTTGTACTTTACAACATAATCACTTGGCAGATCTTCATCAACTTTTTTAACAAGTAAAGAAAATAATTCATTAGCTTGTTCACTAATTCTTTGATCAGGCACAGCAATTTCAGCCCAGTCTATCAACATAAGTAAAGCATCAGTGATAATATAATTCAATTTTCCTTCTGTAAGCATTGAAATCAGTACACTTATTATTGGTGCTAAAAATAGTTCTGCATAGGGTTTGAACATTGCTTGATTGTTAAGAATTATCTTCAGCATAAACAATTTAGCATTATAATGAACACATCCTATTGAACCAGCAAAGCACTGTAGACCTTTCGGAGGATTCCTTCCATCACCGGAAACGCCAATTTTATCATCTATCATTTTTTTCAAAATACCACAAATGGAATACATGCATTCATGATTATTCAAATCATCAACTTCAAGAGTTATAGCTAATGATTCCGGTGATGACTCAGATGATTTTATTGCTGTAAAATCTTCAGCAGGGATATTCTCATCTAGTGTAGATTTTGTAAGATTATAGCTTTTCATATAAGAATAAAACATTAAATCAGCATTTAATCGATTCCTTAATGTATTTTTTATATTTACTAATTTTTTTTGTTGTTTCGGATACTCTCTAAAGGTTTGTGATAATTCGTAAGTCTTTTTGCAGTCAACAATATGCTCCCATATGAGTTGACCTGATTTTCTATTTTCTGCAAACAAAGAGAGATAGTACTTTTCATCTCTTGTCGTACTTGCTATTGTTATACAACAATTATAAGCTGCACAATGAAGAAGTCTCAAGATTTCTTCATGATCTATTACTTCTGTTTTCCAACTACGTACTTGGAGAGCACATTTGAAAATTTTTTGAGTCACAGAGATGTTGGAATTTTCTTCAAGAATATTTTTTGCAAACAATCCTTCTCTGTCATTTATTTGTTCAGGATCTATTTTATTGAACATCAATTCGAGTAACTTGAAGCAACAAATTTTTGAGACAATCATTTTTCGACAGTCTGCTGTATATCTTGGTAATTCTTGAGAAATAATTGTAAATATATTTTGAATATTTTCTTCAAAAAATTGTTCTATAATTAAAAACTTACAATTTTCAATCATTGGAATTAAAAAATAATGAATGATGTCCAACCTTTCCTTCACTACTGATATTTCCATAAATAAATCGTAAGTTATTTTTAGTGATTCTAATGCTCTTGTTTCTGGAATACTATTGATATATTGAAACAGGTATCCATAAGCTGCGTCATTAAATACAGATTTACCAATTCCCATTGAAAAGATAATTGTAGCATGAAGAACATTAATAGATTTGGTAACTGGAAGTAAATTTATTAATGCTTGAAAACACTCCATAATTTTGGAAACCATTAGAGTATCTCCTTGAAGAATTTCACAACAATTTTCCGGTCGACATTTTTTCAGACCTCCTAAAATAACTCCCAACTCCCTCGATATTGATTCTTCTTCAGTTAAACAGATTAAAAAGTTATTCAGAATTCGAGCTTTTTTAGCTAGATCATCAGTGGATGAGAATTCGTTTAAGATCCAAATATACAAAGGTTCATCTTTATGCAAAACATTGGAAGATTTTAAACGTACAACGGCACTATAAATATTAGTAAACGATTTTTTTCTTCCCTCTTGATCATTTAATGATTGATGAAACATCTGAAAATTTTTAATAAATTCCTCAGCTAATTTTTTAGAAATTTCTGAATACTCATTTTTATGCTTCAAAACCCAGACCACTATTTCTTCGCTTAGAAATAAAGCAACATCTGGGTAATGTTGTAATAAATTAGACAATTCTAAAAAAAGTTCTGTTAGATCATTCAACAGACTAGAAATTATAACATCTTTAAATGTATTAAAAAAGTATTCTCCATGAGAAATATTTGTACTCGGTTCCGAGTCTAGTGATGCAGAATTAACTAGCAGTCTTTCAATGATTATTTTTGTCGAGTTGGTGTTGTAGTGTAATAATAATTTTAACAAATATTCTAAATACATCTTCTTTTCTGTTGACAATGTTATAAAAATATCAGCAGTTCCAGCTATTTTAAGACTATCAAAAATTTGTAACACTTTTTCGGTAGAATTTGACACAATTTTTTTCCCTACATTTAGTTTTTCAAATATCCCACATTTATTTAATAAAATTAATCCTTTAACGATATTTAATCGTTTCATATAATCATCTACAAAATCATCATCAATGTTAAATAAATTTTCAGCAACTTTTTGGATATCATTATTTAATCGACTCTCCATAAAATGAATAGTTGTTATAGAAACTTTCCTTTCCATAATGTTCAAAAGTTTCTCCAGATAAGTAGGAAGTGTTTCAGTAATCAATAAATTCTTTACATCAAATCCTGCTTCCTGAGGCTCAATAATACATCGAGAAATGAGTGTGAATAAATTTTCATTAATAAATAATTGATTGTGCACCCAATTTTCTTCTGATATTTCCGTATGTAATATTGTTGATAATAATTCAAATAAAGCAATTATTACTTGACATAGAAAATCATAGACTAGAGTGACATTTTTTGAATCTACCAAGTCTCCGTTCATTTCAGGATTTAATACAGCAAAAGTAAAATTTTCTATACAGGTGAAAATAATGTCCTTATTTATATTGAGATCAGAGAAAAGCAGATTCGTATCAATTAATTTTTTTTCAATTAACCAAGTATAACAGTTGAAAGTTTTTAAAATATTTTTTAAATAGTTCAGAGATTTTTCTGAATCCAAAACTATTCTTCTAATTGTATCATCTGCATCTTTCAAAATAATTCTATTAAGTCCTTCTATTCCATTAGCATCTATATAATTATTTACAGCATTTGCTGGAGAATCACAATTATCAACACTTGAAGAAAGATTTTCAAATAAATTCATTGCAGTTTTTCTCAAAGTACAATCTGATGAACTGCATTGAGTAAATAGCCAATCAACAGCATCTTTGAGTACTCCTCCATTAAATTCTGTAGGGATTTTTCTACGAGGATTCTTCGCGTTAAAAATACTTGATTTTTTAATTAATATATTCTGGAGATGATTAATGGTAATTTGAATATTTGAATCATCACATCCATTGACACTTTTTACAAAAGCATACAGAAGTTCAAACCAAAAAATATCAATTATCTCTTCAGTTTGGGAGAAATGGACATGAAGATAATTAAATGCAATAGCAGCAGCGATTCTTCGATGTTTCGAAGGATGCAAAGCAAAGTTGGTGATATTTTCAACTACAGTGTTAATGTTAATAGGTGATTTTGTTAAATCATGATCACTAGACTGTTTAATAGACCACTTGATGAATTCTGCTAAACAAATTCCTGAGAAATCTCTAAGAGAAAAATTATTTTCATCACTTAGACCGTCAAATAAAGCATCTACAAAATATCCAACGGCTGGTGAGTATAACATTAATCGAGAACTTAACCAATGTGTTATTTGTAATGTCAAAGGGTTGTACAGTTGTCTGATAACTTCATCAGAGTCAGATCCAAGTCTTAATAAAACTGGAGATAAAGTTTTATATAAAGGAGCCAATCGATCTGGACCCTCAGATAAATTTGGAGATATTTGATTAACAGTTTTGCCGAGTAAAATAGCAATGATTGAATGAAGTACTTCACTTGCTCCCACTCTTGTTCGTCTATCACTACTATTTAAAGCCAATTCAGTAATCCGTGGTAACACTATATCCAATTGTACATCAATAATCATATCGGGAAAATTTATAGAATATTCTAAGAGATTTTTTTTATCCCAAGTTGCTCCAGTATTTAATGATTGATTATGTAGAAATTTCATAACTACAGAGAGTTCAAATTTTCCAAATAATAAAAGAATTCTTTTTTGCAATTTTTCTAAATCATCATCATCATTTTTTGTTGACTTTTCTTTTGAGATGGTAGAATCATCGTAGACTTGAAAGCTTTCTTTACTTCTCAAGTATAATTCTAAAAGAGGCATTAATTCTTTGATGAATACATTCATTTTATCGTTTTCCAATAGTGATAAATAATTTTCTAGTGCAGATAGAGCACTATTAGCAACATCATAGTCATTTAATCCAACTGTTAATGAGATTTTAAAAATTGGTACTAAATGATCGATTAAATGTAATATGAAGATTATTGGAGTATGTAAGATCAATTGAATGCAAGAAACTTGCAGCTCATACGGAAATTGATAAACTGAGTTCAGGATACTTTGCAAGTATTGTAAAATCATTTTAAATAATTCCTTATCAACTTGCTCTTCTGTATCAAAGTAGTCCTCTACATTTAATGCACGATTCATTAGCCGGTAAAATCCTGAAAGCAATGGATATTTATAAGAAGCTTTAATGATTTCGTATACAAATATTGAAAATTTATCTTTCAGATGAATAGGAGAAATATCGACAAATATTTCATCATATAAATCAATCATGTTAAGAAATATTCGAAAGTCTGCTTCATTTTCAGCTATTTTTGATAAAGCAAGATCAGAAAACACACTATCCTCTCGTGTTTTAATTGACAAGTTTAATGTTTTAATCAATTTGATGCATGTTTCAATTATTTCATTAACAATTTGCTGTGGAATAGAAATTTGTTCATAGCCTGCTGAATTCAATAGTTCTTTCCACAATGGAACATAATTTTTATAACAAATTGGCCGTTTGTCTAGATTTTCCAACTCTTGTTGGAGCTCTGCATCAATCAAGAGACTATGAGAACAGCTCCAGATAATTCCTTCGAAAACTGAAAATTTTTTTGGTTACATTTGAAAATAGTTGATTATTTTTGATTTTGAGCATACTTACTTATATTCTTCATAAATTCTTGAACAACATGAACTTTAAGTTTGGCAATATTAGAAAGTGACTTTTTGAATAACTTTACTGTTGAGCTTTGATTAACGAGAGACAGCTCAGGATATCTTTTAATGAAAAGAATACAAAGTCTTACTAAAGCTTTCATTTGATTATTTGATACGTTGGACATATGAAGGAGAACACGTGATAAAGATTCTAAATAATCTGCGATATCGTCAAAATAATTGGAAGCTTCACTTTCACTGAAAATAAACCAATATCTATTAATAATTATCTTTAAAGAAGACGAATAGTTTCAAACAGTTAACAATACCTGAAATAAAGTGGGAGGATTCGACTTGCGATAATTGAATACATTTCTTCAACAGAACTATCACCATATCCTTTTTTCAAAGCTTCAGTGAGATTAGTGTATCCACTTACAGACAAACGTAAATCTGTTTGACTGATAGACTCATTAGCCAAGTTCCGTAGAAACATTCGTTTTAATTTCTATTAAAAGCCGTAAAAATTTTTCAACTTCTTTATCATAATTAAGAGTGTAAATTGAATTAGAATAAATACAAAAAAATACTTGCATTGACATCAGGTTTATGGCTTTCAATTGATTCACTTAATGCTATACCCATGACTTCATAATAAACTTTTAATGCTATTGCTGGAATGTTACCATATGCTTCATCTTTATGATACAAAAGTAAAAATCGAAGCCAAAAGTCATAATCGCATAATATTAATTTTTTTAATGTCATCATCTGTTGGGTAATGAATTTTATAATAGCTTCAATAATTTTATCTTTTGTTTCCTTTTTTTTCTTCTCTAAAACTTTAATGACTTCTTTGATTTTACTGTAAAATTTTAGCAGCTCAGGATCATCTTCATTTAGAGGAAAATTGTAGAGAAAATCTACTAATGATTCTATGGTCATTTGTAAGACATGTGGTTTATTTCTTTGAATGTCTTGAAACTGTATTAAAAAATATTATTAAAAAAGTAGTTTACAAAAATAAATTAATTATTCATTACCAGTTTATCGAAAAGTTTCATCGCACAATTTCTTATTAAATTAGCATTCTCTATGATTACTGCTGTATGAGGGTAGTAACGAGCGACCACACTTATTACTCGTAAAATTGGATTCAATTCTAATGATAAAAGGTATTAATTATTATAAGTAAAACAATTTCAAGATGGCAATAATATTTTTATAATAATTTAACTTGCCTTTCTCGTTAAAGAATCTTATTTTCAACATCCAGTCACGAATAATATCATCTAACTGAAGATTAATGTGTGAAAAATTCTCTATCAATAAAATAAGAGTCATACATGAAACTTTGTGCAAATAAGTAGCTGTTTTTAAAGTTGATATGTAAGCACAGCATTTCTATTAATAAAGAAATAACGAATATAATTAAAATTTGGATGATTTTATATCGTTAAAAATGTTTTCATAAATACAAACCTTTATTTTTATGACGTAAGGTTCACAAACGTCTCGAAAGTCTGTTATAATAAATTGCAAAAAGTGAAATGCAGTATTGAATGCTACTTGAAAGTCTTTTGATATTTCTGGTTGATCAACTTCTCTCATAAGGAAAACTAAAATTCCTTTGGTATCATCAAAAACCATTGTGAGGGCAAGTGCTACGATTTTTGAAATTATTTTAATGAAAAAAGTAAATTAATTAATATTTAACTAAACAATCATGATACCTTTCTTGCTTTGAGGTAGATTTTGAAAGGATTTAATTCCATCTTTAAATAACCTATCTAATTCATATCCTTGTCTTTGTTCCCAACATCTTAAATAAATACTCATGAATTCTTTAATTGAATCCATATTTGTAGATACTAAAAATTGTATTCGACTTGTAAATAAATTTTTTGTCTACTCCATTATTTTTTGAAGGTTCAGTTTGTTTTTATTTATCCACATGTTCATCACGTGACCTTCAAGTCGAATGCAGATCCACCTGGTTGAAGTAAAACAAACTAAATTTTTGCACGGCTTTTCTAACCTCTCCAGCTTTCCACCGGTGTGTTGTGTTTATAATTTTTCAGTTATTAATCAAGCTCAAAAACAAATTTTTTTTTTACACTTTTTTAGTGTACATAAACAATAATTTAGTTTTATAGTTTTTTTAATTATTAAATGCTCTAATAACAAATAAATAGAGCTCTTAGAAGAAGAGTACCATGGCAGAGTATCTTGCCTCAATTTTTGGTACAGAAAAAGACAAGTAAGTTTACATTTGGAGTATTATCACGCATTCTTGGTATATTTGCACGTCTTAACATAATTATCTAATTACTTTTTATTAAATTTAAATTATTTTCAGAGTAAACTGTTCGTTCTACTTTAAAATTGGAGCTTGCCGTCACGGTGATCGATGTTCTCGAATACATAACAAACCAACATTTAGCCAGGTGAGTCATTCAATTTTACTTATTTTCATTATTTTATTATTCAATGTATAAGATGTTTTATTTAATTATGTCTATGATTCAAAAATTTATTAATAATAATTTGTTTCAGACATGTTTGCTCCAAAATTTATATGTCAATCCTCAAAATTCAGCAAAAAGTGCTGATGGGTCACATTGTAAGTATAAATTATGCTTTAAATAATTCGGTTAAAATATGATAATAAATTATTTAATGTTCTAAAAGCTATTCTGAATCATTAATAATATTTTTCTAATTCCTCAGTGGTTGCCAACGTCTCTGATGAAGAAATGCAAGAGCATTATGATAACTTTTTTGAAGATGTATTCGTTGAATGTGAAGATAAATATGGTGAGATCGAAGAAATGAATGTGTGTGACAATCTTGGAGATCATCTTGTGGGTAATGTTTATATTAAATTTCGTCGTGAAGAAGACGCAGAAAAAGCCGTAAATGATTTAAACAATAGATGGTTCGGTGGAAGGCCTGTATATGCTGAATTATCTCCGGTCACTGATTTTAGAGAAGCTTGCTGTCGTCAGTATGAAATGGGGTGAGCATCTAAACTTAACATCAATAATTTAACAGTCTTACTAGTTTTATCACATACTAACATTTAAATTTATTACAGTGAATGTACTCGATCAGGATTTTGTAATTTTATGCACTTGAAACCAATCTCAAGAGAATTACGTCGCTACTTATATAGCCGTAAGAAGAGTAGCAGACGATCTCGTAGTCGCTCAAGATCTCGTGGAAGAGATCGCAAACGAAGATCACGATCACGCGACCGCCGTTCTCGCTCAAGAGACAGACGTAGGAGCAGGGAAAGAGGAAGAGACGGAAGGTCTGGACGATACTAAATGTAATTTTTGAAGAAACTAAAATTGAAAATGACTTTTTAATTAACATTTATTGATGATAACTTTTACCAGATTTCATAACGTAAAAATTCAAAATCACTTTATTTGAAAAGAATCGTTCACATATGCATTCACAAACCTTTTTTTTTAAGTAATTGTATGAAATTTATCAATTGTAATAATTCTCGACTGGAATAAAATGAACATAATTAATTGTAAATTTTTTTTTTGTTAATGTATTTTGTAAGGTAGTTTCGAAAATTATTTTCGCGCGCAAAGTGGCGCTGATGTCGGCCAACACGATGATGTGCGTCGTATTTTGTTGTAACGGTCGTTTATCTATTGACATTAAGAAAAATGATAAAAATAATGTATAAATTAATCTAACAAAAAATAATTAGAATTATTTTTATTGTCTGTCATTATATTTATATTGTGCATCTATTTATTTTCAATCATGTCTCAAGTAAGTTCAGTTTTTTAAAATAATTTTTTGAGCATTTTTGAGGTTTATTGAACATAATTTTAACAACTTTATTAATTAATATTTAATTAAATATCTATTTTTTGTAGGATATTCGATCATTTTTTAAATCATCTTCTATGTCCAAATCATTGAATGCTAAACCATCAAAGAAAACCAGCAAGCCAGCAATATCATCTGATGAAGATGAACCACGTGGACTTGGCAGTAATTCTTCATTAAAAATGAAAGAAAAAGTAAAAGAGACATTTTGAAAATTGTCTATTCTATTTTAATTTTGACAGCAGTGTTTAGAATAATCTTTGTGTTTATAGGTATCAAAAAAATCTAAGAAACATGTTCTGTCGGATTCAGAAGATGAAGAATTCAGCAAGAAATCAAAAACAACTAGCCAAAGTCCGGTAAAAAAGCAAACAAAAAATAAAGAATTAAAAGCTGTTTCTATTGATAACATGTTTGCTAAGATTCCAATTAAACGAACCAAAGTTGTTGATACTTCTGCGGATACATCAATAAAAGAAGCGGAATTTCATGATGATGATGAATTCGAAGATACACTTAAACAAATAAATATAGATAAAATAGATTCGATATTTGCAAAGAATGATGAAAAGAAGACAAACGGAAAAAGAAAGCAGATAAATGAGGATGAAGAAACACCGCCAAAAAAGATCAAACTTAGTAAAGACGAAAAAGAAAAATCACCCAAAAAAGCGAAAGAAAAAGCATCTAAAATTTCTGAAGAAAGCTATAAGGTAGTTGTTGAAAAGAAAAAACCCAAAGAAAAGAAAGAAGAAGAAAAAGAAATTGATCCGTATGAAGAAAATATTGTAAAAAAGAAACAACATGCAGCGAATTATCAAAAATATTTACATCGAGGCGGGGCGAGAAATCCTGGATCTAAAGAGATTCCAGAAGGAGCTCCTAACTGTCTTGCTGGTCTAAGTTTTGTTATTACTGGTGTATTGGAATCTCTTGAGAGAGAACAAGCTGATGAGCTGATCAAGCAATACGGTGGTCGTGTAGTAGCAGCAGTTTCTAAAAAAACATCCTATTTGATTGTTGGAGATGAAGCTGGGACATCGAAATTGACAAAAGCAGATTCTCTAGGTATTAAAAAAATAACTGAAGATGACTTATTAGACTTAATTCGTACAAAACCTCAAGGTAAAGCTAGTGATGTAATTCCGACTAAAAATAAAAGGAACAAATCTCCTCGCGGTCAGCAAGATATGTCTCCTCCTACAACCAAAGTAAGCTCACCTGAAAAATCTCCGGTTAAAAAAGACAAAGATGAAACAAAAAAATGTTCGGAATCGCAAGTAAATTGTAAAACTGAATTATCAAGAAGTTTCGAGAAAAAATCTCCTCAAAAGAAAGAAAAACCAGTAATTTCTAAAACCCCCCCTCTTTCGAAACCTTCATCAAGCTTCGAAAAAAATGTATCTAGACTTGACAGTGGATTACCTCCTTCCCCTCCCATAGGAGAAGCTGAAGCTTTAGTAGAAAAATATCGACCTAAGACTATGAAGCAAATAATAGGCCAGCATACCGATAAAAGTTGTGCAAATAAATTGTACACATGGTTAATGAACTGGAATAAAAATCAACATGGAAAAGTTAAGCCAACCAGACCGTCCCCGTGGGCGAAAAATGATGATGGAGCATTTTTCAAAGCTGCTCTGATGTCTGGTCCACCAGGTGTTGGCAAAACTACAACGGCTCAGGTTGTTTGTAAGGAGTTAGGTTTCGATTTGGTGGAATTTAACGCCTCAGATACACGTAGTAAACGATTACTAAAGGAAGACGTATCAACTCTATTATCAAATACCAGTGTCAAAGGGTATTTTACTAGTGGTGGTCCATCAAAGACATCAACTAAACATGTTTTATTGATGGATGAGGTTGATGGAATGGCTGGAAATGAAGATCGTGGCGGACTACAGGAATTGATAAATTTAATAAAAGCCACAGATGTTCCAATAATTTGTATCTGCAATGATAGAAATAATCCTAAAATGAGGACTTTGGCTAATTATACTTTTGATCTACGATTCCAAAAACCTAAAATTGAGCAAATTAAAGGAGCTATGAAGTCATTATGCTGTAAAGAAAATATCAATATATCAACAGACAATCTTGAACGTCTAATTCAATCAACCAATTTCGATATTCGACAAGTTATAAATCATTTAGCCATGCTTAGAAGTGACTCAAGTCGTATAGAAGGAAACAATAACGAACGAATTAGTGAAAAAATTAATAAGGATTTAAAAATAGGACCTTGGGATGTTTGTAGGAAAGTGTTTAGTGCTGAAGAACACAAAACTATGTCTATACATGATAAGAGTGATCTTTTCTTCCACGATTATAACATTGCTAGTTTGTTTGTTCAAGAAAACTATCTATCTGTCGTGCCAAAAGCTCCCAGGTAATTATATTATTTATTTTATTGTTTACTAATTGTATGATATGATAGTAATGATTATTTTTCTTTGACAGGAGCGAATTATTATCTAGAGTAGCTGAAGCAGCAGAAAGTTTAGCTTTCGGTGATATTGTAGAAAATACCATTCGTAGAGGAGGTGGATGGTCATTACTACCGGTTCAAGCTGCATTCTCATCAGTAATACCAGGATCTGTGATGTCAGGATACATTACATCTCAAATTAATTTTCCTTCGTGGCTTGGACGTAATTCCAAACGCATGAAGTTTGATAGATTATTACAAGAAATTACTGTACATACTCGATTAGTAACTGGAGCAAGTAAAGAAGCAATTAATTTAGATTACCTCATTCCTTTGAGAGACTCTGTTGTGCGTCCTTTAATCAAATATGGTAATGAAGGAGTAGATGCTGCTGTAAATACCATGAATCACTACCATTTACTAAGGTATTTTTTCATTTATTCATCATCAAGTATTTATTCATACTATTATGATTAATTAATTTTTTTTGTTCTAAATGATATGCATGTTATTATTCCTTTTCACTCTCTACATGAATTACTTTCAAAACTATTGTCTCAAATTAATTTTTCAGAGATGATTTGGATGGACTTATTGAAACTTCTCTATGGCCCGGTCAAAAAGATCCATTGCAATTGATCGACTCCAAAACCAAAGCAGCATTTACGAGAGCTTATAATAAACATGCCATAACAGCTTTTGCAATAAGTGCAGGTTCAAAAAAGAAAAATACTCAAGCATCGCAAGATGAAGGATTCGGAGAAGATTTAGACAATGAAGGAGATGATGTAGAATCAGATAAAGATGAGGAAGATTTAGAAGTTGATCGTATGATTAAGGTAAATCTATGCAATTAATTAAGAGATTAAAGAATTCATAATAATACAACAAGATATTTATCGATGTAACATAATTACATGGAAATTTTTTATTTTTTGAAGGCGAAAAAACCAACTGAGAAAAAATCAGCAGCTGAGAAAAATACTGCATCGACAAGCAAAGAAACAAGTAGAGGCCGTGGGAAGTCAGCTACAAAACGCGGTCGAGGACGCGGAAAATAATGGAAACTAATTTTTAAGAGTATGTTTTATATTTAATGGAATGAAATATGTTTTAATATTTTTTTAAAAAATATTAAAACCTTGAATGTCTTATATTTTCACATACCATCGGTGAAAAAAAATAAAACAAAGTATTACAAATTTATAAAAACTAATTTTCAATTATAATTTATTTGTATATTTGTCAATGGTTTGTTTTGTTGTAAAATTTATTTTCAATTTTCTGATACTATATCAAAAAAATTGCTTATTGTTTTAGTGTTTTCCTGTGCAGCCTGAAACAGAAATGAATTTAATTAATTATATAAATGAAGAATAGAAATTAGTCATAAAATTATGGATGTCTGCTAAATTATTTTAAATTTTCTCAAATCATTACTTTTGTTACTGCTTTTCCATCCAATGAATTCATTATTTTTAGCATTTTCTTTTTGAAGCCAATCAATAAGAGGCTTGAAATATTCCATAAGACCACTTGCATCCATTTTTCTTTGGCCAGTAATTTTTTCCATCGCATCTTGCCAAGGTTTAGACGATCCAAGCTCCAACATCGCTCTGCAAAAAAAAAATTTATATAAGTTCTATTGAATCACCTATTACCAACAAAGTGTTTAAGTAGGTATATCTTACTGGAACAATTTTCCTGCTTTCTTGTTATTATAAATGTTACACTGACTTAAAGGTTTTAAATCTGGATGGTCTGGATTATACTCTTCAGCTTCTATACAAAGAGATTTATGGAATTGAAATTGAACAATGAAGCTAACGAAGTATCTAATGTATTCAACATTGGCGATAATATGATATTTCGCGCCAGGATCAAAATCATCTTCAGAACGTGGTACTGGAGGAACAATCCCTTGGAATTCTTCAGCAAGAGCCCACCAATAACAGTTGTATGAATCAGGACGGATTTCTCCTTGGAAAACTCCCCATCGCCATTTATCCATCATGTAGGCGAATGGCAAAAATACTATTTTATCAAGACCTTTGAAATATAAATGATTAAGAATAGCTTCATCACTAGTAGAAGGACTGTCAAGTAAATTAATTTCATGAAGATGCTCAGGTGTTGATGCACTCAACGCAATTGTATCTCCAACGGCTTCATGGAATCCAGGATTAGCACCTTCTTTGTAAACGGTTGGCTGGTTTTTATATTGAAGAAAATATTGAATATGACCCATTTCATGGTGAGCAGTCAAGAGATCTTCCATGTTAATACGTGTACATTGCTTTATTCTAAAATCTTTGCCATCATAGAAGTCCCAAGCACTTGCATGGCATACTAATTCTACATCCTTGGGCTTCTCAAGGATTGAATTTGCCCAGAAAGTATCGGGCATTGGACTCAAGTCAAGAGAGGTGAAGAAATCTTCAGCAACTCGGAAAATTTTTGTTGCATTGTATCCTGAATAAACCAACATTAATTAATTAATGTTCGAATTATAATGAAATGAATTATTCTACCTTGTTCAACCATCGCATCTGTGACATCAGGTAATTTGGTATCAGGATATGGAGTAGTGAATTCTGCAATATTACTCCAAGTTTGTGCCCACATGTTACCAAGTAAATGAGCAGGAATAGGTCCATCTTTGGAAACTACTTCTTCTCCATATTTAAGACGGAGTTGATGACGGACATAAGAATGAATTTGAAGGTATAATGGCTTAATTTGTTGCCATAGAGATTCTTAAAAATGATATTAGAAAAATTGTTAATTTGAATTAATTTCATTGCTGGCATGATTTAATAAATAAATAATAATCTACCTATTTGATCAGTAAAATCATCGGCTTCGTAATCTTTCATCCAAAAAGCAGCCATGTCACTGTAGTTATTCAATTTAGCAATTTCATTACTTAACTCGACATATTTTATAAAGTCTTTTTTTACTTTTTTTCCAGATACATCTCTCCAAGATTTCCAGATGTATTTCAGTTCATCGGGATTTCTGCTATTGATCATAATTTCAGTGAGTTCAGGTTCAAGAGAAAGACTGCAGTTGTTTTTATTTTTTTCGGTGTAGTTGCAGACTTTAGCAGTTGAGTAAGTACTTTGCATTCTACTCACTACTTCATCATATTCGGTATATTTCTGCGAATTAAAATTTGAAAACATAAGAATCTAGCTAATCTATTTGCGAAAATGATTTTTACACAATCATTGTTGCATCATTATTCTTCAATGTAATTAAGCAAGTGGTTTTAATAAATATTATTATAAAAATAATTATACTTCTGGCGATAAAGCAGCAGATCCGGGGGTAGATAACTTTTTAAATTGTCTCTGAATATCATAATCATTGATGCTCTGCCAAGGAAATGCAATAACTTCCTTGTACATTGATCGAATGTAATCTGCTGTTTGAGCAGACACGTTCAGCTGAACTGCGAGGTTTGCATCAGTAAGATTCGAAGCATAATTCCAACTTGCTATTGATAATTTATAATTCCACTGTCCATATTCAATGTTAATTCTACTCAAAAGAGCCTTGGCGCGTGCTAAAAGATCGTCGGCCGCTGCTTCATTTTGTTCACCAAAGCAGAATGGTGTTATAATCAAGGCTAACAATAAAACGGGACACGAACTGTAAATCAATAAAAATATTTACCTTTACGGTTTAATGATAAAATATTCATTATTTTTATAAATTGATAATGTAGTATTGAATGAGTTTAATATTTCATGTTTTAATTTTTTTTTGAAAAAGTTTTATTTTAGTTCTTATCAAACATTCTTTCATTTTTACTACAAACTTATCTCGATACTTTTTCTGCATAGAATAGCATAAAATTGTTCACGCGTGAAATTTAATGTTCATTTAGAAAATGTTAGTTTTTTTATAATACTGAATTAATATTGGAAAAATTTGATTACGATTAAATATAAATGAAATCATAATAAAGTTTTTAGTCCTCATATCAATAATCTTTTGCAAAGTAAATAGCAATCTTTTGAATATCGAAAGCACTTTTATGTTGTCGATAATCTTCATTTGATTATTCTAAGCACTCAATAAAATGTTTGAATTATAAATTGAAAAAATCAATAGTATAAAATGATTAAACGTAATTAATATTGAAGATTTGGACTAGAAAAATTGAATATTGTGATGACTGAATTTCTGTATAAGTGAAATGATAGGATGTAGCATACTTCACTGAAACTATTCAACATAATATATTACATTGCAACAATTTGTTGCTTGATGTAAAGAAACATCATAATGATCATGCTCCACATCCAATCAAGGAAGTGACAGACTGATTATTTTATTAATTGATGAATCTATTATTATTAGCATTAGGTGATTGATGTGTACTTACGTCAATAACATTTTGATAATTCGTATCCTACACAAGCAATCCAGTTGAACTGATGTTTGCTAACGTTGAGCTCGGACTTATACCTTCACTTAATATCCCCTCTCTTAGTCTTCATTGTCGTGATTCCCGCTGAACCATGTAAATTGTAACAAATTGGAAAATTATCACGGAAATGATGTTGATATCAGTTTCAATGTCTGACAAATTATCCTAAAAAGTGATTAATCATTAATTACTATAAATGATGGTTTATTATGGTCAGTGAAAGAATTATTGCTATTTATTGCTAATTAAATTCATGTTAGCATTTTTATTAGCTAAGTAAATCAAGCTATCAACAAATTAATACCAAAATATCAATTTTTATTAGCATAAATATCATCTAGTAAAAATTCTTTCTGATAGAACTAAAATGTTGATGATTTCTCAATTTTTTTGAAATGAAAATTGTTTTTGTCATTTGGAAACTGTCTTTAGGTATACAGCTTTAGAGCTATAGAATGTAAACATTGCACAATCATTTAAAGAAAATGGTTTTTCTTTGAAAATACCTGGAGAAAACCGGTTGGTTAGTTACTTGCACAGTCAAAAAATTTCTTAAATTACGAGAGAACCGGTTGGATCATCCTGTTTATTAACCTCTCTGTTTTAAATATTTTCTTTTTTTGGAAATAATATTTTTTTTGTTTTTATTCATGAATTGTAATCAATTGTTTATTATGGAATTTGGATTTTTTTTTATCTTTTATTGACGGATATCAATACTTGAAAGTCAATCTGCGCATATTTTATTGAACATTGATGCTTTCAGCTTATCAACGGTTTTTTTTATTAATTAAAATGATGAGATTAGATGAAATATCTTGATATCTTTATTTACTTCTATCAGTTTTGATTTTATTTCTAACATCATGAGTTGAAGTATAAGCATCTAATCTGCAGTTATGCGGTAGAAATATCTTTCTCTCTCTACTGTTTAAAATTATCCAATCGTCAAGACTTATTGAGTTTTAAGTTGTTATTTACTGATTTTCATCCAAGTATTATTTATAATAATTAAACTTGAACAGTTTGTAAAAATTTGTTTTATGAGCAAGTTTTCCTTACATATTTTTTATGTCATTCTTATCTTAGCTTCAGCATTCAAAATATATTGAAATAAAAATATTACTCAGCATAATTTTATATGGTTATTTTATTGGAAGTTATAAAATTCTTTTATTGTTCAAACAGACTTGACTCTATTGTTTAACGTTTTCTGAAAAATACGATTACTTAATTCATGAAGAAAATTATTCTATTGTCAGATAAGCATATTTCACATCATATAGAAAAATTGGATTTATTTTTAAACATAAATGATCATTATTTAGTTTATTCAATCACCATTATTTAATTAAAATATTGATGAACACTTTTTATTATTATTATTCATCTAAAATGTTTTTGTCTTGCTGAAGAAGCAAATGAAAAAATAAAAATTATTATCACAGCACATGACCTGCTACAACGTCAAGAGAATATGTTAAAATGTGATTGTTTAAATAACTGTCGGGAAAGATTTTTTTAAAATTCAGGTGCTGAGTTGTAGGATATAAAAAGAAAATGAAATGGTGAAATATTTATAAAAGATAGTAAAAATAATAAGAGTGAAGTAAGAAGAAAGAAAGGAAAACATTTTTTCTAAATATGAAAAATCTACGGGAATCTGCACAATTTTGGATAAAAGAAGTGGAAAGAGAGGTTGAAGAAGAATCTAAAAACAGGGGCGTCCAAACACGGTATGAGAGATTCTAACGATGCTGCTGTTCTCGTCGTCTGAATGCACTCATATTTTTGAGCTTTTTGCGCGAGCGAGCGTGGGTAGAAAAGCGTGGGCAGATTAGTTGGCCACCCCTGGAAACTCTTCGTGTCCATCTTCGGTAACGGCTGCACGAGAGCACGCAAGTTATATCAGCTCGTGTCTGCACTTCCAGAGCTCAGCCGCTTTTCAGCCGCGTATTCATTCACAACTTACCCTTCACGGTTAGTACTCTCTTGGTGTCTAAAATAGTATTATTTATTCAACTTTAAATTAGTTAAAATCGATAGAATACAATATTCAGTTTTTTAGATTTGAATATATAATTATACAAATTAACTATTATTTTCATCACAATACAAAAATTTGTAAGTGAGATTAGAAGATGAATAGTGATAATATTAGGAAAAGTGGATAGTGATGAATAAAAAATTATTTAAGTGATATAAGAAACAAAAAGTGAAATAAATTTTTAATTATTTTAGAACATAAAGTAGTTTAGAATAAGTTATAAACTAAACGCGTTAGAAATTGGAGGCAGTATAAAAAATTTTCAATTATTAAATTAATTTTCGTTATTGCAGAAGTATTAATAAAGCACCAAAATGTGTGACGACGACGTAGCAGCTCTTGTTGTAGACAATGGATCTGGTATGTGCAAAGCTGGCTTTGCTGGAGATGATGCACCCCGTGCCGTCTTCCCCAGCATTGTTGGACGTCCCCGCCATCAAGTAAGTTAAATTAAACAAATAATTACGATTATTTATTATCGCATTCGATCAAATTAATTCAATTTTCATTTTATCAAATAGGGTGTGATGGTCGGTATGGGACAAAAAGACTCATACGTTGGAGATGAAGCTCAAAGCAAGAGAGGTATTCTCACCTTGAAATACCCCATCGAGCACGGTATCATCACCAACTGGGATGACATGGAAAAAATCTGGCACCACACCTTCTACAATGAACTCCGAGTTGCTCCAGAAGAGCACCCAGTCCTTCTCACTGAAGCTCCACTCAACCCAAAAGCTAACCGAGAGAAGATGACCCAAATCATGTTCGAAACCTTCAACAGCCCAGCCATGTACGTCGCCATCCAAGCTGTACTCTCATTGTACGCTTCTGGACGTACCACCGGTATTGTCTTGGACTCTGGAGATGGTGTCTCACACACTGTACCCATCTATGAAGGTTATGCCTTACCTCATGCCATCCTCCGTTTGGACTTGGCCGGTCGTGACTTGACCGACTACCTCATGAAAATCCTTACCGAGAGAGGATACTCATTCACAACCACCGCTGAGCGAGAAATTGTCCGTGACATCAAGGAAAAACTCTGTTATGTCGCTTTGGACTTCGAACAAGAAATGGCCACCGCCGCTGCCTCAACCTCCCTCGAGAAGAGCTATGAACTTCCCGACGGACAAGTCATCACCATCGGTAACGAGAGGTTCCGTTGTCCAGAAGCCCTCTTCCAACCTTCCTTCTTGGGTATGGAATCCTGTGGTATCCACGAAACTGTCTACAACTCCATCATGAAGTGTGACGTCGATATCCGTAAGGACTTGTACGCCAACAACGTACTTTCTGGTGGTACTACCATGTACCCTGGTATTGCTGACCGTATGCAGAAAGAAATTACTGCCCTCGCTCCATCAACCATCAAAATCAAGATCATCGCTCCACCTGAAAGGAAATACTCCGTATGGATCGGAGGATCCATCCTTGCCTCTCTCTCCACCTTCCAACAGATGTGGATCTCCAAACAGGAATACGATGAATCCGGCCCTGGCATCGTCCACCGTAAATGCTTCTAAATGTAACATTCTATCCTCATTATCGGGCCTGACAATAATACAAACATTTCCTGCAATTCTGTCAATGCCCAATTGCATACTTAATTTACTCGTTCAATGTCAACGACTCTTTTTTAACATCACGTACGTCCATAAAAATATCATTCAATCGTCATTGTATTTCTTTTTGTTCTCATCTACTCATGACTTTACTATGCAAAACACGCTCTCATGAGCATTGGCTTGTAACAAGGAAAAATGATATCAAGAAATATTGGAGGATAAACATACGTGAGCATAGATGTTATTAGAAAATGCAGAGAAGTTCTTCGCTTACAGCGCGTTACCAAATTCAGTCATTTTTTGTTCGAGCACCTTTGGATCTTTTTCTAATGCTAAAAAATTAAAAGAAGATGGCTGCGTGATACAGCAACAGGTATCTAGGAGCCCAATTCACATATGATATAATCGACATGGCTATCCTGGGACCAGGAAGAGAAGACAGATTAACATTCCGATGGTGCACGTTCGAGTCGTGTCGCTTTTTGGCAACGCGACGCTTTCTTCCTGTAATGCGAAGCTCTTTCATCTATTTTGCATTATGAAAAGCAAATTTTTGGAATACATTTCTCGACCAATAGTTCCTTTTTCATTGTAAACTTTACCAAAGCTAAGCCATTGATATTTATGTCTACAATCTTATAATTATTTATTTTGTAAATATTATATAATACATTATTATTCTTATATAATGTCATTTTATTTATCCATCTGAATATACAAAAATATAGAAATTTTAAAAATAATTATAATAGCTAAAAAATTATTTCAAGAATTCCTAGTTAATTTCCTAGTCTTTCCTAATCAACATTCTTCCCAAACTTTTTTAGCTTTTAGTTTTTCAAGATAAAAATAAAAATATATTTATTATGATTCCCTATAGTTTTTTTTAATATTTTTAGAAAGAGTACATGATTCCTTTCTTTAAAAAACTTCATTTAAATCTATCAATGCTGACGAGATGTTCTAATTTTAGTTAGGAGTGGTTCATATTTCTGGAAACGATTTTAGCATTTTCCTTCATTATAAATGGAAATGTACAGACTAATAATTATTTACTAGTTACAATAACAATTAAATGTACAGAGCATAAAAAATAAAATTATCATGATGTAATTGAACTGTTCGTTTGTCAACAAAATGAATTTAATTAATTGCTTCATGTCTTCAAACTATATTCAGCTGGCGAGGAAGAGAGTAGGGATGGTTTCTGAGAGCACAGCGAATATGACTTCGTATGGAGAGATCTGACAGGCTGTTGAAGAGGCGCGATTTAAAATAACTACTATGTTGTGACGTCTACCTACCTGTCCGACCTTGCACTGATGTTTACAGATCGCCACGAGGATTCTGATCTTCTTGAAGTGCAACAAGTTTTGATTTATGTTGTTTTAAATTCAATTAATAAACCAATGACAACCACGTTATATTATCTAGAAATTAGAATTAACTATTTCTGATTGATTCAATAAAGTTCTAATCATTGATTATATAACGTTTTGGCTTTATCATTCAAACAAATCTTTAATTAGGTACTCACCTTGTTTCATAATGGAATTACTACATAAATGACCAGCGTCTAATCAGTGATGATTGATTTATTGGTCCCAGATAAAATATGAGCTATGCTATTCCATCATTGCATCAATTATTTTATAAATATTTTTATGAATTTAATCAAACTGTAGCTGCATATTTGCTTTGGGAGAGAGAACTATTTTTAAAAACTACTCTGAAGAGCAAAGTTGTTTAAAGCTAACGAAACTATTTAACAAAAAAATTTTTATTGATATGATTTCTTAGATTTTTAACATTTTTCTTTGTTTTAAAATTTATTTTTCCAAGGTTGATTTCAATATTAACAAAAGTCAACTGCTATTACTGTGTGATTAAGGAAGTTTTCTTATAGGGTTTTAGGAAACGTGAGATTTTAAATAGACATACATTCTAAGCAACACTTTAGCTATTTTGAATCTATTTTTTTTTTTTTTTTGAATGAAGCAATACTTGTCTCTCATAATAATGTATTATTAAACAAACGCAAATTTTCTATATTAAAATAAAATTTAAATAAACTTTTTGAAAATTCAACAAATCCATTTCATCACAATAATTTATTCAGAAATATTTTATAATTTTAAAAATAAATGAAAGATTATTTCATTGTTTTCTTTTAGTTTCTTTTTATTATTAAAAGTAGTTCTTCGTAAAAGAAGTCGTTCTTTGATTATAAATATCGATTAGGGAGAAGCTGGAAAATTTAGAAAGTGTGCTACCCTGATAACACTTATAGTCCAAAATATTTTTAAAATATTTTAGGCCACCCAGAAATATGGAACAATTATTTTTATTCATGCTTTTTTGAGAAGTTGAAAAATACTGAACCAATTATTTCTTTCAGAAGAATTAAACAAATAATATTTATTGAACATATTATTTAAATAATTAATTAGTATTTTATTTAATATTGTCATGCTAACTTTATAAATATTGAACAAAGCAAATATATCTCCTCTCATCATTTTCATCATGAAAGTTTGAATTTTCCTAAAAACTTTGGAATTAATAAAACTCAAGTCCTGTAAAAAGTCATCTCCAATTAAAATATCTAAATAATTCAGAGAAAAGTTGGAAATAGACTAGCTGGAAGGGTTTAAGGAGAGAATGATAAATAAAGAAAGTATCAAAGAAAGTGTTTTACGGGTCAAAGAATCAAGTAGCGAATCCAGTTTTGGAGCATAAGGTCGCCTAGTTCGGAGAGCGTCGCGATGCTCCGAGACGCACGCCTTTTTCGTGCCTGTCGAGTAAAACCTGATGTACGGAAATGCGGGGGCGTCTGGACGAGAGCATATATTGGACGTCGCGACGCTCCTCAGCACAGACGCCATCACATTCTGTCCCGTGCACGGTACGTACTTCTGGAAATATTATTTCTTGGAAATTTGATTCTTCTACTTGAGTTCAGACTTCGGGTACTCTCTTCAAGTGATTACTTTACTTCGTTACGTGCTTTTGTATCAAAATTATTCAATCTCGGTTGTGATTCAGTTCAGTGATTATTAATTGGAGTAATAAGAAGTAAATAAAATTCATTTTTTGCAGATTAAAATAAGAATTTAAAATTAAAAAAGAAAATTTATTTGAATAATTTGAATTAATTAAAAATCTTTAGATGCATTGGAATGTTTCGTATCGTTAAGTCTTTCATCATCTTCCGGGATAGCAGTAAAGATGAGAGTTATTATTATAAGTGTGGTTAATTTTGATAAATTGATGAAAATGAGTAGAGAGGAGTTTGAGTCATTCACGGGTCTTTGGCCGGATTTGAAATTCTTGGTCGTTTTGTCGAAAGCATAATTTTGGCACGCGTAACCAATTATGTTCACTATTGCTGAGTTTCGTGATCTCTAGTGCTTGCGGCGGCGTCAGGGGTTCATAATCTGCTGCTTGAACTTATAGGGAGCGTCAGCGCGTCGTCTAAACATAGATCACGTTGATTCAAAATAGAATCACGCGCGTAGCAGCCACTCCTCACCATCGGCTGATCGGTTTATAGGCAACTAGGTCAATTCTTCCGTAGATCTGTAACAAATCAAAAAGAATATTGATAATATTTTAAAAAAATTAATAAGAAAATATATAAGGAATAAATTGTAAATCTAATGAAATTTTTTTTTTCATGCAACAGAATTTGACATAAAAATAAATCACAATGTGTGACGACGAAGTTGCAGCTCTTGTTGTAGACAATGGATCTGGTATGTGCAAAGCTGGCTTTGCTGGAGATGATGCACCCCGTGCTGTCTTCCCCAGCATTGTTGGACGTCCCCGCCATCAAGTAAGTTGAATTAAACAGATAATTACGATTATTTATTATCGCATTCGATCAAATTAATTCAATTTTCATTTTATCAAATAGGGTGTGATGGTCGGTATGGGACAAAAAGACTCATACGTTGGAGATGAAGCTCAAAGCAAGAGAGGTATTCTCACCTTGAAATACCCCATCGAGCACGGTATCATCACCAACTGGGATGATATGGAAAAAATCTGGCACCACACCTTCTACAATGAACTCCGAGTTGCTCCAGAAGAGCACCCAGTCCTTCTCACTGAAGCTCCACTCAACCCAAAAGCTAACCGAGAGAAGATGACCCAAATCATGTTCGAAACCTTCAACAGCCCAGCCATGTACGTCGCCATCCAAGCTGTACTCTCATTGTACGCTTCTGGACGTACCACCGGTATTGTCTTGGACTCTGGAGATGGTGTCTCACACACTGTACCCATCTATGAAGGTTATGCCTTACCTCATGCCATCCTCCGTTTGGACTTGGCCGGTCGTGACTTGACCGACTACCTCATGAAAATCCTTACCGAGAGAGGATACTCATTCACAACCACCGCTGAGCGAGAAATTGTCCGTGACATCAAGGAAAAACTCTGTTATGTCGCTTTGGACTTCGAACAAGAAATGGCCACCGCCGCTGCCTCAACCTCCCTCGAGAAGAGCTATGAACTTCCCGACGGACAAGTCATCACCATCGGTAACGAGAGGTTCCGTTGTCCAGAAGCCCTCTTCCAACCTTCCTTCTTGGGTATGGAATCCTGTGGTATCCACGAAACTGTCTACAACTCCATCATGAAGTGTGACGTCGATATCCGTAAGGACTTGTACGCCAACAACGTACTTTCTGGTGGTACCACCATGTACCCTGGTATTGCTGACCGTATGCAGAAAGAAATTACTGCCCTCGCTCCATCAACCATCAAAATCAAGATCATCGCTCCACCTGAAAGGAAATACTCCGTATGGATCGGAGGATCCATCCTTGCCTCTCTCTCCACCTTCCAACAGATGTGGATCTCCAAACAGGAATACGATGAATCCGGCCCTGGCATCGTCCACCGCAAGTGCTTCTAAGATGTTTCTTTTAAAACTTTTATCATTGATATTATTAAAATTATTTCTCAAACATCATATATTATCGTATCGCTTCGTCACTTTGTTCATGACGCTATTACTTTTTGTATTTAGCTAGTCCGGTGGCGATTGCTGTCATTTGAGCACAAATATCATCTTTTGTATATAAGTTAACATCTTATGCAATAAACTACCTTATATTCTTACAGCTGTTCAACCCACATGCTTTTATTTTGGTTTCCCAAAGTCATATTAGTTAGTAGATTTACTCATCAATATCTATAAATCAATTGTCTTAATTTCAAGATTTCAGCTATTAGAGTTACTATATGGAAGCATGCTATAAATTGACTCACCTATTAGCTTATTCATCAAGATATGTTTTGATCAAATTATTCATTCAGGAATTTCAACTTTCAGTTACATAATCAACAAGGTGCGTTTCTGTAATTCTTCCGCAGCTTCATCTAATTATACCAGCTTTTACTAAATTCTTGATCTTTGTTCAATAATTTTGTCAATTTCTAGTTCTGCATGCTCATTATTCTTTTCTCAAATGATCTCTTATGTCTAATTCTTACAGATGTCTTTATATGGTAATACACTATTCTATTACTATTTTTAATCTTTCTTTTTCTATTTTAATGCAATTTTTAATTATTTAATATTTTCTTCTACTCATTCCTTAATTTTTACAGAAACTAATTTTTATAAAAAATTATTAATTCAACTAAAAAAAATCTAATACCATTTCTCGAAAATTTTTTTCATTATTTCATTGTTAAAACTAATTACTCTTTCTCTGATTATTTCTTAGCTATTTAATTTCATTCAAAGCTGATTATGAACTGAAAGTTTTAATTAAGCAAAAAAAGGAATCATTTATTTTATATCATTTTGGATGTGATGAATATGGGAAGAAACAAAAAATAGTTTTATTAAAAAAGATAAGAATTTGTTGACTCAACCTGCACATGGTGAGTTAATATAGGATCATCTATTTTTTACTAATTCAATAATATACTTTCTTGGTCAAAAAAGCTTGTAATATATTGGATTGGAGTGCATAAGGGTCACACGAAATGCCATAAGTCGCATTTACCATGTGCTTTGGTCTTGTCCCTTCGTGGGGTGTCTCCACAGCGTCCAGATGTGTTGATGATGTGAGTCCATAGTACATATGCAGCCTCCTTGAAATGTCACGAAAAGTGAGGATGCTTAGCACAAATCGGAAATCCTCTAATCCTCTTCATTTCTATGCAAGAAACGTTTTCAATCTTCTATGGGAGTTGTTTAGTTATTTAAGTTAATTTAAGTATGTTCATGATTAAAATAGAAGAATAGTCTATAATTATTTTTATTAATCAATAGTCTGATCGAATTATTTTCTCATCGATATTAAAAATAATTAAGCATTAAAAATGATTTCGAATAATTATGAAATGAAAAACAACGATTGAGTTTTCACAACAATGGACAATCGATATGGTACTTGGGGTAGAAAACTAGAAAGTGAAGAAGAGTTGAACTCGACCAACGTGGGATCGACGTCTTTGAAGGGGGAGAAAGAGTTTGCTCTCCCTTGCAGAAGTTTGTGAGCATCGTTGATGAGATGGTGGGGTATCAAGCGCCTTATTTGGGTTCGGGGGGCGTCGCCGGACAAAGTGCCGACGACGAGCATCGTCGAACTCTCTTAGGGCGACTAAGGACTGCGTACGCCGACGAGTGGCGACGAAAGTGAAGCAGTAGATTTCCATGTAAGGGGCGGATCACTATTTTTGGCTCAGACCGATATGGATAAAGGGACCCCACACTGCCTCTAGTCCGCCACTCGCTGCTCGGTCCTATACAAGACGAACGCCTTCAGCGCGTCGACGATCATTTAATTTTGCTCACGGTACTTATTGAAAGGTTTCTTTGTTTTAATATTTTGCTATTGATATTTTATTCCAATTGATCACGTGGAAAGTTTGAAATTATGTGAATAAATTTGATTTACATTGAGAACAAAGTTTCGTGGAATTTACGTTTCCTGTGATAATTGGAATTAAATTGAGAAAAAAAATTCAGTGATTCTATAGTCGAAGAGTGAATCATTCTTATTTAGTGGATAGTGGCCAGGATTATATTTGTGATAAGACTAATTTGGAATTTTTTTCGCAGAACGTTATAATAAAAACCAATCAAGATGTGTGATGATGATGTTGCGGCGCTTGTCGTGGACAATGGGTCCGGTATGTGCAAAGCTGGCTTTGCTGGAGATGATGCACCCCGTGCCGTCTTCCCCAGCATTGTTGGACGTCCCCGCCATCAAGTAAGTTAAATAAAACAAATAACTACGATTATTTATTATCGCATTCGATCAAACTAATTCAATTTTTATTTTTATCAAATAGGGTGTGATGGTCGGTATGGGACAAAAAGACTCATACGTTGGAGATGAAGCTCAAAGCAAGAGAGGTATTCTCACCTTGAAATACCCCATCGAGCACGGTATCATCACCAACTGGGATGACATGGAAAAAATCTGGCATCACACCTTCTACAATGAACTCCGAGTTGCTCCAGAAGAGCACCCAGTCCTTCTCACTGAAGCTCCACTTAACCCAAAAGCTAACCGAGAGAAGATGACCCAAATCATGTTCGAAACCTTCAACAGCCCAGCCATGTACGTCGCCATCCAAGCCGTACTCTCATTGTACGCTTCTGGACGTACCACCGGTATTGTCTTGGACTCTGGAGATGGTGTCTCACACACTGTACCCATCTATGAAGGTTATGCCTTACCTCATGCCATCCTCCGTTTGGATTTGGCCGGTCGTGACTTGACCGACTACCTCATGAAGATCCTTACTGAGAGAGGATACTCATTCACAACCACCGCTGAGCGAGAAATTGTCCGTGACATCAAGGAAAAACTCTGTTATGTCGCTTTGGACTTCGAGCAAGAAATGGCCACCGCCGCTGCCTCAACCTCCCTCGAGAAGAGCTATGAACTTCCCGACGGACAAGTCATCACCATCGGTAACGAGAGGTTCCGTTGTCCAGAAGCCCTCTTCCAACCTTCCTTCTTGGGTATGGAATCCTGTGGTATCCACGAAACTGTCTACAACTCCATCATGAAGTGTGACGTCGATATCCGTAAGGACTTGTACGCCAACACCGTACTTTCTGGTGGTACCACCATGTACCCTGGTATTGCTGACCGTATGCAGAAAGAAATTACTGCCCTCGCTCCATCAACCATCAAAATTAAGATCATCGCTCCACCTGAAAGGAAATACTCCGTATGGATCGGAGGATCCATCCTTGCCTCTCTCTCCACCTTCCAACAGATGTGGATCTCCAAACAGGAATACGATGAATCCGGCCCTGGCATCGTCCACCGCAAATGTTTCTAAACTACCAACAATTAAAGCTTCACCGACTTCCGCCTCGCCTATTTTCCATCATAATACATTGTCATTTCGAAATCATCTATCAATCGTCCTACGATTGTACTACACATTCATCATTACTATTCTCTTATACAAATATTACTGAAGCAACTCAACGCGGGTGAAATATAACATCGTGAGAGGGGTAACAGAAACGAAACTAATGCGAAAAAAATATAAAATAAACATACAACTTAAAGTGCCTTTATTACACACATTTATCAGACTGTATTGTAATTTGTAGTTTATACAATATGATTATTTGTTAATAACATTAATTATTTATTATTTAGTCCTCACTATCATTAACTACTTATTATAATTTTCAAGTCATTCGAAAACTGTTGCTCCTAAATATTTCGTAATGTTTACAATCTTCTGAAACGATCCGAAAAATTGGAAAATAATCAAAAGTGTAAAATACCATCTACACTTGTCATCGTCGGCTCATATTGTTGTCCGGCATTCTACCACTCTTCTTATCATACCTTTATGACTCTTAATTATAATAAATCGTATTATATATAAAATGAACGAATTTTATTGTACTTTCTTCATGTCAAACTGATGTATTACCTTTTCTTTGTTCATCTCTATCAATGTATTCACGTACTTAGAATTTATTTTGCACGTGATTATAAATAGTTATATTTGTTCAAGTGCTTTCTATATATTTTTGACTGATCAAAGCTGTGAAAATATTTTTTAAAAATTGAGCAGATGCAGGAGTGTATTGGGTGATTATCGTTGCGGGAGTGGCACGTGCCTGCCACATGCCAAGAGTCTTCATAGTCTTACTTCTCTCGGGCGAAGAAGCCGGTAAATGCATGAGACAAATTAAGAAAAAGTAAAAATAGAGTTCAACCAGGCTAGCTCATCGCTGAGTAAATGAGGAAAAGAACGAGGAGAGCTACTCAAGCTGCTTTCAGATATCCCTAGCTGTGTCATGCCTTACAAGGCTTCTCTCATACTCTTTAAAACTCTCGTATTCTCATTATGCACTTGCTGCTAAAATTAACGAGAGAATAAACCTGCTCATTTCATCAACTATTTCATTTGTGCACTCTTGTCGATTATTTTCAATTCTTTCGCATTTTAACTGATATCAGTTGATTTCATTTTTATCTACTTTTGAAAGAATTTTATCAAAAAAATCAATGTAAGGTTTGATTATTTTATGTAAATTAGTGTTGCAATATATTTAGTGTATTAATGAATCTAAAATAAAATATTTAAAATCTATTCTTTTTAAACAATAACTTATTAATCATACCTGAACCAGTAGCTGATATGAAATAATTTATCAATAATTTTGATTTTGCAAATAAATATGAATGTTCATCAATGACAATGATTGTCTGAGCACAATGATCATAGGAATTTAAAAAATATTAATCATCTCAGCCAAATTCTTCTGTTAATTAATTTTTTCAGTAGAAATAGACTAAAAATAGAATTAAAAATAAACAAGTTCTAATGCGGTAATGCCCTCTCTATAAATTCAAATTTATTTATTTTTAAATAGAGAATCTTCATCCGGTAACAAAACATTTGAGTGTCGCCATCTGTTTCTCGAAACTCGAATTCAGTTTCGATTCGAGGAATTTTCCTGAGTCGGTTGAAAATGGCGTCGATAATTCTCAATGGCGTCGGAATTAGTCCATCTAGACGCCATATTTAATGGTTGTTGATTAGTTTTGGCGCGGAAATCTTCAGCTGATCATCGTGTTTTAGCATTCGTGTGTGAATTATGATTGAATAAATCTATAGTGATAAATAAGTGTATTAACTGTGTGAATAACTATTATGGAATCTACGGAAATTTTAGTGAATAGTAGTGATATAGTTGCAGGTAAGAAAATTGATAAAATTTGTAAAATAAATAACCAAATATTGATACGTAATTGTTTGTTTTTTTTTTACAGAATCAACAGGTGAGAAATTGATTAATAATCATATAATCAATACTGATTTACATATTCAAACTAAAACAAGTGATTCAGATAATTTCGTAATGTCGAATGTAAACAATCAGACAGTTGAAGTAAGTGGAGCAACAAGTGAGGCCATGAGTGTAGACTCCTCTTCTGATACAGAAAATCGAGGTGTAGAAAATATGGATAGAAATTTCCGTGATCAAAATAATGATAGTAGAAAAGATTCGGATGACCATGATGATGATAGGGACGTAAATAACTTAAATATAAAACGTAGAAGTAGGTTTAGAACTATCATTGACAGTGACTCTGAAGATGATCTCATAAAGAACTCGGTTTCTGAGATGCATGAGGATATTAGTAGTTCCAAAGTTAAAAAACGAATTAATAGTGACTCTGATAGTGATCATAATGAAGAAATAAACAACAGTAAAAATAGTGAAGATGTTGAAGATACTTCAACAAAGACTGAAAATCTAGAAAACCTTAATAACAATAAATCAAAAAAATTCAGTACTTTAATTGATTCTGATTCTGAAGATGAAAGTTATGCTAGTAATAAAATCGTTGATAAACAAATACCTGAAGAGGAATCTGAAGACGAAAGTAGTTCTAAAAAAAAATCTAAAAAAGATAAAGGAGAGAAACCAAAAAAGAAAACTGGATCTAAACGAGCAGCAAAAGATGAAGCAATGAAACAAATTCATAGTGAAACTCAACGATTGATTCGTGAATCTTCTGTATCATTACCATATCATAAAGCAAAACAAAGGACTTTAGAAGAATTTTTGAACAGGAAAAAAATTGTATTGGGTCTACCTAGAACTCTTACGTCGACTGCCAGGTTGAAAATGTCTGCTGCAATCGTGGATGAAGCATTGAAAGAAAAGAAAAAAGAAGCTGAACAATTTTTTAAATCTGATTCAGAGGATGAGAATTCTGATGGTGGTCTTCAGTTCAAAGATTCTCCAGAAAAATTGTCTTCCAATAATGAAACATGTAATGAAACAAAAGACCCTGGAACGAATATTCTTCAAGAAGATTTAAACGAAAAAGACATTCCAGATGCTAAAGCTGCTGCTTCTAGACGACTATTTGATGATGATAGTAACGTTGATTTACCTGAACTAAAGCCTACCACTGAAGAAACCGTGGAGATTGATAAAGATAGTAAGTTATTGTCTCCAGAAATCCAGAAATCTTCTGCTCTACTATTGAAATCTTTAACTACTATGAATGATGATCAAATATATGATTCCGAAAACAAAAATAAATCTGATGTTAATACAGATAAAAACGATTGTCATGAAAATTCACAAGAAGCCAAAGTTGTTACTAGTATTTTATCGTCTGACTCTAATAAATTAACGGATGAAGATGAGGAACTATTAAATGCCAAAATAATGACTGATGATGAGATTGAAAAATTGATTGAAGTAGAATCTAAAATGAACGAAGATTCATTATCCCACTCTTCAACACCTGAGCAAAGTAATAAAGAAAACGAAGATCCGGATGAAGTGGTCCTAGGTTCACCACTTCCTGATTATTGTAATTCTGAAAAGACAACTGAAGCTCCAAAAGCATCTGTGACAAATGTTAAAAAGAATTTATTATTAAACGTTCCTAATATTAAACCAAAATTACGAGGAGGTCCAGGAATGGTCATAGATTTGACTAATGAAGTCAAACCTAATAAAGAAGCTATAAATAGTTTAATGGATCGATTTTTAATAAAACATTCAGCCACTAATAAGCATGTCGAGAATGATCGTGACATTACTATTTTTCAAACCGAGACTACATCTGAGGGAATCAAAGTTGTTAAAGATGTTGTTCCTTATAAAGTTTCTACTAATGAGACTGAGGATCCAGAATTAAGCAAACCAGGAGCAAAATTAGTACGTTTGAAAGAAGATTTGAAGAAGAAAATGCTAAACAAAAGGAATGAAGAGTGGAAGTTGAAGGAACGACAATTTGTTGACGAAGAAGAAGAAGAAGAAGGAATTGATGACGATTATGAATTTGAAGAAAAACATTCAAAATTAGAAGATGCTGACGAAGATGCTGAAGAAAGTGAACCTGAAGAAGATGATATGCCTATTAAGGAAAATAAACGAAAATACTGTGAATTTGGAGATGATGAAGCTGAAGTTAGTGAAGAAGAAAATGTTGATTTGAGTGATGACGAGAATGAAGAAGATGATGAAGAAGAGGAAGATGAAGACAAAGCTAAAGAAGATGAAATTGAGGATGACGAAGATGACAGCAAAGAGGAAGCATCCAAAAAATTCAGTAGAATTGTTACAATCGATGATGAATCTAATTCTGATAATGAACAATCTAAGAATTCTGAAATTATAGAGTCCAAAAAGCCATTTGAACGAACAAAAACAGATGTTGATATTTTTGAAGATGAAGAAGATTTACCATCTTACCAACCAATTCGAAGTGATACAGAAATGAATAGTCAAATTTATAAGACTCCTTTCAATCCTAGTCATCCACAATCTTTGCAGTCACAGTGTAATCAATATTCATTCTTCAGTTCTAAGTCTTTGGGTATTGAGTCACCGGCGAAATCAATCCCAAGCCTAATGAATAGTTGGGATATCGATAGTACTCAAACGCAAACACATGAGTCAGACAAAAAATTATTCCAATCTCAAGATAAAAATATTACTGAAGAGGAGTTAATGGCTTTGTGTTCTGGGAATTTTACACAGTCAAATAATATCCAATCAAATAACTTTACTCCAAAATTGACTGGCTTAGTTGATTCTAAACCTGATGAACCTATTTCTGAGTCTCAACTTTTAGATATGTGCTCAGGAAAATTTCAAACTCAAGCTTCACAAAAGCAATGTATTGAAAATACTGATGAAACATCTCAAGATTTTAAATTAACATTTGATGAAAACTCACGTGATCATTCCGATAATATTTTAAAAGAAAAAGAAACTAAAACGACACCATGGCAGTCATTGCATATTGCTTCATCCTCAGAGGATGAGGACATTGAAAAAGGTAATGAAAAAATAAGTGCAAAGAAAGAGTTGAAGAAAAAGAAAAAAGTTAAGCAGCTGGTTCTGTCTGACGATGAGGAGGATGGAGATAAAGTTAATTCAAGTGATGAAGAAGATGAAGATATAGAGAGTGAGGATGAAGAAAAATTCATTGATTATGACTCTGAAGAAAATGAAGTAGTTGTCGTACCAAAGAAAGATATAAAAAAGGTGGCGGCTAATTTTCTTGAAGCTGAAGCTGAATTGAGTGAGAGCGAATGGGGATCAGAGGATGAAGATGAAAAAGGTCTTGATAAATTTGAATTAGAAGATGGAGATGATGAAGAAATCGATGAGGATCAAATGCGTGATCAGTTGGGAAAAATGCATGCAAGACAAATTTTAGATGACGATCAAAGAGACGTTAGGATGCTTAAAGAATTATTGTTTGAAGATGGAGATCTACATACTGATGGCTCAGGCCGTGAACGTAAATTTAAATGGAAAAACATTGATAGCTTATCTGAAGAGATTTTATTAAAGCCGATGGATGAAGATGATATTGACAATCCAATAGATCCAAATGAAATAGCAAATGAAATGGAATGGCGAAAATTCAGATTAGAACGTGAGAAATTTTTAGAAGAAAAAATTCGATCTGCTGATGATGACTTATTGTGTGAAGAGATGACATCAAGTGGAAGTTTATTCAAATTAGGAATGAAAGTTTTGAAGAAGAAAGGAAGTAATGCTGAGCAGAAAAGCGTGGAAATTACGTCAAGTAAAACAATCATTCCTAGAACAGTATCACAACTAATGAGCACTCCCGTTGGAGAAAAATCTAAATTATTGCATGTAAGGAAAAATTTTCACTTTAATTACTGTATTATTTTTATACTGTGTTATTAAATTGCTTGATAAACTAATAAGTTTTTTTTTTCTTTTAGAATGCTATGAAAAAAGGATCATTTTTAGCTCGAGGCGACGAAGCATTGGCACGACTTGCAGTGGTTGTAAAGCAAACTGATAATGTTATATTAAATACCAATCAGTCAAAGAATTTCTTGTTTGCTCATATAAGTCCATCAGTGAATGATGCAAGGGAGGACGAAAAGCAAGAAGAAACTGAAGATGATCAACAATCTGATAATAAGGTAAATAATTTTTTTGTTAAAAACAAACAAAAAATTTGTAATTTATGTGAAACATTTATCAATATTTTTATCTACATATTTTGAAATACTCATTACGTGAAACCTTTTATTAAACAATAATTTATGTAATTATAGACACGAAAACGTAAACCTCCAGGTGGTGGGACTCCAAGGACAACAAAGAAAGCGAAAACTGAAGGAAATCGATTAGGAAAAAAATTATTTTAAATATACATCCTCTTCAAGAGTGCATTATTGTTGAATTATTTAAACAATATTAGTCTGATGTAAATATTACAGAAAAATTAAATAATATTTTATAGATATATTTATAATCAAAAATAAACATTTTTTATAACTATTATTTTTTTTAAATCAGTGTTTAATTAATGAAATTTTAAAATAAACTATTTGTTTATGTTGTAGAATTTATCAATAGACCGACGTGTATAATTTATAAGAATTCGCTATCGTGTAATGATCACAATGCCTAGAATATTATATGGACGAGAAAGGGACAATAATGCCGAGTGTATTTAATGTAACTTTATCCAATAATGCACATCCTGGCCTAGGGCAGAGACGCGTGTTCCCTGCATTCGATCGACAAACACATTCAAGCCGGAGGTAGCTAAAGGTATTTGTAGTCCAACTCATGTATTCCAATTGATATATCATTTTACGTCGTTGTTATTCGAATGCTATTTGCAATATAATATTGCAATAATTATTGAACAATTAAAAATTAACATATAAATCGGAAAATGATTATTTTTATCTAGAGACAATTGTTCGGTTAATTTCTCTACATAAAAGTATTTATAAATCAATTTTTTTTTATCGCAACAGAATATTGAAAAAAAAAAAAAGAAACAAAATTTTTTTTCAACGTTCTTCTTTTATTTGGTAAATTTATTTAATAATTAACAAAGTGTAGGATGAACAAGTACATTGAATATAAACAAGTAATGAGTAGTAATGTATGCAATCAAAATGATCTACATAGTAGTTCGATGCATCAAGAGACTAGAATTCGTGATAGAAGCAAAGAGCTGAAGGATAGATGTGGTGGTTGTTGCATAAGCCGATTATAACATCACGGTAGTCAGCTTCGAAGGTTTGAGGGTTTGCTCAGTATATTCCCGACATTGTTGGTACTCACAAGCAAATGTAACGTCGGCCAGAGACACATTAAAATCGCATAAAATATGTATAACTATCTACGGCCCTTTGGAACCATGCCATTGCTTTTGCCTGCTATATCTTTATCGAGAGCTTACCTTAGCTTTTACCTCTACCCTAAGTCCAAAAGCTCTCGCCGACTTTTATATCTGCTCCATCCCACTTGTCTTTATTCTTTTCAACATCCCAACTATTTTATTTAAGTTGTTTTTGTGGCTGTGACATTTTTTTACTTGAGTTTTATCAGAATTTTACATAAATTTTAAGTCATCGAACTTTTATTAAGATCTAAAGTTAATGAAATAGGGAAATAAAAACTTAATTTTGCTAGTCATTAAATTGAGTATCAAATTCATTTATTTAAATCTTTTGCTATAATTTCTGATATTTCCATTAATATATATATATATATTATCTCAGGTTTAAACTGTTTATTATTGCAAAGGATTAATTTTCATGCAGCAAATTTAATTGTTTAGTATTACCTTTAAAAAATTCTTCATCATCGAATTCAGTTGATTTGATATAAATTTCAATAAAGCTTTGAATTTTATTTAAACTAATTTATAAATTTAAATAAGAAAATGTTTTTAAGTTTATTTTTAGTAAATACTTTTATTATTTTTATAAACTATATTTTAATTAATTATAATAATGAAAATTAGGAGTAATAAAGTAATTGAATACATTCTCAGCTGATGATAAATTGTTAGATCTAGTGGAAGTCTAGTATTTTGACAAGAGGTCGAGAGCCTCTTTCCCAATTACATCATGATTGTCCACCCTGTGAAGCTCTCTTAAGAGCAAAGATTAAATGTGAAAATTACGGTATAAAATCTAGATGATAGAAAATGGTTTTAGAGAAGAAATATGTATCAATCATGAAAAATGTTTAACTTTCATTTAATACAACTATTCTATTAACATGAAATTTTACTGATTTTTTATTGTCATTCAAATTTCAATTTACTGATACAAGCCAGTGATCAGTTTAACAATGGTACGAGTTATTTTTGAAATAATTTTTCAAATTTCTATTGGACCTTTTCAACTTTCAGATCTGTTGTGTTATGCATGTATAATTTACTAGACGTAAATTTAAATACCCTGGTTCCCAGGATATTTAATAAGCCTGGATGTCGTTTTAATAAGTCAGAATGACTCAGAAGTTTTTGAGATTATTTAACTAATAGCAAATATTATTGTGATTTTTACACACTGTTATGAAGCAAACAAGATAAAAATATGATAAAAACAATGTATTTATTTAATTTATCAGCATTAGAAATTGAGTTTACTCTGTTCATAATTTTTAAATATGTGTAGACCATAAAGACAATAATCAATTTGAATTTGATAGGATTCATAGTTGTAGTTGCTACAACTACATTGTGTATCCTTCCCTGAAATATTCCAGCTGCTGAACAGCTTCAACTATCCCCTGAATTCAAAGCTTTCATAACTAAAGTATGTAATGCAGTGAACATGCGTCGACGCGTTGGTGGAAGTGGCACAACCAATGGAGACTTGGTGACTATTAAGTCCGTAGGCGGAGCCTGGGAGTATACGTGCCTTGGTGGACGTGCCGATCCAGCAGACGGCGTTTAGCCACCGCCGAGAAGGAAAATTGTTAGGCTTTTGTGCTGCTTCAATATTAAAACATAATAAAACTTGCATCGTCTTCAAATTGTAACATAAATGTCTAACAAAAACTTACGGATATAGTAAAAGATCAATAAAAAATTTGTAAAATGATGTAAACTAGATTGTTATCAAGAAAAAATTTAATTAAAAATTATACGAAACAAATAATTTGAAAAAAGGTGTCGGGATGCTGCACAGCGCGCTACCAAGGACCTTCTTGCCTCCACCAGGGCTGTGCTATCTTGGCGGTTATTACGGCGAAACAGTGCACTCTTACAGCTCAGTTTCAAGGTTTGTGCCTTTGGACAGTTCTTACATTCCGGATCATCAAGTGATTGCTGCTGAAACAAGACCAGCTAGTCCTATTCCACTTGACTTATCATTAAAACCATCATCAACTCCACATAGTTCAAGAACAGATGACAGTGAGACCATCGAAGTCGATGACATAGAAGACCGCCGAGATGTTTACGATCGAGAGAAGAAATACTACAACTGGGAATCTCGATATGGAACAGAAGATCATCATAGTCCTGTGGCACGAGCTTATCATTACTATGATAGCTTACGTCGTCCAGAGAGTCAAGATCTTCTATACTCTAGTGAAATGTCGAGCTACCAAAGTCCAAGTTCCAGCCCTATTCCAAGTCAGAAACTTCTTCTTACATCACCCAGTACTTTACGATCAATGCAGAGCTACCAGCAACAATTACTTCTCACTCCTCAGCATCATCTCCAAAGTATTAACGCACCGATGACACCTCCCAGCACACCGTCTCCACCTCAATGTCCAAGACGCCGTACAAGAGACGAAGAAGAATCATCAAACCCAAGTTCCAACATCACTCCAACAGCTACAACTCCGAAGACATCGACAGCTGAAAAGATTAATTCAAGACCCAAGAAAAAGCATGCAAGAAGATTGAAATTCGACGAAGACACTAGTAGTCCAGTATCAGGAACTGTAATTCTTGGTCCTGATGAGGCTGTTGTCACAGGTGACATCGATCCTGCATTTAATATCGTCGAAGTAACTGAAGAAGCTAGAGCTGAGCTGGCAAAGATTGAAAATCGTCTTGGCCCCTACCAGTGCAAGCTATGCAGGCAACTGCATGAAGACGCTTTCCAGCTGGCGCAGCACAGGTGCTCAAGGATCGCTCATGTCGAGTACCGTTGTCCTGAATGTGACAAAAGGTTTTCATGTCCAGCCAACTTAGCATCTCATCGGCGCTGGCATAAGCCTCGAATGCCTTCGGGTGATGCTTCTTCAACTACTGTTTCAAGCAATTCAGTGATTTCTGAAATTTCCTGCTCCAAATGCGAAGCTAAATTTACACGACAAGCTGCATTACGTAAACACTTGACTACTCAACATCCTGAAACAAACAACAACATTCCTATCATCAATAATAACAATAGTATCAATAATAATAATAGTATTAATATGGAGTCATCAAAACCATCAACAGCTGGTACATTGGCACTTGCAAACAGATCTCATCTCAACGAGATGCCCTGACAGCATCAGTTCCCTGCAAGACCGCTGCCAAGACGACCTTCACTCTACTGGAGATTCGGACTGGATCTCATGTAATATCTCTGCTGGAACCGTTGACTTGCAAGATACGTGAGTGCACAATCAAAATATTATCAAGATTCTGCAATTTATTATTTCATTCTAGTCTAACGAGTCATTCAGGAAATCTAGTCATCATCTTTAACTCATAAGCTATTCATAAAAGTCATTATTGTAAATAAGTAATATTAAAGTATTGGTAAAGTAGTTGAATTATTCTATCATTCAGTAAAATCTAGTCGTCAAGAAAACTGATGCCAAATCATAAATAGTCAATATTTATTTTCAAGTGCAAAATAATTTTTCTTGCATTTTTTATTGATAGACATATTTTATGGCAATAAATTAAACTAGTCAGTCTATTAGTAATTAACAAATTAAAATGATGATTATTTATTTCTAATGTTATAGTTATAAACGTAGATATACTAGTAGGTTTAGTATCTAGTTTAACTATTTAAATGTATCGAGAATTGAAATCGTCTCGGTCATACAGCTGAAAGATCAAAGATAATTAAGTTAATAGCATTTAACTTTAATCTAATTGTTCTATGCAGGTAATTGAGAAAGTCATTTAGATGATAACAATAAAGCTGTAAAAACATTAGTACTCTTCACATAATTGACTGTTAAGAGGTTATCATTCAGTACTATAAATATGAAAATTTCACTCTTGGTATTCTTGATGGTTTCATGCAATTAGTATTTCAGTTGATAATAATCTTACCTTTCCAGCGAAAATATTTCTAATATTCATTGTTAGTTTCAGTACAAGATAACTATTTCAAAGATAAAAAAAAATTTTTAACTTTATTTGCATAGATTAATGTATGAAAATTTTCAGTTCTTGTTTTTTTATTATTTTGGTATTTTTTAATTCATTCCAAATAGGAATGAAAGAGTATTTGTCTAGTCCAAAGAGCATAGTTAAGATGTTTTTAGATACGTTATCAGATATAGAGAATGTACACTAAGTAATTAAGAGCTGTGGATTATGATAGTTTTTAGTGAAAATTATTAGGAAAAATTAACATTTAAATGCATAAAAAAGAAAAAAATTAATTCTTAAGAAAATTCTTTATTTATTTATTTATTTAATTAAAGGAAATATTTTTTCAACAAATATTTGGCATTTTTAGTGAGATTGATATTTTTTAATCGATGTATTTTTATCAAAACATTTTATTCTTTAAAAATTATTAAATTGTATTTCAAATATTTTTTCTAAAACTTTATATTGTACTATTTGATTGCGAATAAATGGATAAATAGTGTTTAAATTAATTGAAAAAAGAACTTAAAATTGCATTAAAGAGTTAAAATATCAGAAGAATGTTCATAAATATAAATTTAAAATAATGTAAAAAAAATATATATATTAAAAAACAATAATTAAGTGCAGATAAAATTCATTGTGGGAGATTGCAATGTTAAGAATGTAAGATAAAGATTGAAAGATAAAATTTGGCTGTATAACGCGCAAAAGTAATTAATGTTCAGAGGAAAATGAGTAGCTTTAAGTAACAATTAACTCATCGTATCATTAATATTGAGCGTGTCTTTATTAATAAGTTTTTCATTATTATTAACAAGAAAAAAGTAAACACACAAAACTGCGAGCTTATAATGTACTATTTTATATAAAAATATTTCGTGAGTTTTGTAATTTTATTTTGTAGCTTATATTTATCAATATTTAATGTTCAATATTATTGTAAAAAAAAAAATCAGTACATAATTAATAATTAATTACAAAAATTGTAAAAATGTATCATAAACTTTAGTAATAAAATTTAACAAATATTTTTGCTTATTTATGTTTAGTTGTAACTATTTTTTTACTTTAATTATAATTTATTTTAAGCATAGTTGTATATCTGTAAATATAATCTGCTAATAAATAAATGGTATCATTAAATTATTTATGTCTGCTCTTTTTCTCATCCTCATTGTTCAATTTTTTAATCGTGTGACAATACTTTATTTGATGCAATCATTTTTTTAATAGATAAATTTAAAAAAAAAATTGATTGCTTGAGGCTATTGTGTATGAGCCGATCAATATTACTCTACAACGTGTTACTTGATTGTAGAAATGACAAAAGAAGGATTTCTGGCTTGAGTAACCTCAGCAGTGCTATTGTGTACTGTGGATAAAGAAATACATCTCATCTTGAACGAAAGTTGAAAAGGTTCTCTAGTCTTGAGTGTAATCGACCCTTTGGAATTTATCTATTCTTTAAAATTATTATTATTATTTTTCTATTATTAAGAAGATAAGCTGTCGTTGAGCTTATGCAAAAATTTTTTGCAAGCCCTTTAAACTCCAATGAATCAATAAATTTTTTAAACTTAACATAAATAATCATCAGCATCAACTTGATCATCAAGAAACTGTGTTAAATTATTTTCTATAAATCTCAATTCTATTAAATATTTGATGTATCACAGTTACAATAAAATTGTCACGGGTTATTTGAGAGAAACGAACAATCCAATTGGCCTTATATTTCCCACGGATATTCAACGCTAGGATGATCGTCAAAGCGTCGCGAAGCTTTTACAAAGGTCTTGGGAATCTACTTAGTCTTCAAGAGTTTTATGTTCGTTCTTGTCCCGCGAGACTCTCTCAACAGCACTATCCCAAACGCTGACGCCACTACAAGAAGCAATTTCTCAATTTTCTTCGACTTTGTCATCTTCGCTTTGCTATTCGCTGGCGAAATGGAATTTTAGCTTGGAGTGGCTAGAGTCCCAAGACTTCTATCGTCAATTCACTGTCAATCGAAATACCGGGTCGCCTATGATGTATGTAGTACATCCCAAGTATCGAAAGGAAATTTTTTCTATCAAATAATCTACTGCTTTCTACAAGAGACTTTCATGATGATGGAAAATGTTATTGGATGGATTTAAAAAATTTTGGACGAAAAATTGTGATAGATCAAAGTAAAATAGCCGTGAATCATATAATTGTTTCAAATAGCTACTATATGTGTAGCTGTCAACCCCAAATAACGAGTCGTTTTCACCCCAAGGAAGCTTACGGAATGTCCCCTGTTTACCCACGCGGGAATTATGATCAATGTGCCAGGTCTTTGCATACCAATGTCATTTTATTTTAGTTTATTCTGTGCTTTGACTAAAAGTAGGGTTTCTGTTATATTCAATATTTTTTTTAACATACTTGGAAAAGAGTTGCATTACAAGACTTTATTTTTAATATAATCAATTTTATTATATTTTTTTAATCAAGTAACAATATTTTTATTTTGTTTTTTAGGTATTTCAAGAACTAGAAGAGTTATTTTCAACCATCATGATACACTTTTTGGAAAAATGTCTTTGAAAGATGAATAAAGAACATTAGTTGTTGATCGTTTAGCAAACAATGCCATGCTTTTGAAGAAGAAAGTGACCACAATATCTCTTGTATTCCTTTGAGTACAAACATCTTGAAGGATAATAACTATAAAAGCTCTAAGAAAGCACGTTTCACACGTTCATGATGCTGGTAAGGATTTTTTATGGTCTCAAGTATATTTACTTTCAATCCAAAAATTTTCAAACATATCAATAATAATAATAATGATCAATTCAATGAGAACGATAGTAATAAGTTATTTGAACAAAGGGGAAATAATAAATTATTTTTTATTTGTAGATGCTACTTTTCATTAGCTTTTATTTATTTAGCATTTAACAGAACACTTTATTATTATATTAATTATTTAAATTATTTAATTTTTTATTTACTTTTTTTTTTTATTTTATTTCTCAGCAAATATTTTACCAAGAAAGACAACATGCATCACCACCGGAATGCAACTATTTGATGGGAAAAGCCCTCATGGTTGATAGAAAAATGCCATAGGGGAAAAACTGATTACTTTCCCATCAGCCACTGCATCTATTCCCTTCAATGACAACTTACTTTTGGTATCCACACCATTTCAACTTACTCATCAATTTATTTTTTTTTTATGTTTCTAATCAAACAACATTCCATTACAATTTTAATTTTCTGGTAAATAATAATTTTCCCACATGACAAAGTTCATCATCAAAAAGACCTTTTTATGTTGGTGGAGTAGCTTTTCTACAGATTTAGTAGTCATTTAAAAGTTGAAATGTTCTCTGGTGGATATAACGTAATTTCTTTGGTTGGTTGATGTAGAAGTAGTGGCAAGATAAGGCATAATTATCACTTTCAGTAGCTGACTATGAACTGTAAGATGAAGGGAATTAAAAAACTGTATTTCAATTCGCAACGGGGAGCATTGAACGAAAGAGATCAGCCTGGAAAAGTATCTTACGTGGTATCCGACAGCCTGATGTACGTCCACGATATCTAATTCCCAACGTTCTTTGATATCGCGGTTCTTCCTTTATAAGGATTATCGACAAAGAGAGACATAAATATCAGGGTAATCTTTTAGGCTTGATATGGAACGTGTCCGCGTACACTTGGAACACGGCATGCTAACAAAAACTCGTCGTTTCAACGCTCAACCCCTCGTCATATTCCTGTAAGGGTGAACAGTAACTTTCGAAATTGGAGCTATCGATGCATGTTCATTCTTCGTGGATTCCTTTTGTGAATATTTAGATATTTTTATCCTTATTAGTTTTATCTGTATATCAAGACTTACTAGAATGCTATTGATTTTTTCTTTATTTAAAATTACTTCATTTGTTTACATATCTTGATTTCAATTTCAAAGGCCTTCATTATAGTACTTATGAAAGATAAATTTATTCAATACTTGTTATTATATTTTTTTAAATTATATTCCTATTTTGAAATCAAAAATAATATACAAATATTATTATTATTATCATTATTTTACATTAAAATGAAAACTAGTGCATTTGTCATAAATCAAAATTTCTATCTGTCAGTGTCTTTGTAACATAAAATGAGCCAAAGCTTTAGTGGACGTTGCCCGGAAATAAAACTACAAGAATATACTAAATTTATTATATATTTTTATTCAAAGTATATGTTTTAATATCTATTTAAAACAGTATTTTAAAAGATTACATTTAAACATTTGAAAAATTTAAATATTTAAATAAACACAAATAATGTTTATTTTAAATAATTTTTTAATTGACATTAATTAAAAAATGTTTTAAATGTAGATTTTTAACTTTTTTTATCTTTTATAAAAAAATATTAGTTAATTTGTATAAAACAAGTTCTAAAAAATCTTTATCTGTTCTCTTTAATGTTGGGATATAACAAAAATTACTCGTCATTCTTTTCTGTGAAGTTGACCATTTTGTATTTCCGGCCTGTTGAGCATCGGACAACCCTGAGATACAGTAGTCCTTCTTGGCATCTTCAAAGGAAACCACAGTGTTGAACACAGTGGTATCAGAAAGTCCTCCTAATGATGTGGTTCTACTTATTTATAACAAGCTTTGAAAGTGTTTCAGGAACACAAATATAACATATTTACATATTCAAAAAATCCACAGTATATTTATCTTCCACTCAATAGCTGCTCATTTCATGTAAAAAAATTTTAAAAAACTTTTCCATAACTGACGATGTTGTTTAAAATAAAAAAATATATCAATCATTGGCAACATTTATTTTAATAACTAATGCAAGCTTCACTTCAATGTACTACTTTTTTTATCAGATCTAATTATTATAGTCTTTAATTATTGATAAATTAAATAAAATATATAGTAAGAATATGAAGTGGTGAATATATAAAATAGTTAATAGCTAATGATAAACATCTAACATTGAAATTTACACGTCCATAGTATAATTATGCGATCATTTGAGCTTTGACGCAACAGATAGGCATACAGTTTCATTACGCAGAATGGAATGTTTCATCACATAGCAGTGGTAGTTAATTGACGCATTTCACATTAGCTTCTTTTGAGCTCATTTCAACCCCTTTTCAAGCAATTATTACAACATTATTTTATAGCGTCCTTTCGTGAGCATAATATAATTTTAATCATGGCCTCTTTTATTAAGAATGCAATAAAATTTTATCAACGTACAATATATATACAGGTATATTAAATAAATATAAAAAGTACTTAATTAGATGTAATAAATTTTTATTCTTGAGTTGGTGCTCAAGCAGTAGAAGAATCGAGTAGAAAAAGCCTTCACTGGTAGGCCAAGGTTAGCCGCATGACCAAACTATCCAAAGTATTCGAGCGTGTGTTTTGGTAAAACTAGACTTTCTTTTTGGATTAACTTGCAAGATAAGGGTAGTTCTCGCCAATTCGTGTTCACTCAATTCCTTGCTAGCAAGGTGTTATGATAAACGGTCTCATGTATAGTAGTTTGTCGAGGCTTCGGCCACCACGCCACCCCTTTCTTTCCCATTCTCTTGCGCCCTTTCTGCGCCTGTTTCACTGCGTATCTACGATTTCAGGCAACTTGTTGCTCTGCTTTCACATTCGTAATCAATCGTTGGCTATTCACGAATTAGTCTGGCAATTACTCGTCGGATGTTTAGAGAGATAGAAAAATTACTTAGATCTTATTAGTTGAAATAAAAGGCCTGACCAAAATGGATATATACTACTCAGAATGCTTCTTAAAAAATTAATTTTAAGTAAAGTGTTTTTGATAAATCTTTTTATTAAAATATTAATATTATTGGATAGTAGTGGACATTATTATTTTGAGAAGTAATCAATTCTGTTATATCTTGTCCAGAATTCATTAATTAATGCTAAAAAATGATAGGAAAATTGAGAGAAAGAATTTTAATTATTGATGCTACCTTGAAAGTCAGATATAATTTGATAAAATATTTAATAAATATAAAATATAATTTAGATTAAATGTGTTTGAAATTTATCATAAAATTTTTGTTTCAGGAGCATCAATTGTCAAATGCAAAAAGATTGCTTCTAGCTTTGAACATTTGTGACAGCCCAATAGATTCAGTAATCACTTTGATGTAGTCAAGCTGCTAGAACTCTAGAGGAATTTAATTGTTTATTAACAAAATATTTTTATAAAGTTTCACTGGTTTACATGATGAGATGAAAAATCAATAAATTTATTCAAACCATTTGAATTAAATTCATTGAATAGAATTAAAGCTGAACACTGCATTGTAAGGTGAGAATTTATTGTAAAAAAAGTTTAAAATTAATTCGTTATGACGAAACGACGTGAAATAATTTATCATAAGATAAATGATCAATTGCGGTAATGTATTCGAAAGGGTACACAAGAGGGTTTGCCGTCAATTATTCTCACGGGGCAAATATATAGCAAACGCGTGCCACTGTTTGTGCGTGATAAAATTATTAAGGTAAATACCGTAGTGCATGCTGAGATCGAATTCGATTAGTAGACGCGACAATTTTGCTCAAGTACATTTACTATATCGTATAAATCCTATCGTCCAAGTGAGATTTTTAATTGCTTTCTACTCTTGCAATTCTTATCGCTAGACTCATTGGCTTTATCGTTCCATAAGTCTCAAAGACCTTTCCCCTCTTTTCAAGTCTATATCATCCCTGGAAGCAGTCACTGCAGAAGAAAATTCACTCTATTGTTCAACAACAACGTGACTCTCTAATGAGAAGTCATTTGCATGTGCGTTTTCACTCGTCGTCACGTCATTCTCAGATTCTTGGACTCTATAACACATTCAGGTCCCCCATGAATTTTCTTGGTGATTTTTTTTTGTATCACTTACCTATTTTCCAATAATTACCATTCTTCTTTGCAATTATTTGATATTTTTCTCTGCTATTATGTCATGAAAATAACTTTAACAATAATTAGCTCACAACAATGAGTCAATAATTAATTTATAAAAAAGATCATTAATTTTTCTACATGTCTACATGTATTTATTGGAATAAGTCAGTATTGCATCAAGTTGTAGATCTATTATTTCATATAAAAATGAATCTATAGAAGTGTGTTAAATGATGTTTAACATTTGATAGTTTTGTTCTTTTATTTAATCATTTAGATAAAGTCTTTGTAAGCAGACGAATCTTCAACATGCTAAGTAATATAACATTCAGAACAGTTTAATTAAAATTAATGAAACATTCCATTTTATTAATACTCCAAACCAATAATATTTTTAGATTATTTATATATGATAATCAAATGGAATAACTGATCCTAAAATACACTCGATTTGTTTCCCTTAACATAAAAAATAATTTCATTTCTATTGTTCCTGATTTCAGATCATAACCAGCAATAATTTTCAATCTAGCACTCTCTAGATGTGCCATATGGCTGAGTGTTGCACGTGATTCGATAGTGCGAATCACCATAATCGTTCAACGAAAATACTCCCATGTGTCGGCATCATAAGGGGTTGGTGGATGGTGGGAACGTTGGTGCAGCAACAGCTCTTCAAGGGGTAAGTCTATTGATGCATCTCCAACACAAAATTAATCGTCAGCATTATGAAGCATCAGGCTTCTTCCCATTAAGACTACCATTCATTATTTCCACGCATACATTTAATTTCAAACGATTTAACAAATATCTGATAAAAAAAAAAGTTGAGTCTGGTGTGATATTAAAATAAAAATATAAAATTTTTTTTTCTTGAATTTTTCAAAAGAAAATCGTGTTAATGACTACTAATGATTAGGCAAGAAAGCTTTCCCGCCTTTGTTGTACCTGTATCGAATGATCCACGAGTACGCTTGGCAATTGAGATAACAGATCCAGCAGTATCAATTACAAAGGGTAAAGAGAAGTCAGACGGGGTAATCGGTGGCCCACATAACACTTAGCTAGCACTTAAGTCACACTCAATGCCTCTCTTTACTCCTATATGCCTCGTCAAATTACTAATTATTACGCCAGGTAATTGTTTGACATTATACCTACGCTATTTCTTCGCACAAGTAATATCTGCATGCGAGGGCGGACTAAATTATTCGCGCTTACACTTCTCACTCGCTACAATTATTCCGCACGATCATTTTTTTTCCTCTCTCGAAGTACTATTCACCACTCGAGAATATATAAACGAAGGTTTATCGCTTTGCTTACTCGGGTGTTCTTGATTTTTTTTCAACCTTCTATACACCGTAATAACTACCGATTACAAGCACATTTATTCAAACTTTGATGGTAATCAATTATTTAAGTAATAACTAACAGTGTAAGCTTGATTTTTTTTTCGTGGATAAAAATACGATTCTGAAAGTTTGTAGCAGTAAATACTACACTTAGTTAGAGATATAAAAGCTTTTTAATAAGAAATAAATTGGAAAATTGGATTCTATGAAACACTGTTATCAATATCAAAAAGCAAAAGTTTGTACGAAAATAATTTAATTGAACAAAAAAAAAAACAACAACAACAAGCTTCCTTTAATTTAACTCATGATTCTCTGGAAAATAAGTGTTTGCTTCAAGATACAAGGAAAAATATCATTTAATTTATTTTGCAAATAAATAATGATTAAAAAAAATTGCAAACTCACATGAAATAAAACAAAGAAAATTAGGAAACAATAGCGGTTATTTTCAAAGACCTTCCGATGCATTATAGAGTGGTCTAATAGTTGTTAGGTACACCCTAATGAGGAGCGTGAAGAGAGGGAGTGGTTTTTAATCAAAGTATTCATCCCTTTTATACACACATTGTTTTGGAGAAGGCCAGTGTGGTGATCATGAGTTTTTCCACTGGGTTCTCATAGTTCTGGTGTTCCTGTGGGAACGTGCCGTTGCGTTTTATATACTCCATATCCAAGGCTAAAGAAGAAGGGGGCGTAAAGCCGTGTGCCCCTTCTTCAAATCTACTCCTATGGGAAATATCTACGTGCTCGACAACGGATCGTCATCGAGCTTCATGGCGTGCAAATTGGTTTACACGAGGGTTCGAGATGTAGTTGCATCCTTTATGGTCCTTTTGGCTCTTTGTTTGACAATCTCATGGCATTCCGCACATCACAACCAGTCGTTTTGGGGTGTAGATATACATTTAATATTAATGCGACCCTGCTGACTACTTGGAGGATAATTCAATAACGACTTCACACTTGATAGCTATCGGTGGTCTAATGTCTTTAAAGTTTGATGCATAAATCATGAGACTGTATCATTTTATTCTCTAGACTTTATATTTGATTATGATGATTCTTCATAGTATTCATTCTTTGGATTCTAATTTTTTATTCTGTTAATTAACTTAATTAACTACATTTACATGAATAATTTTTTTATTACATTGAAATCGACTTACAGTATATTTTTCATATAAATAATATAATCAGTCATTTAAAAGACAAAAAATAAAACAAAAATAAAACTGGACATTCATTGAAATCCGTAATTTTGTCATCTATTAGTTTCTTTGTTTATAATAAATTGCTCACGTTATAAACAATATAGAATTATTCAATCACATCAAATTATTTATAACAACATTTTGTTGAAATGATATTTATCAAATATAATGATAGTCATAGTCATAATCATACTCAATTTATTTTACAATCTTTTGTTATAAAAAAAGAATGGCTTGATTGAATTTGTTTAAACTCCTTTCAAATTTTTTTTTACTGTATTATCTTTCAAATGAATTCTGTCTGGAGTCTATATCTTCAATAGTTCATCAAAATACACTTCCCAATGGGAAAAACATAAGAGATTATTCTAAAAAAAAAAATAGTTTAAAAAGATTAATTAATTTATTCTTAGGAATTTATTTCAATTTACTTTATTAAATGTTAGATCTTTTTTTTTATTAAATTAAAATAAAATAGAGAAGTTTCTAGAGAAAAAGTTACTTTTCAACTGGGGAACTATTGCATTATAGTAGAAATAAAAAATATGAAGATTTAATCTCGTGTAATGATTTAATTGGTTGAACAATAATATTAATTCAGTCAGTTATAAATGCCTGTGCTAATTAATTTGGCAATCTTCTGGTCGACTATTCCTTTTTGGCAGCTCTCGAGGGGTTGATTTCCGGGTTGTGAGATTTAGTCGAATGTCCATAGGCCATTATATCTTCTAGGGTTCCAATCGTGGTCATAACTACCCCCAGGGAGTTGGTAGAATATACCCCGGTAGATCCACATTATATTTACTATATCGTGGCATCGTAGTACTGTTAAAAGAAACGCCACAACTCGGTCTCCTACGGCATGGGAACAGTACACTGTAGGCGGATTACCAAACGCACAATGTGCTTGGAAGCTAGGAAATTGACGACTGGACACGTGCATGACACGCGACTTACTCGCAGAACCTCATTGCTATCGCAGCGGGATTCTTTTCGTGAGTTTTTGCTTTTACTCCTGTATATATACTTTACTTATCTATCAACCCCTCGTCAATTTGGTTTTTTTTCTTTCCTTCTTTTCTCTTTGTGTTGACAAAATACCTTCAGACTGAGTCATAGAATCCTTCGGGGAATTTTTCTATTAATAAAAATAATCGACAGATGAACTCTCATTACGAATTTGGACGTGTTTGGTGAGGAAAGAAATAAATCCATGGAAAGAAGATTAAGTATCACTATAACAATAACTAACTTTGATAAAGCTTTATACATCACATCTTTTAAATACTGTCAACATTATAAAATGATTTATAGATCTATTTCATTTATTAGCAATACATTTGAACGGATTATATTTAATTCATTAAAAGATTCCTTGAATTTGAATTTTTATTTTAATGGAACATTTATCCACATAATCTATAGCTTCATTTATACACCATGGAAATAAATGGTAAATATAAAATAAACTTGACAATGGTTGACCTTGGAACTCAATAAACTGGAATAAAATATTACCCTGAACAGGAGGGTTCATTGAAATAATCTAGTTTTGACTTGGTAAGTCAATTCAAGACAACAATCTAAAAATAACAAGATAGTTTTTTCATCCAACAATTTTTTTTGTTCATTAATATCATTCTTAATTATTCTAATCAACTTCTATGATGATAAAGTCTAATTTTTAATATTTATTTATTCATTTTGAAGTTAAATCTTGCTCCAATTTCAACAAAATTGCTAGGAAAATTTCTATTCAACAGGAAAAATTAAAAAAAAAAAGCGAGTATTAATTTGATGGCCAACAATCAGGGAAAAAAGATTGGCACGTGCTTTTGTGCTTTTTCGTAGAGTAAAATCAACAGAAAAACATCAAAGAAAGTAGTCGTGGAGAGATTGACAAAGTGTGAGGAGCAAAGGACGAAGAACGTGTCTACAACCCTCGATGTGTGCGTATGTGAGTTGTACTATCACTAAGTTAACGTGTGAACTCTTCATACGAATTGTTCTATCAACTATTTTCCCTCTATTGCGATAATCTGTACACTTACAAAATGAAAAAAAAAATACTCTATTTTTTATCCCAACCTGACAGTTTGCCAACAGATAAAAAAGCAATAAAACAATTTGTCTTTTAAACTAAATGGATTTTTTTAAAACAAATATCATAACTGGAATAAAAAACAAAAAATATAACAGTTTACCAAATGTAAAAGCAATTATTGACAAATTTAAATAAGAAGTATTGAGTTTAGATTACATGGACCAGAAATCGTCACGTCAAGAACAAACAAACGCAACGAAAAAGCGTCAGAAAATATCCCTTCGTCGTAGCTTCAGTTGATGTTTGATTAGACAGACATATAGAAGAGTTACTGGAATAGTTTATTTTCCTCTTTCAACGTAAACATTAATTAAAAAAAAAAAAATAAGTGTAATCTAATTAAGCACATTCTTCAGAGCTTGATTATTTAACAGAATAAAAGTAGGAAGTAAAGGATCTATATTAGACAGTCTCAAAGTTGAGGAAATTGTGGTGCGTGGAGTAATATTGAGGAGTGGAGGGCAATATCATGTCGAAGGGTAGATAAGGTGCGACAGGAATGGGTGGTACCTGGGTCGTTCTGAGTCACCGTAGATTTTTTTCAAGGGGCGCCAAAGCTTTTGCAACATTTCATCGAGGGGAACACAGTATCGATCAAATAGCCATCTTGTTTACTGGTAATGACTGCCACGAGTCTGATGTTTCAAATAAGCGTGATAGGGTCAATATATCGCCATCAGAGATACGTTACAAATTCTATGAATTACATTCCATGTTGACTTCATTATTACTTCATTTTTTTTTTATTGCTATTTTCAGTATCACAAAATTAACAAAAGAGACAATTTGTTTTATTTTATGTCTTTACAACAAAAGTACTGATTTGAATCAATGTTATTATCATGTAGGTTCACCGAAATAAATGTTTGGTTTTATTTTCCAAGAATTAGAGTGTTGAAAGCAGAATTAAAGCTTTGATGTAACAATAAGTAGTATACAAAGCTTTTAGTTATTTTTAAATAAGTTTTATTATTCATTAGCAAAATGTATACTGTAAATCCAAGTTTTT